CTGTGCATGGAACCTTGCCGGTTTCCTGTATTTATCTCACCTATTGTATGGAATGTGTGTGAAAATCTTCATTAAGAATCAGTATATTTCAAAGAGCTACACAATTAAAGAGCAAGAATACTACTGACCGACAATATACAAAGCGGGGGCAGCTGTAGTGTCAACTATTACTAGTTGCTAGCAATTATTAGTCGCGTGTTTTAATTGATCCTTGTTAAATTATTTCAAATTGTTTGTATACTAATACGTCAAGGTGCTCCCTTGGGTCTTTTCCTCATTTTCTTTTAATGGACGGTCTGAAAACCGGGCTCAAGTTACTTCACGGGCAAGCCGAGGCAAGTCTATTGTTTCTATTGAAGTAGAGAGACGCTCATTAGTAAACCTATACCGAATTAGTATGTAGGAAGGCAGTGACTACTTAAAATTAGTATGGAGGAAGTCAAAAAATTAGTATGCAGGAAGACACTTATACATATTAATAAAGGGAATCCACTTTTTGCGAGGGAATCCAAAGGGAATCCAAAAACGAGGCTTATCTTTTACCCTAGTAGTCTACTGGAGGTGGACTGAGTTACGTTCAGCAGAGTGCTGAAAAAGCCAGTTTATCACTGAGAGATGATTAGCGACGCCGACCCGACAGAAGCCGACCTAAATTAATCATTTTAGGAAAATACCGTATTGAAAGTAGACGCAGATAGTTTTTTTTATTAGTTGTGCGTGTGGTGTCAGCTAGCGCTTGTGGTTTATACGTAATTTATTCTTCACAGTTCTCCTTATAAAAAGTTTATGGGTGTTAACGTTAAACCAAGAAATGAACAACACTTCAGCTATCATTCGCCCAAACAACTCATCTTCGGCGTCCTCAGACGAATTGTTTCCTTCGAAGGTCGAAGGAGTGGCATTTTGCAGCGTGTTGGCAACTGAGGCTGCTTTAATAGTCGCATCGAACTTGCTCACACTTTTCCTATTCGCGGTGACCAAGAAGCTTCGTAAGAGGAGCTTGTTTCTAGTCTGCAGTATGGCGTGTGCTGACTTGATGACAGGAACTTTGTCACTACCGGGTTACATTTACCTTTACGTGGGAAATCAGTTTATGTTATGGGAAGCAAACGTAGATCTATCTTCGGACATATTCTTCGTTGCTGTTGACGTCATTTTCTCTCAGGCCTCGCTAATATCTGCAGCCTCGATATCATTTGAGAGGCTGTACGCTGTTTATTGGCCACTGAAACACCGCACATTGTCCATACGAGTTTATCGTATCGCTATTTTTATAGTTTGGACAGTGGCTGCCATTATTTCCGTGCTTGTAAATCTTTCATATTACATGACTTCTCACAAACTTGCCATTTATTTTTGGATTTCATACACCTTCACGCTATTGTTTATCCTTTCCGGCTGCAACATCGCCATTTGGAGAAAGGTTCAAGGGCGCAGTAATCCAGCTTCACATTTGCAAAACAGAGCCATTCAAAACCAACGCTTAACAAACACCTTGTTGTTTGTGTCGATTTTTCCTTTCATCACGTGGTTACCTTTGATCATCGTCAACTACTTATACTTTGTTAAAGAGATTTCCATGTCGCTCAATACATATTACATTTTTGTAGTCATCAGCTCTTCTCACTTTTTTATCAATCCAGTGGTGTACGTGCTACGACTTCCTGAGTTTCGTCAAGCGCTCTGCTGGAGTTGTTTCAGAAGACAGCCAGTGAGACCCGAGATTAACGAAGGAAGACATAATAGAAATGTAGTTATGACACAACCACTAGCATTGCGAACCGAAGGATTTTATAGACAGCTGGCTTTCGAACAGATCGTGGAGGACACAAAATTGTGACAAGTACATGTTGATTAGTGTAGTGTGTATTTGAAGTCAAATAAACGAGCCGCTAAAACTTCAAAAGTGGAAATATTGTTTTTACCCGATCGTTTTAAGGAAGTTCAAAAGTTCATTAATAATTCATAACGAAAAAACACACAAAAAAAATTCTGATCTGTTTACTGAGTGTCTTTATATCTGATAGAGACACGGCTAAACTTTACGTCCAATTTAACGCCGAATATAAATATTAGTGCAAGAATGAGTTGATCTATATCAGAGATTTTGAAGCCGTTCGCCTCGAGTATTTAAACCTGATAATGCACTCCTGCTCGCTTTTTAAACAGTACTTGACAAATGAAAAAGGGTGCGGTTCGAAAACGATCGCACCCGATAAATACTAACCAGAGAGCGTTTCCTTTTAACCACAATGAGGGACAAAAGTGTTCAGACACTTCCATAAAATGACCCCTTTTTGCATAGTAGACATATCTATTCTCACCTGTGTCAGTGTACCACCACCCCTCCCCCCAAACCAATCTTGCATTTTAAACCATCACGTCTTTGTTCAACTTCAAACGATATTGATTCCGAAGTGAGTGACTACAGCGTTTAAACAGACTTGTATGAGGCATAAATGAAACTGTCACGGATAAAAGCGCGCGTTTTAGACAAAAATGTCAACTACTTTTGCCACTGATTGACCCTCACACAACCAATACCCTGTCTTTCTAGGTACAATCTACGAGTGTACAGAAGTAAGATGACCTACCTTTGAGCTTGGTTTGAACACTGGAACTTGTATACTCTCAAGTGTTTTAACAATGCTATTATCAGTCAAATCCTGTTTGAAGAAATGGAAAACTACATGAGCATTCTCGGATGGACCGCCAGAGGTGTTTCAAGTGTCTTTTTGCGCCACGATATCTAAAACTACCTTTACATTTAGATATTTTGGCCAAAGGCAGGAGTAACTGATCCCGTTGGCATTTCGAGAACTAGAGAATTTCAGCTGCATGAGTTTTTATTCTGATAATAGTTTAATTGGTTTCATGCAGTGGATGGATTTGAACACAAGCCAGACTTTAGCCTTTGAAACAGATGCATGAACGTAAAATAGGCGCAAGAGAGAACGGGCCCCGCGCAGGCTAACTTTTAGCGCGCCAATTCACACCGCGAAAATGTAGCCAAAGCTCGCAGGGTAAACAGGAAGTTGCCACACCTAAACAAATGAGTACGATGCACATTTACATATTCCAAGAAAACGCAAGGGTGAAAAGGGGAAATTCAACTGACACACGATATATTTTTAACTGAAAGACTCAGACGAGAATTCAAGTCCAGTTTCCACAGAATCGTCCGAGTAATCTCGAGTGCCTGGAGTTTTTCGGGCCAATTGGGACGATCGAGACCATTCAAACGATTAAATGGAAACAAGACTTCCATCATTCCAAGCGATTGCCCCCGGAAGCCTCATTGCATCACATGTTTTCTGAACCCATTTTGAGAGTTGAGGCGACTTGGGCAATGGAGACCACCGCACCATTAAATCGAATCATTAAACGTTTCTGGAAGACTGCCCACCTACCCCTCCCTGCCCCTTCCTGCCCCTCCCCTAAACGAACATTAACACTTACTTACTAATTAGGGCAAAAGGTTGGCTTAGTGGAGGGGTAGGTGGGCAGTTTCCTAGACACGTATAATGATCCAACTAGTTTTTACATAGACTTCTGCCTATCCAGGACATAAACGAGCACCCCAATAGTCAGGTTCATCCGTCATTACATCAGAGGTGTTTCAGTCCATATAATCGACTTAATTGACTGAACAGATTTTGGACGATTGCAGCGATACAGGTAAGATCAGCACGATTATATGAAAACCAGCCTGTAAATAGTTCAATCCAGGTGATTGCTATCGCCCAGCAATCGTCCGGATCGTCCCGTTTCGCATTAGAGATGTTCCCATAAGATTGTCTTTAACGCCTGAATACATTTTAAGACGACCTAACATGCACTTTCGAATTGTCCACTGAATACACTTTGTTTATCCCCCCTCCCCAAATTTTGCATACATGTTTCCTATTTTCAAAATTATAGTCGTCCCACGAGAAATCGATTAATACAAAATTTGGGGTGGGAAAACAACATATATTATGGACAATCCGAAAGTGGTGAATTCGAGTCATTTAGATGATTATGTAGGAACCAAGCTTTAGTATGACTAACCTCTTTTGTGTATTTGATTCCATAGATATCGGCAAACAGTTTGCTGCTACTTTTCACGAAAAGCATATGCCTAAAATGGAATTACAAAAAGCATTTATACTTCATGAAGAGAATACAGAGGGAATTAGAATTTCAACTCGTGTGTTTAAATCTTATAAAACACGATGGAGTTTCTATTTCTGATTTTCTCGGGAGAAATAAATTAAATAAGATGTATTAGAGAAATGCATGAATCTAGAAGAAAAAAATTTTAAGCTGTTCAATAAACTCGCAGTTGCTGCGCCTCGTGTTTTAAACTTGTGTCGTAAAAACTTGCCTCTATTTTTTGTTGCTTGCCGTTTTTGGCAGTAACAGAGAGAATACGTACAACAATGGCTTCACTTGGCACTTCACTGGCCTGCAAATACAGCCGTCTCATCTCACTTCCCAGGGCCCATTGCGCAGGAGAATGTCCCTAGCGGTGAGGAGCGAGGAGAGAAGACTGAGCTGTATTCGCAGGCTATAGTTTTACAATTATTTAGGGACGGACCATTAGAAAACCTATGAGGGGGGGAGGGCGAAGTACAAAAAAATATTCGCGCAAGGGAAAATTAATGCACGCTAATTAACCCTAAAAAATATTCATGCTATGGCGTAAAAAGAGTTCATTCAAGGAATTTGATAACGAACAAAAACTTTTTGCGGCTAGAAAATTCCCCCCCCCCCCCCCCCTTTTCTAATGGTCCGTCCCTTACACCACGTGGAAACTGCTACCGTGTTTTTGGTTGGTTTTGTTTGAATGTCAGAGATAAACATAAGGTGTTTTGCTGCAAATCAAAGGAGACCAGCGTGTGAAATAAGATACACTTACAGTTCATTTTTACTGCTAAATTCCTGTGGGATGGGCGGTCTCTTCGGGCTCTGCCAGAAAAGTGCTACAAGAAGAAATATTTTTGAGAATGAGAATGCATGGCAGACGTATTTCTGCAGTTATTAGGGACCTTAAGCACCAAAAACGTGGAATGCCGCCGACGGCCGTGATAGTGAGACGAGAAGTCCTGGGGAAAACGTGAGTTACGTGTCCCACTATTGACGTTAAGCTGAACTACGGAGCTCGCTCGGATGACGTGACCAGTCAAAATGTAAACAAAGGAAGGTTTGTCCATCGTACGTACTACTTTTTTCACTTTTTTTCTCATGATGGCTAGCCGCAAACAGGTTGAGGAGATGTTGCTTTTGTCTTTTATACACGTTTTTATTTCTGAAGAGGAATTTGGAGTTTTACACGAAGTATTGCAGACCAAGACACTGGATATGAAACACTTCAGTTTTTTACTTCACGCGATAAAATATGCAACATTGTAGTAACGGATTATAAAACAAGATGATTTTCATGTCTTACCTTGAAACTGAACTTTCTGTGGTGATTTACGAGTTATTTTTTTCTTACCTTTTCTAAAAACGTACAATCATCCCGATCTGCGTCGGCGACGAAGGGCTTTTCGCATAACTCCATAGTATACCATGGCAACCAATGGCGTGTGCGCTACTGTCATTTCCGGTTCACGTCCGCGACATTCTACGTTTTTGGTGCTTAAGGTCCCTATCAGGTAGATTTAGGCAAGACGACGCGGTACACAGTGACCACGGCGCGTGCAGATCTAAAAACCGGCTTAACCAATGACAGGGTGGCAAATTGACCACCCGAAGTCGTGTTCAGTCCCTTTCGCCGCTTTCGCGTCATCATTGGATGTCGGGTTGTCTTTGCGAAATCTGCCTACTTGGCGAGGAAAAACGGCTGTCGGAAAGGCTAAAAACATGGCTGTTTTGCCTCTAGGGAATGATGATATACTCACATCCGTCCTTGAGTCTAGTGTCCAATGGAAACGCATGCAGTAGTTGTTTGGCCTGGAAAAGTAAAAGGGATAAGGTGAACGCCTTCTCTTCGCCCTAACACCTCTCCCCTCTCTCACTAGACAGCCTGAAAGAAAATACCCGTTTCTTTTCCTGCCACTTTGTACAACTGGTTACTGAACCACCTTTCCATTCCCGCCAATTTTCACAGTCATTTTATAGCTAGCCATTCAAATTATGAATTCCAGTCGTGACGAAGTAGAAACATGGGCAAGGATTATTATAAGACGTTGCTGAGGTTAACTAATTTAATTGCTCAAATGTTAAAATGCTCCAGCCAAAACTTATTTTCCCGCCAAACAGTAAGGTAATAGACCCTCCCTCCCACTTTTGCTTTTTAACTTTGGACATGATTTAGTCAGCGAGAATTTATCAACCCGCTGAAAAGTGCGCCTTGAATTCTGCAAACTTGCCAGGGTCGAGATATGGCTCCGACGAAAGGCGCAAAATTTTACAGACGTTTGTATGTTAGGGGGAAGAAGGTATAAAGAACGGCTGTAAAATTTCGCAGATTTGCGGAGCTGTATCTTGGCTTGTTCCTCACACTGTATCACTCTCAAACTTGGCACGTTTTTTAATTTTGAGGTCTTCTTTCCAGCAGTATCGATAGATTTTAGCTGACTGGTCCATGTCACCAACGTTGACAAAATAGCGAAAGGGTCTATTATGAAGGGTCAACCACTTGACTTTTGATGGGGGTATGGGTGATTTCAGAAAAGAATATCCTGCAGACTAATTTCGAGGGGAGAAAAAACCTTGCAAGGAAATACCTGCCAGACAATGGCTTTGTATGCATCGCCCAGAATGCTATTGTCTTTTGCGACATGTACTTACAGTGCCCCGTTTCTCAATGCGCGGCATAATAATTGAATAAATAAGCTTTCGGAAAGCCAGCTAAATGCCGACTACTCTCGTAAAAATCGATAGCTTTCAATCGAACAGTTTGATGAGTGAAGTGTAAATGTCAATTGTAAATCTCTAAGAGTGAAAGTGAGTAATTGTACTCTAATTAAAGGCGGGCCCCGGGAAAAAAACCCAAACCAAATTACCAATACCCTCCTCAAAAGTCAAATGGCTGGCCCCAATGACGAAACGACACTGATTTCTCGCCATTTTGTACAGTGGCTTCTGGTATTGTGTTCCCGCCTTTCCCACTTAGTTGTTACCCTGTGGTTGTAATACTTCTCAAAGTCTATTCTGCTTTGTGCGACGCAGCCTGCCCAGTCCACAGGGCGCCGCTTTAACACTTTTAAAACTCGGTACACGCCTTCAGGCTCATTTCCAGACTGAAGTGTCTACAAGAAAACAAGAAAGAAAAGGTCAAAGGTAAAAGGTGAAAGAAGCCTGAGAAAACAACAGACATTTCGCGACGCCACTAACAGTTTTCCCCGCGAAATCTGTGCCAAGTCTGAGAAACGAGCTCAGAAATTCCATACTGACAACGTTTCACTACCCAGATCTGTGCAGTGCTTCTGATTGGTTTAAAATTTGCTTCATTCAATCAGAAGCACTACCAAGATCTGGGTAGTGACACGTCATCAGTATAGAATTTCTGCGCCCGTCCTTCAGGCGTCATTTCGCGGGGAAACCGTTGGTGGTTTCGTGAAATGGCGGCTGTTTTCTCAGACCATAGTTAGTAGAGAAGACTGGTTATGAAAGCCGGCAAACATCAAAGTTTAAAACAACGGTGCCGTAGTTTATGTTGGAAGCTCCCTGACCATGTACAAACCTTTGTTTTTTGTTCACAGATTGTGACTGAATGAATCAATGCGATGTCTCTACTGGTCAGTAAGTTCAAAATAATAGGAATGCTATTGAACGTTGTGCACGGTCAGGACCAAGAAGGCAAACAAAAACATGTAAGAAAGGAGTCTAACGGGTTTCATAACCATTCCACTTAAACAACTATGCTCAGACTACAAAGTAAGATAGTGAAAATTAGATCACTTAATAAAGAAACATCTATTCTGAGATTTAAGAAGGGTCTAAGTCTGAGTTTCTGTTGCCAGTTGATGTGAATATGTCCAGCAGTAGTTGACTGAACTGTGAGGACATTTATAGTTTATTCATTTCAGTATTTAGTCACAGGTTACATGTAATTAATTAGTCATTTATTTAGTCACATGTTAATTAATTAGTTGATTATACGTTGAAAATTTTGTTGTGCAAGCCTCCATTTATATCAGAGTAAGCTGAATTTGATCTCCCTCTGATTAATAAGGAAATAAGTTAGGGCCGTCGTTTAGAGGAGTTGTCTGTTGTTAATAAACATAAAGTATGATTGTAGTCACTTTTGATGTAGATCGCGCAACCTGCATTTCAGACATCCCTTCGAGTCGCATACTGAGAGGAGTATCGGACTCGAGGGGATGTCTGAAATGCAGGCTAGAAGATCACGACGTTTCAACTGCTTACTGCCAGCATTTACTGCCATCAAGGTGCAGACTCTTGATCAGATAAGACTGTGGTTACTTTTGTGGTGATGTGTTGTTTTGTTTTGTTTTTGTTTTTGTCTTTGAGATTAATGGCGAGAATATCAGTTGTGCTAAAAAATTCTTAGAAGTTAAAATGAAATGCAAGGTGAATGCTTTGCGGGAAAACAACCACAGTCGATACTAAAGACTAGCCACAGGCACTTTTATCTTGTAAACAAATAACGTTCAACTTACTTCCAAAAGTTGTTCAGGCGATCCATTCGTTGACCAAAATGTCATGTACAGTCCGGGCTTCTGAGCAAAGGAACTTTCAAACTAAAAGATATTTAAAAAACAGATTCTTAAAAGCATATAATAAACAAACACGGCCAAAATATTGTGCAGTAGCTTGCCAGAGTGGTAGCAACAGAGGGTAACGAAGCCAGGTGCAAAACCTTTCATGTGAAAAAGAGTTTCATTTGAAGATATCTAAAATAGAGCGTGTTTCTTTTGATTTTAAAAAATGGTTTCCACAAGTATTCGTTGTTTACTCTATCAGCCAATAGTAAAAACGTTCAAAATATTCTACCTGCGCGAGACTACTAATTTATGTGTAGAAATAATGAACAGTTCACGACAAGTAAAGAGGAAACTTAGTCACGTGGTACAAATTCGCGTTTGCCGTTTGACGTTAACGTGACGCTTAACCTCTCTAATAGCTTTACCTTATCCCTGGCCCACTGTATTGTGTGCTCTATAACAGCTGGAAATGATTTGAGTGTACAATGGGGTACGTCTTCCTCTGGCGGGTCTCGCTTGAAAAGAGACACATACAAAATGATTCCAAATAATCAGAACAAAAAATCAAATAACGCTCTGTCGTGTTGGGTGGGAAGTGATATGGACGACTGATGAGCGCCTCGTACTTACATTCCGAAGGTCCAGTCTCGAGTTCTTCTCTCAATAACATATGAGTTTGTTTCTTGGTAGTCCCATATTCTAGTCCTCAACCAAGCTCGTAAATAGCCAGCTGGTTAGTGTATTTAATTACGTTATTTTAGGTTATTTCTTCGACTATATGAGTGGAGTGCTTGCCAACTATGGCTTGAATATAGCGGAAGGAGCTTCCACTACAAACAAAGCATTTTCATTACTTTCAACTCAACGATCGCAGGCTGTAGACACGAAATGCCCTATTAAGTACAACTTTTGATGGACAAGAATGGTTATACCTAACGACTACAACAGAAGAAAAATGGAAGCGCGTGTCAACCTTTTTCAAACCGATTCAGAACAGCTTTCTTGATTTGCCATAGTGAAATGATACAACCAATAATCTAATGATATCTTACCTGACTAGCATACGATTCCGTGAGATGAGGAACAATCACCTATTGCAAAACATTTATAAACTATTACGATAGGCCAGGTTGGAAGAGCTTTGATTTTTTAACACCAAAACAAAAGAACCTAAATATACTCTGAAGCGCACCTTTACACATAGCTACACATCCAAAACCTTCAGGTTAAACAACAAGAAAAGGGAACTTCAATAAGCTAAAACACCCAAACAACTTAAGGCTCCTTTATCGAATTCTATTTCGACCCATAAGGAGAAATTCCAATTTAACCTTCAATACGTCAAGTCACCGTTCGGTGAACCAGGACTAAGCATAGTAGACGAATAACCTCGCACAAACTGAAAAGATCATATTTTATTTCTTCAGTGTGAGGAAGAAATAATGATAAGATTCGGGCAAAAAAATAAATTAGAGCAGAAATTGTACACAACAACAACAAGCTTTATTTGAATGATTATAATAAATACAGTATTGTAAAATCCAACAAGGGTACATTGGCCAAAGATCGTCTTACCTGAACATGTCCCTTGGGTCCCATGGTTCCTGACTCCAAAAGGGCCCTCTGGGTGCTCACACACCGACTGCGTGTAAAAAAAAAAAATTGTAAGAGTAAATTGCCATGTACAAGTCCATGTCCAAGTCATGTACGGATGAGTCACCGTGCGAGTAGAGCCTCCTTTTGTCTTCTTGAGTGAGTAGGAGAAAACGAGGCCGAGGCTCCGCCTGAATCGGGTCAAGGCTTCTGAACTAGTCAATCTTCTTCTCTCTCTCGACTGGTTTTCAGAGTGCGAGCATTCGTTTATTGAATAAAAAATGCGCTGTACCAAGTGCAGGGCTATTAGCCCTGGGTTCAAAACTGTATACCAGCAACATGCAGCGCATGCTCAACAAAGATCTTCGTTGACGTATGCAGAGTCGTTCTGGAGTACACCAAAATGGAGCAAGTGAAAGAAAGACTCTGGTGGCAGCAGGGTGCTGAGGTTCAATTAAACTATCATCCATCACAGGTACAACCCCATGCATTTGACTAGAAGAGGGTGTTAATGTAAGGTTACAGCTTATAGCTGGGCATTTGTCTGCATAGTCACTATAAGGCTCAGTTCCCTGCAGTTTCCTTACTGAAATCAGACATCCGTGACAACTCATAACGATGCAGGTTATGGGGTATCAAGGTCGACGTCGTTTGGAGGGGTTGGTAAAAAGAAGGAAAGCGACGCAGTTTTGAGGTGTGAGGTTTAATGTGTAATGTGAGGTTTAAGCAATAGTTTAATTTGGTGTCTTTTATACAACTTTGGTGAATGAAAATCCGAACGAATTCCTACACGCGATTATGTATCTAAAAGACTTTTAGGAAGGTTCCCGGCCTTATAGAAAGAGAAGCCACAGATACATAAGTAAAACAGGGGCGAAACTGGCCAGCTACTCTTTGAACGGTGTTTAGCTTAGAGGGATGTCTGATGCCTCGACACCCCATTAAATTATATACACTCCTGCAAAATTGGTTCATACCCAGGGGGAATTCAATCAAACGTTTCCGGCAGTTTGTCGATCTGTGGGAAGAGGAGGGGGAGGTGATCGTTTCTGGAATTGACTGTCATAAAGAAAGACGATTAAGTGATTCTGACCTATCCATGTAGCGTCGAGCCTCTACATTGTCCAAAGCATTTACTACAATGTCCTGAGACTCAAAGAACTGATCTGTGTATAAAGTTTCTTCTGTTTCTGGGCACACTGTCAAGACAAAGAAAAAACAGAAGTGACAAAAACGTACAGGGACGAAAGGAAAGGGTTTTTTTTCAAATTACAATTCTGATTCACAGTCGCGGCCCTTTGTACATGAACGTTCGTCAACCCATCCATTTTGTTGTTGTTGTTGTTGTTGTTTTCTTTGTTTTGTTTCTTTCTTTCTTTTTTTCACTGAGCTTAACATTTACCACCTTGCTATATTTTTAACTACACTGGACAGTTTTGACATAGCGGTACACAGGGCGCATGTCAAGTGGTATAGCCTTCTTATGGTACAAGATAATATCAATGTTGTTTAGCTTCTCAACTTTAAGCTAGAAGAAATACAGCCAATTGAAAATCTTCTTCCTGAAGGCAGAAAGAGCTTTCTAAAAAATTACCTTTGTGTTGATGTGGATCCACATGAACATCTGAAAGGTATAGAGAAAGACTGATTTAACAAGGTTTGCTTGTCTAATTTTCAGCGAGAAAAAAGCCTCTTTCGCTTTCTGTTTGTCAAGCACTCAATTAGCCTGCACAGCTGTCGGGATTAGCGAGCGAGCACTGCAAAGTATCAAACAAAAACTGTATTTTTTTGGCGATGGAGCCGCTAGAAGATAAGAACAAGTCAAACTGAAATATTAATGGATTTTCCCTCGAAGAAGATCGGGAACAGTTTAATCGAAAAACCGAGAGCTTTTTCCTCGGACAAAGAAGGGAACAAGTCAAACTGAAATCCCAAGGTGTTCTCCCCCGCGGTCTCGCCCCTCACTTCGCGTAGCGGTTCCGAAGTCGAGAAAGTATCCCGAGCATTATAATAATACCGCCAGGAACGCAGACTAGCACCCAAAACTATAGTAAAAGTAATTACTTCTGGTCTTGACATACCTGGGTTTATAAGCGCAACTGACGAAGCTGCAGTACTTGATTTGGGTTGCTGAAATGAGGAAAAATTTTTCGTTAATTAAAAAAACCAGTCCTATGAATGCTAATTCTTAACCTTTGGGTCTCTAAGGTCTCGTAATATTACAAAGATGAAGCTTTAGACTGTTTGAAACAGTGTTCGTCAGCAAATCTATACTGGCTTCAGTGTTTGAAAACAAAAGTTGTAATGCAGTCGACTCCAACTCTCTTTAAAACGATCTAGTGAGTGCCCAAACACAGCCAGGTATCGTGAGGGGGAGAGATATTAGAGAGGTTACGCATCAAGTTCACAGGCAAATGGCAACGGCACGCGAGTAACCAAACTGGACTGGAAACTCAGAGCTCCATGCCATCCGATAGAGCTGAACATTCATCTTTACAGTGTTCAGAGACAGTCCGCCGTCTGTAATGTTATCAATTCTTTCATGTACAACGCGAAATGAAACAGCATGATATTGAAGGGTATGATCCTTAATGGATACGAAAGTGTTTTTCATAAACATAAAAACCAACGCCTTCAATTTGGCGGGAAAAAGTATCACATGGCCATCTCTGTCCATTGCTCTTTGCCGTAAATGTAGTGCTTAATAGAGAGTTTAAGCTTCACGTATACGGCAAACGGCAAACGTAAGATTCAAGTTGAGAATTTCTCAAAATAGAAAATAAGCGGATAAAAACAGCGCAAAGCAATTCTTATGGATGAAAATTGCGTGAAACTACTAATTTACGCGTAGAAATAATGAACAGTAAACGACAAGTAATGGGGAAACTTGGTCACGTGGTGCAAATTCGTGTTTGCCGTTTGACGTAAACGTGATGCTTAACCTCTCTTATGTCTCTATTGATGTATGTGGATTCCCTCAAAAGGGGACACGCGCACGCGTCTTGCCTCCGCCGCAGAGGGGCAAGTGTGTATGATGGATATTAGCGTATGGAGCAACATTGTAGCCGGAGGAGACTCCTAGGGAGGAATGATAAGGCAGATTAAGCAAACGCAACGCAACATCAAATAAGAACGCAAAAGCGCGCGAAAAAGACTCAGCGCTACTTCTGATGCTCAATTTGCTTCACAACCATTGGTCAAGCCGGTTTGAAGATTTCTGCGCGCCAACGTCACTGCCGTGACGTTGACATTAGGGACCTTAAGATCCGAGGACGGCGACGGCAGAGAAAACGCCGCTGAAAAAGTGAATTCGCGTTCTTTCAATCTTCATCACGATTACTCCAAGTCACTAACTTTGTCAATGTAGGCGAACCCTCCTAAAGTTGAATTCCTAGTTCAGAAAGAGAGGGGAAATTTCGTCGTCCCTTGTGTACTTCCTCGGTACATCGTGAAATTAGGCATTTTCACGTCGTAGTCGTGCAGTGACGGCAAAGAAATGTACAAAAAAGCGTGATGCACGTGCAAAAATGTTGTTTTGCTAATTAAACCTATTGCTTTTGTGGCGTTCCCGTTGCCGTCGCCGTCGCCGTCGTCGGATCTTAAGGTCCCTATTGCTAAATCAACCAAATAATGAAGACGGACAGGTCATGACTGAAAGGAAGTGTGGAGAACGGCGACCACCTTATAGAGAGTCAAAGAAAATCATGACTGGGAAACGAAAAGGAGCAAATCTAGTTGCCGTTTTTTCATTGAGATGTCGGTTAGGAAAGGTTGACTTCTGAAAGCTCTCTGTCAACTGAATATTACAACGCCGAAATACGCTCAACTCTAGGTGTCTATCTTATAGAGAGTAAACTAAAACAAGTAAAGAAAGAAAGGGACCAACTCTGTTAGTTTCCGTTTTCGACAGTCAAGGAAATTGACTGAAAAAAGGCAAGGACCAACCCTACGGGCCTGTTTACATGGAGGTGGGGGACCCCTGGAAGGTGAGGTAAACCGCGGCCGGTCACTCCACCTATCATGTAAATGTGAACAAATTAAAATGAGAGATTATATGGACAGGCGGGTTACCCCACCTACCTGGGGTCCCACACCTCCATGTAAACAGACCCTAAATTAAGATGTCCGTTAAGAGACGGTTAACTATGGAATGCTTTTATTACCTGAATATGATGAGGCCGAAATAAGAACTGGCGATTTAAATTCGATTTTTCTATGAGGTCATTGTCCGTGATCGTCATCTGCAAGTAAAATAATAACATGCTTCAATTAAAATCTACAAACAAAAATTGTTCAAAAGTCAAAATGGCGAAACATGCCACTGAAAAAAAATAAAAATGAAAACTACCATGCCATTCGCGCTTCCAGCAATTCCTAAAAGAGCAAAGTTCTTTAAAAGCTCACACCCTATAGCACCACATCCAACCTGAAAAAACAAACAATCAACAACAATATAAATGAACTGAGGAGAGAGGGCTTTTATCTATTATAACAAGGCAAGTGAGAGGTGGTGGGGGGGAGTCGGTTAAATTTCTTGATATTTCTGCAAAATATCCCACTCCCTGTATGAACAAAAAAAAAATTACAATCCACCCTTTGTATTAACTTGTCACGAGGAGCGGGTATTTTGTTGTTGTTGTTGTTGTCGTCTTGTTGTTCGTTTGGAAGGAGTATTTAATGCAGCTTCATTTCTTTCTTAACGAGAAAACTTAGAAGCTGGTAAACGCTCTTCGACGTTTCGATGTATCCAATAACATTATCCAGATGCCATCAAAAGAATTCAAATCTCAACTCTTTTAACAACTTTGAAGTTGGATACATCGAAACGTCGAATAACGTTACTTTAATTTACGTTGTTGTTGTTGTTGTTAAATAATTTAACAAGAAACTGACCATCCGATTTCAATTCCTTCTTACTAAGACTTTAATAAAACTCGGTACTTTTTTCTGGCTTGTGTGAAGAGAAAACAACATTTCCTTGCGCCTAAGACACGGGCACCCAACGACAATTTTCGGAAAAATATCTGTTCGGAAGACGATTGGAGATCTAGAATTTTCGAAACATTTGTTGTAAAATTTCTTGCTTGCCTGCCTCTCCTAGGATTTTCGAACATCCAAAAAATGGTATTATTGTCCATTTCTAACGGATTTTTACCCTAAAAAGATCACCTAGAATTTTCGGGAGCCTTTTTTCTGGCTGAAATTTTCGAAAAGGTAAGTTTATAATTTTCGGATCACTAGACTTTCGGCTAGGAAATCCGAACAGATGAAAAATTTTTAGGGGATAAAAATATGCCTATATCTACCGTTTAAATACTAAAATACGTTTAACAATGCTATTTTTAAGTGGTTTTGAACTATATTCCCGTTGGGTGCCCCTGCTAAGACAATAAGCTTATGAAAAAAAAAACAAAACAAAACAAGTTGCTTACCATGAATAACCTCAGATTTGCAAGTTTACTATGGAGCTCTTCTCCAATACACATGCGTAAAGAGTCATATCGGTCATGCCTAGGACACACGGAAATAAAGTACATATTCTAGAAACCGGTATTATTGTTACCCCAGTAAAGTTGCTTAAACAAAGAACGACCTCACATAACAATGAGTAGGCGCTTCTCTCTACCTAATGTCTCCTGTCAATTTCTGAATACAGTCGAACCTCCACTAACGGTCACCTCTCTACAACGGCCACTTTTTTTTTGTCCCAGCGGACAGTCAATACATTAACTCTTGTTTAAACCTCTCTACATACGGCAACGGCCATTAAAGCGTGTCCTCAACTGGCAAAATAACCTCTCATCAACAGCCAGTTTTTCAGTGACTGATGAACAAGTCGGGAATGGTCGCAAAAATTGATCCGTAAGGCGCGTTGATGCGGATTAATCGCGGCAATCGTATTTTGATTGTGATCCACTTAAACTGCTGCAGTAAGCAATATTTGTATTTATTTGTCAATACACAGTTCCTGACACTGCAGCTGTCGAACCTACGTTTGTTGCTTTCCTTTAGCATTCGCAAACATACGTCCATGGCCTCTCTTGCCATTCTCTAAAATTTCTTTGAAAAACAGTGAACTAAAAACCATCCACAATACCTTTCGGGATTGTCGCGTGCACTTTTTCCGACAATGACTTTTCTTGAAATAGCTGTATACTACGCAAAATTGTTCCTCACTCCTTGTTCAACCTTGACGTCAAATATTAGCTCAGTTGAATTTGTTTAAATTTCACTTAACGGTGTCTTTCGTACTTTGTATCATTTCACTTCATACACAAACGCTTCTTTCAACGTTTATGTTTATGACTACCGTCACTATTAGTTTTCATTTTGTTTTAATCCACTTTAACGGCCTACAAGTCCGATTATAATCAGACACGAAGAGAGCAGCGGGGAAGGACTGGTGGGTAACAGAAGAACCATGAGAGCTGATCCTAGAATGCGAGCAGTCTTTCTTTTTCTTGAGATTTCTTGAGGGGAGTGCACGCGCGCGAGCATCGAGAAGTCAAGCGCGTGGTCATTTGCGTGTCACGCGCGTTTTGCTTGACGGTCCAAGAAAAAAGACGGACTGCTTATGGTCTAAGCTAATCCATCCAATTAAAAAATAACTTACAATGAATAAAAAGGAAAGATGATGCTAATTATGATAAAATACTGCACTAACAAGAAATGATGTACTTTACACAGAATAAAGGAAGACCATAAACAATATATTATTTCTACAATAAAAAGTACCAGAATTCTCGCACAAAAAGTGAAATAAAAATACCACAACTAACCTGGGTAAAAACGATTTAGTGTCCAATTTTTCCTGTCCCTTTAGAACTTCAGTGGCATCAATGTAGAGCTGTTGAGACACATATTTAAGGGGGAATGACTTACACAAGATATTTTATGTGATTCGTCTCGAGGGCAAACATACTGATAATGTTCCTGGCACACGTTCTAGTTTTCACAGCCAATAATACAGGGGACTTTAAGATCCAACGACGCGAAGGCAACAAGAACGTCACTTAAAAAGTCAATTTGCGCTCTTTTAGTCTTAATCGTGATTAGTCCTACCCACTTACTTTGTCAAATGTAGGCGAACCCAACTGGAGTTAAGTTCCCAGGGACCATATCTAGGTTCAGAAAGAGAAATAAGATTTCGTCGTTTCTTATTTAAGTCCTCCATAAAACGCAAAATTGGGCATTTTCACGCCGTAGTCGTGCGAAAACGGCAAGGAAATGTACAAAAAAGTGTGCTGCACGTAAAGTAGTTGTTTTGGTTAATTACCGTATTTATTCGATTAACCGCCCTGGGCGCTTATTAAATTTTTGGACCTTGAGAGTGGGCGCTTATTCGAGGTGGGCGCTTATTCGAGGCTGGGCGCTTATTAAATTTTCACCATTTTCAGCAAGTGAAGTATGTTTATTTTGCAACAAAACAATAAATGCTAATAACAAAAGGCGAAGAAGTAACAAAGCAAGGCTTCTGTAAAATACTCTGAAGAAAACTCCGTCCTCGGGGAAGTCTCTCATTAAAATTTATTCACTCAAGTGGGTGGGGTGGGGGTGAGCGCTTATTTGAGTTTGATTGGGAGGAGGAGGGGGTGGGCGCTTATTCGAGGCTGGGCGCTTATTAACTTTTTCTGCCTTTAGGATGGGCGCTTATTCGAGGTGGGCGCTAATTCGAGGTTGGGCGCTTATTCGAATAAATACGGTAAACCTATTGGTTTTTTGACGTTCTCGTTGCCGTCGCGTCGTTGAATTTTAAAGTCCGTACAGTCTGTGAGAGGAACACCTCGGTAAAACAGACACCTGACCCTGTAGTTGCTCGCTACCTCTCCTTACCCCCTGTTCTTTACCATTTACATGGGCAAACCAGTCGGTTCACGATTTGGGCAAATCTGGTAAGCAAATTCAGGACTGGAAAATTTCGTCCCGGAATCGTGTTAAACATTTGCACAAATCAGAAATGGAACACGAATTTCCGTTCGGAACATTCCCACTGGGATAAACAACCTCCGACCTTCAAACCAACTTTACAGCTCTTCCCGCCAATAGACCTTTTTACCGATACGGCAGCCATATTGAATTTATTAGATTTAAGGAGTATTATGGGATGCCCAGGGGGCACTCGCTCAGTATTTACGCGCGCTTTTTGGGCAAAAAGAGATCTTCACTGTATATTTCTCGGGAAAAAGGCGATCATTATTACATCCAAACACGGCACAACGATATTTTTTTCCCATTACAATCTTTTTCTAGGAAAACTTAACGAAAAATTGGGCCGAAAAGCGCGTGTAAATACTGAGCGAGTATATCGGATCGTGCTCATACCCCCACCCCCACCCCCCCGGGCATCCCATAATACTCCTTAAATCTAAGTAATTCAATATGGCCGCCGTATCGGTAAAAAGGTCTATTAACCTTGGGCACCCGTCTACTTTACAAAATAGTGACGACCCTGATGCGCTCTGTACGTACCCACTGCTTTAGAGGACTGTACTTTCCCGTCAAAGCTTTTAACACTTCTTGGCCTACAACTCCACCAAGAGCAGCTGCCAGAGGAGAAAAACAGCCTTGTGATGTAAAGGACAATTGACACAACAAATCTTCGTCAAGATGGTCGGCCTACATTGCAAAAAAAAATAGGGAAAAAATAAGCATAGCTTCATGTTTTACTCTGATACATATCTTTATTGGATCACATCTTTTATTGGATCAAGCTGTTTGGACAAATGGGCAACTTTACAGCTACAGTTTGTAGACGCACGCCTACAATCGCTACTGATGAGTGATCAAAACGGCTGGTTCCACAGGAGGGGGAGGAGGGGGTGGGAAAGGGGAAGGATGCTGACAATAAGCAACGAACTTGAACTCAGAAAGTCATGAAGAGTATACCGAATTTAAGTGTTTCGCTTTTTGGACCACTCACTGTTTTACAAAGCGTGTTTGAAAAAGTAACATTTACAGGCCAGGTTAACGATAAACATCTTTTAAGGTTTTCTTTGGGCAAGATGGGGAGAGGATGATTTCATCAGACTGCCTTTAATTTCATGGAAATCAGTAGTGATGCATTCTGGAGAATACATCTCTGTTAATTTGTGAGTTTGTCCTTGACAACAGGGGATCCCTGTGTGCGCTACTTTGGATAATCAAGATCGGATAAAACATTAGGTTTGGTTCTATGGCACAGTTTTCTTCTTGAAATGTGGACTATCGATACAATAAAATCAATGTTCCAGGCAGATATCGTGTAAACATCTTGCCCGCATTAGTTCCTCTCCTCATGCCACCACGAAACTGTATGACAGAGGTTTTTGGCAATTTTTACGTCTCACTGATTTTCCTATCCTGCACCTAGATTATAACAGTGATAGGCGAGAGACACATATTATGAACTGTTGGGAAATTAAAGAAATGTCCATTGAAGAGAAGAAAGTGGCAGCTTGGGGTCTTGCTACTCACCTTTGTAATGGCTGCCTCATTTAAAGAATTTGCAATCTTACATAACTCCATCGCATCCTCTTTGTTTCTGAAATAAGAAGGACGAAGATAATCGTTCATTCGGTGTCCACCGTCCTATCTCAGTGTAAAATATCGTCATTAGAAATTTTAAAAAAATCAGCGAAACACAGAAATTAGCCGAGTCCGCAGCAAACAGAAGAAAATAACTGAAGTAATGGCCATAATCTAGAAAACTGTGAGTGTAAATCATGAGTGTATGATCGTAGAGAGGTTAAGCGTCACGTTTACGTCAAACGGCAAACTCGAATTTGTACCACGTGACCAAGTTTCCCCATTACTTGTCGTTTACAGTTCATTATTTCTACTTATAAATTAGTAGTTTGACGCAATTTTTATCGATAAGAATTGTTTTGAGCTGTTTTTATCTGCTAATTTTCTATTTTGAGAAACTCTCAACTTGAATCTGACGTCCGTTTGCCGTTTGCCGCATACGTGAAGCTTAAACTCTCTAGTGCTATGTCATCTAACTTGTGCAGGGGAGGCGGGGGGGGAGGGGGAGATCTTTCAAACAATACCACAATGAACACGATCCAGTCAAGGACGCCGGAGAAAAACGCAAAAAACCATTTAGAGTTGACCCGAAAATTCCAATGAAAATCTTGTTCCATTACCCGCCTGTACTTCCTTCCATCTGATCCTAACAGATTTTCCACTTTTCGCACTAAAATGAAACCTAGTCAATACCCGGAAAAAGAAACAAAAAAGGGCAAGAAAAGAGAGAGAACAGGGAAGGGGAGAAAGCGACAGGAAAAAGTCGAGACTGCTGTGTCACTCATAAACCCAATTTTGCTTTCTGCGTACGCCCAAACATTGAATGCTGATATTTAGCATCTGGAACAGAATGCCGCATAGTTCTCGACGTTCTACGACGTTTTGAGCCGTTTTGGTTCTTTATAGCAAGACAATGACCCGAAAACGGCTTGAATAGCTTCAAACGCGTTTTTCAACAAAATCGAATGGCGAGCGAGCGAATGGCTTAAGATAAAAATAAGTAATAGCTTTATACCTGATTTTAGGCATTCTTCCATTCTTCTCTTGAAATAAGTGTAATGCATGTATTCCAAAATGTAGCTGCAGGGGAACCTGGTGGTGATTTTAAAAATGTACTAAAAACAAGGGTCATAATACGTTTCTGGGAAAGTGCCCACCTACCCCTCCCCTAAACCAACACTTACTTCTCACTTGGGACAAAATGTTGGCTTAGGGGAGGGGTAGGTGGGCAGTTTCCCAGAAACATATGTCTTCGAGAAGGAGGGGATCTCAAAGACCAAAAGTATAAAGGAAATGAATGAACACAATCACAATGTCTTGAATTAAATAACATAATTATTTTCTTTTTGTTTTAATAATCCTACCTCTATTTTACTGAGATCTGCAGTAAGAATATCTGGTTTACTAAGCTGTGTTTCTAGAGATTCCTGCAAAACCAAATTAAAAGTAGCCAAATTAGTGGACGTATTTGTGTGCAAATCGTAAGTCCAATAAGTAATTGAAAGGTGAGTCGGAGCAAGAGATTGAGTAATACAGTCGAACCTCCATGTGCGACCACCTCTCGTAAGCGACCAGCTATCCAAAACACCTTGCCCACCCTGGAAATTTACTCGAAGTCTACGCACGTTTTACGTGATGTCATCCCACAGAAGTGAATTCCCCGGATAAAACGAAAAACCAATTGATTGCGCATGCTTCTGATCTTACATCCGACAATTTTTGGTTTTTTCCCGCTATTGTTGAGAATAGAGTGTTGGCTCCCTCAAGGCTGGCCAGCAATTACTTGTCGTAGAAAATTGGCAGATCATTACCTTTCTATAACTTCTATAATCACAGAGTAAAACTAATATTTCTAAATAACACCCCACAATAAATAAAAACCTTATAAGAGTTCTATTAACTTACGAAATTCAACAAAGAAGAAGTAGTCTTGATTTGTCTTCCTATTCCACCATATTCATAATCTTTGTACTCAGGTCCACTAGTATCACAGATACTAAATGCATAGGGAGATAGCACTGTAGAAACATCCATCAAGATGACATAAATATGTAAAAATATATACATCACATATAACCCCCCACCCTGGAGACCCAAGGGCAGTCAACAGTCAGGTCAGGAGAAACAGCAGGGATTCTTCCACCCTACCAGGGCTGCAAGCAAGCTCTCTTGTGGGGAGAGGAGGGGTAGCGTGTGCAAGTTCGTCCAAAAAGTTGAGACGAGAGCAACATTTCACCATTTCTACATTTGTTTTGCTTGTTTTTTTTTTACCATAACATTCACAGTTTTGACGTCCATTTCCGCTGAATTTTCTCGGAAAATCGCACGCAAGAGAAAGAAAAAAACAAATTGTGCCACCATCACATCATTTTCATGGTCTGTACCGTCTTATCGAACATAGCTCTCGACCAATCAGCACACGAAAAATCGCTCCGTTATGGTAAAAATGGGATTTTTCCACGTTGAGTAAATAAAGGCCATGAAAAAAGTTTAGCAAAGGCTCCACATGCTTACATGAAATACACTTTTGGGTATACATGCAGTCTATTGACCAAGACCAAGGCAACAAAACATACACTGCAGATTGTACATGTATAGGGTTGATCTGTATTAGACTTCCTAACCTTTGACGGTCTGTTCTGATCCATTGAGAGCAGTCATTCCAACAATTTCTTTGAATGTGACCTTATCACCAGTCTGTAAGCCATGCATCCGATTTTCTAATGTTGTCACCACACCAGGATTTGCCTGTCGAAACACATTTTACCGCTCAACATAAAATTATTACTTTTATATAAAATGACAATAAAGTTAGCTTTATTCTTGTCATCAAAATTATGTTGCTTACGTACCTTAGTAATTTTCCAAACAAAGAATTCCTTTGGTTCCTCCCCAGTGGAGTCAAGGACTTCAAAATTCGGTCCAAAATCACAAAATGCCCAACTGACCACTCCATGTATGCCTGCACTAATAAACTGCAGATATAAACATGACAAAAGATATTCAATATCAGGTCAATGTAGTAGTTTAACGTTCACTAGTGATTGATTGTTTCCAGGGTAGGGTCTCTCAACCAGCTGGACTCCAAGACCTGCTTCTTCGCTGTTTTTTTCTTTTGGCCTCAATGTTTTTTAAAATCTGTGGTTCCTGTGACCTGGTTTTAGGAAGTTTAACCAACAACGACAGTAACGTCCACGAAAACGTCACTTGAACACTTGAAAGTGAATTCGCGCTACTTCAAACTTCATCGCGCTTATTCCATTTTGTTCAATTCGTCAAATGATGGTGAATTTTTCTGGAGTTGAATTCTAAAAGACTGTTTCAAAGTTCAGGGAGAGAAAAATAAAGTCGTTGTCCTCATTCACGTCCTCGACAAAACGTGAAATTAGGCACTCTCACGTTGTAATCATGCAGCCATGGCAAAGAAATGTACAAAAAAGCGTGATGCACATGCAAAGTTGTTGTTTTGCCATTCTAAACCTATTGCTTTTTTGCCGTTCTTGTTGCCGTCACCGTTGTTGTGGCTTAAGCTCCCTTTTATTGCCTATCACCTTCAAGCTGATCACCTGTGTCAAGGGGTGTTACGAAAACTAAGACCCTCGAAAACTAAGACCTAAGACCTAAGACCCGTCTTAGTTTTCGAGATTACGAAAACTAAGACCCCCTAAAATCGAATCCGTCGAAATATAAAGTCAAATTGTAACCGAAATAGGTCTGATCTGTCAAATTATATCATGTTCGATCCTTTCCACCGAGTTTTAGGTCAAATTTAACGGTAAATTTAGGGGTCTTAGTTTTCGTAATTTCGAAAACTAAGACCCCTCTTAGTTTTCGTAATTACGAAAACTAAGACCCCCACCAAAACAATCTCTAAAGTTTCTACAAAGTCGAATTACGACCGTTTGAAGAGGGTGTTACGAAAACTAAGACCCTCGAAAACTAAGACCTAAGACCTAAGACCCGTCTTAGTTTTCGAGATTACGAAAACTAAGACCCCCTAAAATCGAATCCGTTGAAATATAAAGTCAAATTGTAACCGAAATAGGTCTGATCTGTCAAATTATATCATGTTCGATCCTTTCCACCGAGTTTTAGGTCAAATTTAACGGTAAATTTAGGGGTCTTAGTTTTCGTAATTTCGAAAACTAAGACCCCTCTTAGTTTTCGTAATTACGAAAACTAAGACCCCCACCAAAACAATCTCTAAAGTTTCTACAAAGTCGAATTACGACCGTTTGAAGACTATAATCCGTAAGACAAACAACTACTATCATCCGCGTGCTAGACCGCATCTTCTAACAATTTGCAGACATACATTATCAATATTGCGGCTTTAAGAAGAGGATGAAAGCTACAGAGTACCTACGTATAATTGCACACTGAAAATATGCCTTACCCCTATAATTTTGGTTGTTTATCCTTAAAGTCATAAAATTGGTTTTCCACTGGAGATGGATTTTTGTCTTCGTTGCGGGCTGACATGTCGCTGCGACCTAAATGCCTGATCGCTAAGTGGTCAAAGGCGTTATTATCGGTTAAACATCACACAAAAATGCGGATTTTTTTCCTTTTCTGGCCAGGTCATAGATAGAAAAGTGTTTTTATAAAAAAGGCGAAAAAAGGAGAATATGCTACATTGCGTTTTTCTAGCGTTTGTTTTTATTGTTGCCACCCCGGAGATCACTGGGTTACAATGCAAAGGTAGTTGAGGGGTAGGGGTGGGGGGCAAGGAGAAATAGTCTGTGAGGGATAATCGCTAAAATCACCCATGAAATAATAATTAAAAAAGGAATGAGTGAATGAATTTCCTGTACTAGCAAAGCATCTTCTCGAGAATTGGAGTTCTAATTTCAGAACAATAAAATAAACAAACAATCAATACAAAGTGAAGATTGTGTGACAGTAGCTTGCCAGAGGTCAGGATTCCCGGAAAAACATCCATCTGCAGTGGAAAGCCAATTTCATGATTTAAAGGATAAACAACAAAATTAAAGACCAATAGGGGTAAGGCATATTTCAGTGTACAATAGATACGAAGGAAGTCTATGGTTTTGGTCCTCTTTTTAAAGCGAGTCTTCAATTTGTTAGCGGATCGTAGATCAGCACGCTTATGATAGTAGTTTTTGTTTGTCTTACGGATTATTGTCTTCAAACGGTCGTAATTCGGGGTAATTCGACTTTGTAGAAATTTTAGAGATTGTTTTGGTGGGGGTCTTAGTTTTCGTAATTGCGAAAACTAAGAGGGGTCTTTGTTTTCGAAATTACGAAAACTAAGACCCCTAAATTTACCGTTAAATTTGACCTAAAACTCGGTGGAAAGGATCGAACATGATATAATTTGACAGATCAGACCTATTTCGGTTACAATTTGACTTTATTTTTCAACGGATTCCATTTTAGGGGGTCTTAGTTTTCGTAATCTCGAAAACTAAGACGGGTCTTAGGTCTTAGGTCTTAGTTTTCGAGGGTCTTAGTTTTCGTAACACCCCTGTGTCAAGCATAACCCAAACAATAACAGAGCTTTTGACAGAGATAAACCCTTCCAAAAATTCCTTTAAACTGTCTAAAAAACACAAAACTTTATTCAAGTCAAAATCCCCTTTTTCCATCTTTTTAACACTGAAAAAAGCAATATGCCAAACTTAGCAAAATCACTGCCTGCAGGGGTTTTCAATTGCCTGGTCACACTATAACATAAAAAAATGGCTACCTCAAGATAAGTCCAGTCATTACTGGTGAATTTGTCAGGCTACCTTTCAGTAGTTGTTTTTTTTTGCACAATATTTTGCACTAGGAACACTTGCACAGGCAAGTAAATTGTACTGGATCTTATGAAAAGGTGAAAGATCAATCAATATGTTCTATGCACTTGCCTTAATAGGTGGCTTCTGTGACCTGCAGAATGAGTCTACTTCAAGCTGTAAACTAAGTGGGGCCTCTGTGAGAATCACGCACTAACAAAAAGAGAATCCACAGGGACAAAGTGAGAAAAACTACTTCAAAACACATGTAGTTTTATCTAAAGTTAATGTGCACTTTGATGCTGCAGAATTTTCACAGATTATTGAAGCTGCAAATCAGTTAAAGATATTTGACAAATTGTGAATGTGAAGGCTTCTTTCTGTTCTATCCCCAAAAAGAACAGGGGAGACAATTCGGTAATCTGTCCATCAGATAAATTTTGGTAAGAACCTGGTTTTTAAGAACCTGTTAGGCTAAAAATGTTCAGTTAGGTGCCCCCCCCCCCCCTTCCCACAATCAGTGTTCTTCCGAAAATTCTAGCTCAGCAGGTACGGGACCATTCATGGCCAGTAAGGCAAAAAATATGCGCCAGAGGTGCGCTTCCCTGGGGGGAGGGAGGGAGGGTAGTGGAGTGAAGGACATGGCCTGCCCTCGTATGGAAATTTAGGAGCTAAGTTCTCTGAAACGTCATTCCCTCATTTTAAGACCTGTTTTACGCAAATCGGCTGTTGTTATCTTTAGACAACAATTTAAAGCGTTTAATTCCAATAATTTTACTGTGCCTTCAATGTTCTCTTTTCAAAATACGTGGCTCATAAAAAGAAAAGCTGTGCATACTTTAGTACTTTTCCATATATTCATTCTTTTCCTTGACCTTGTGAGAATATGATAGGATCACAACTTGCGTATTTCTAAAAAAATTTTCTTAATTTCAGTAAACCTTCAAGCTGTTTCAGATGGTCAGAAGTCACGGTAAGAAGTGTTGCTTCAGGTGGTAAATTTTACCAGTTACTGCCTGATAAGGAGAACACTGCCCTATATGTGAACCTGTTTTTGCCTAAAACTTGAAACAGGTTCTTATTTTCTAATATCTATATTAAAGAAATTCTGTACACTTGGGCAAAAGGACTTCAAAATTCAAGTAGTCAGTGCAACAGTCCTTCTTCTCATAGTCATTTAAAAATTACATAAATACTAATTTGGTATGTAGATTTTATATGAGGAAAAAGCTGAAGAAAACTAATACTCATAGCTACTTTTTTTTCTTTTTTTCTTTTTTTTTCAGAAAACAAGAACATGTTACAATTTTTAACTTTGTGCTAATTACCATTTATGTAAGAACCTGTTAAGGCTAACTTGAGAAAAATTATTCAGGTTCTTAGTCACAGGTTTTTACCATGATTTCTTTTCATAAACTCAAGCTCAACAAAATTAATTAAAAAAAGGTTAACAATATCTGGATTACTACCCTGGAATGATAGTACTGAGAAGTAGAGTGTCCCCTGTACCTGGTAGTGTTTAAGGAAATCCAAGTTACCACTGCTGATAGATGCAGTTGAAGTTTGAATAGTAACATAAGGATTTAGCTCTGCAAGTAGTGATGCACTGGCTTCTGCTCTAAAGAATAAAAAAACAAAACAAAAATATAACAATGTATGTATACAAGGAATTGCTTTCCAAAAGATTTATGGACATTAATTTATTTATCTATTATTAGGGTCTGCTGAAAGAAACATTGAGATTCTCAGGAAACAAAATTAACACTGTTTCCCTCAGGAGGGGTCGTATTATCTTCAGTTTTGAGGCCTATCTTGATAGGAAAAGAAATAAGTTATATACAGGATAGATAAGATCCATGAGACCACTAGTATCATGACTAGTATTCACCAGCAACCAGCTGAAATGACCCCACCAGGGTGATTGGAGTCCCCCCCCCTCATTCCATCTCCAGAGAGCAGTTTTGCAGCCTCATCATCAAAATGAGGCTGCTAATAGCTGAGATGATCACTGATGAAGGAGAAATCCAGATGGGTTTAGAAGTTTTCTATGACCTTTTCCAATTGTTTTTGTATGAAGAATTATATTTTTTCCTCTGGATACATCTCAACAGACAAATTGTCATTTTCTCAAAGTTAAACTTGTTTAGCACATGTAGGCTGATTTGCCTTGAGTAATTATGCTCTAATATATAAGATTATTGTTTGTGTTGATCCATTAAGAAAATGTAATTTTAGAAATTTCGAATAAATTTATTATTATTATTATTATTTATTATAAATTTCTGAAATTACATTTTTCTTAATCAAATTAAAAAAAAAACAAATTTAAAATATCACAAACTAATGTCCTACCTGTTTTTGTTGTTTCTGATATCATCCTCCCTCAAGAAGAACTGGCTTCCAAGGTCTTGAAAGCAGGTAATCTTGGTATCTTGTAGAGTGATGGACTATTAAGCATAAGAACAATTATCTTCAACTTCTTAACTTAACTAAAAATCAATGGGCTAGAAATTTCCACAATTCATTCAGAAGCCTCTGTCAGTGATTGTGTTACAACCTTTGAACAAAAAAGCAATTCCATAGCCTTAGTAATCATGAGCCAGTGGAGCTAGGGAAAATATTAAATTGATGTTGGTCACTATTGGGACTAGAAGGGTAAATTTAGTTTAACAGTATTACATTTAACTTTATGCTATGTTCCCAACACTGGATAGCGTTTCGTCCCAACACGAAAAGCCATCTGATGTAGTATGAATGCCTATCCGATATGTGACTCTTCACTTTAGAGACTGGAGTGTGTACAGCTTTACTCTCTTACAGAAACTGCCCCCAAATCACCATTCTTATGTTTGAACAGAATCCCTATCCGGTATGGTTCTCGTGCAGGCGCAAAAGTTATCATAGTGTGAACACAGCCTTAAACAGAGTATCCACAAAAGCTGTAAGCTAGCAGAGGCCTGTTTGCAGGGAATGGGGGTGACCCAGACTAGAGCATCTGAACCAGCTTTATTGTCTTTTACCACAACTAATATTTAAAAACCTCAGTAATTGCTTGATTTTGGAATTTCAGGCTCTGCACTTAATTGGATTGAATCGTACCTTTCTAACAGAACCCAGCGCATCTATATAGACGGAGTTCTATCGAGTAATTTTAATCTTAAATTTGGAGTTCCACAAGGCAGCTGTCTCAGGCCATTATTGTTTTCCCTCTATGCTAGTAAACTTTTTAAGATCGTCGAATCACATCTTCCTAATTCCCATTGTTATGCAGATGACACGCAACTGTACATCGCGTTTAGATCAGGAAATGATTTGGAGGAGACCGCTGCTATAACTGCCATGGAATCATGTATTGCTGATATCAGTAGATGGATGCATTCGGATAAGTTAAAACTGAATTCGATAAGACAGAATGTCTTCTGATTGGAACACGACAACAACTTCAGAAAGTCAGTAACATTAGTACCTTATCGGTTGGGGACTCCCAAATTGCTCCATCTTCTGAAGTTCGAAACCTAGGAGCTTGGTTTGATTCTAAAATGAGTATGCTAAGTCATATCAACAAAACTTGCTCATCCGCTTTCAATTATCTTTATAACATGCGTAGAATTAGGAAATATTTAAGTCGTTCAGTCACCGAATCATTAGTTCATGCTTTTATCACCAGTAGAATAGATTATTGTAACAGTCTACTATATGGCCTCCCGAATTCACATATCATGAAACTCCAACGGATACAGAATGCAGCACTCTCGGTTGGTCACCGGAACACCTAGATTCTGCCATGTTACACCATTGCTTTTCCACCTTCATTGGCTTCCAATAAGTTACCGTATAAAGTTTAAGATTCTACTTTTGACATTTAAGTGCTTATATGGTCAAGCTCCTAATTATCTAATTGATTTCATTACTACCAAAAAGCAATCCAAGTACTCTCTAAGGTCAAATGAGTCTATATTCCTCGAGTTACCATGCATTAAGACCCATCCAACTCTTGGCGATCGTGCATTCCAGTCAGCTGCACCTTATCTCTGGAATGCATTACCTTCGGAAATTCGCAACATGAAGACATTGGACACTTTTAAGACTGCTGTTAAAACTCATTTTTTCAATTTAGCTTTTAAATAGATTTAATTGTTGGCTTTTATTTATTTATTTTTATTTATAGTTTTTAATACTTTTTATTGTAGTTTTTAATAGTTGCTCATGCTTTAGTCACCTTTAACATAAATTTAATATAACAATATTGTAAAGCGCAACCGAATATATTCATATAGAGGTTTGCGCTATATAAATGTAAATTATTATTATTATTATTAACCATTGGATGAACAAGAAAATTAATACCCCAAACATGGGCTGAGCAGAGAGGGGACAGATAGATCCTCCCTTGAGTTTTCCTCTGTTCAGATTTTTTTCAAAATTCAATGTTTAATAAAAAGCCCAGCTTGTGTGCCTTGAACTCTAGAGACTGATGGGTATTCTGAGATATGATACTGCTGGTGATGACATCTGTTAAAATAACAACATCATAAAAATTCTTTCACGGAAAATTCAGTTCTATGCAAATAGCTTGAAAATTAAGGAGGACTAGTCTCCTTCAGAATCATTTTTTGCATGTCATGAAATGCTTATTCTCTGTTAAATGACCTTCAAAAATGGCTGCTAAGAAGACTTAAGTAGAACATGCTGAAGGTCTAAAATTGATTGTAATGAAACATTTTGCTACTTTTTGTATGTTTTCCTTTTAAACAAGAAAGTGGAATTAAATTTGATTTTTATTAAAATGACACAACCTCATGTCAACATCATTTATCTCTTAACCATAGCATCCAATGCTCACGAAATTTTTTAAAAATGTGTGTCACAAATAAATGAACAGATACTCATGTTCAGAAGGTATGGCTCAAACTTCATAACAAAACTAGAAAATCCTCACAGGAAATGGCTTCCATGCACCTACCCTGTACCTTGTACATGTCAGCAAAATGGGATGCAAAATGAGTGACTGACCATTAACAAATTAGTTTTTCAGTAGGTTAAAACTTTACCTTAACGCCAGCTAGGACAACATTTTTGGCTAAAGCAAAAAGAAAAAATTATTATTAACAATCAATCCTTCACTGTTCAGTTTGAAAATCTCTAGAAGCTAGTGATTGTGTTCAGGTACGTACCCAATCATTGATCAAGGCCACTGTTAGTTTTATTTAGTTTCTTATTTATCTATTTATAATCCTTCATGATGCTACATAAGCATTATTTTCAGCAGACCTGTATCAAAAATGGTAAGAAGACAAGCTTGACAAATACGATTGGAGAAATGCATTGAAGGTCCTTAGAAGTCTTGAGTTTTGAAGTCAATTTTATTTCATAACCATGCAAATATACAAGGTCATAAGGTAATCTACCAGTTCTTCAGAAAGGGCTTTTTGCCACCACACCCCTTTCATATGACGTTTGGGAGACAAAAATATAACTTATACTAGTACATCTGTGTGCATAAACATTCATCACAGATAGTTTTGAGAGACATTTTAAAGTATCAGAGGACCCTTGTCATAGCCAAGGAACCAAAAAAAGCCTTAAGTAACAACAGTGTAGCAAGCCTGAGCTTTGGCATTTACATGTAACTTACCTATTTCTACTCCCAGGCCACCAAGACCACTCAGGAACACTTTAGACTGTGCCATTTTGATCATTGCTCCATCACCAAGCATATAACGCTGACGACTGGAAAACAAAGTACATAACATTTTTGGTGGATAAACTCTTGAAAGCATTCATATATGAAGCAACTGGCTGTTGTTGATCTATTTCTCCTTCTTTGAAAGTCACAATAATGGGACTGTTTCCTGTCACCCTGTGATATCATAGCCACAAATATTGATCTCCACACTACACTTTGTGATCATAATAGAACTACTCAGTGTCTTTATGGTGTTGTACAACAAAACACATAATCACTGGGCCACTGACCCGACACAAGACAAATGCAGAAGCACTTTATTCACAACAAACAAAACTCAGTTACACTGCATGGCAAGAGGCAAAAACTGAATCATGTGACAAAAAGCATGAAAACTGCTGGTACCCTTACTTGAGCCTAGGTCTCATTTAGTGTGAGAGAACTTCATTTCCTGCTCCAGTCTTTTGCAAGCTCAGCCGGCAAGAAAAAATATCCAATCAAGTCCAATACAGGTGTCGCTGACACTTTAGTTAAACTGTTCCTTTCACAAATCTAAGTGTTTCCCTGGATAGATTAATTTATTTTAAATGTAACCAATTTAAATGTTACCCTAGGGATCAGTCAATGAGTATTAATTAAAATAATAATAATAATATTATTATTATTATTATCATACCTGTACAAAGAGTCATCAATTTCAACATCAGCTGCATTTGCCATTTTAGAGCACAAGCCTTTTCTTTATTCCCAAAAATATATTTAGTCTATTTGTTTTACTATGATATCAGGTTGGGGGCCTGAAGAGCTGTAGAGAGATAAAAAAGATGTACATTTAAGAAAGTCAGATAAAATATCTAAATATAACAGTCTGAGTATCAACAAACAAGGCCTGTTTCCATATCCTGAGAAAACAGCCAACACTTTGTGGTGCCACCACTGGTTACTGTTTCCATGGAGTGAGGGTAACTGAGCCTGTTTTGATGTCTTTTGTCTACTTTCTTTGGCGGGTCAGATAGGGTTATCCAGGCCAACGTCCTAAGCTCACATCCTCACCAACTCCCTCCCCCTTCCCTCTTGAGGCCGGGCTATCTTTATTTACTTGCAAAAAGAATTAAAAATTTATTGTCTAAAGTAAAAATGTACTTTATACAGCTGTCCTATGTAGTTTAAAAACACTCCCCTTAAAAAAATTACAAACACATAAACTAAAATGGAACATAATCAGTTGAAAAGTCCCAACTTGTGCTATTTACAAACATGGTTAAGGAAGTTGCGAAGGTTTGGCCCAGGTTGTCCAAACTTTGGATAGTGCAATCCACCAAATAAGTCACAATACAGACAATAAGCGTTATCAGAAACAACTGCGTTATCCACAGGATAGAAATTAATTTTATCAAGTGGGTCCACCCCCAGGGGGGTGGGGGGTAGGGGTGGGCTACTGTGGATTTCAAGTGATGACGATGATGGAAGAATTTTTTTGGGTTTGAAATTTTCGATTTCAGAATTTTGAGGGTTGTAAGACAATTTAGCAAGTATTTTGGGGGGTTGCTTGTTTTAAGCAGGGATTTTGGGTTTTCAAAACAATGTGAAGACTCGTGATAGTGGCCACGTATCCTGGAGGAGGATAAGGAGCCTCAGATCAGAAATTCGGCACAGGATTTTTCTAGGGGTTAATTTTTGTTCCAGTTTGGGGTATTGTTGGAAGCCCTAAGGGTATTTTTGGGTTTTGATTTTTGCCCCAATTTGATCCTTCCCATCACTTGAAATCCAGAGTCCTCCCACTGGGATCCACCCTTTGAACAACTGGGGCCAGGGTTTGAAACCTGGTCAAATTCAAGTTCTTTTTCAACTACTTAGTTTGATCATCTCACTGTGAATATCACAACCAGTTTCATCTCTTTAGTCACACTTCTAGTGTGTGATTTAAATTCATACATTCACAGCCATTTCGGACACAACGTTGGCCCTTAAAATGTGCACAATTTGGTGATGTTGTGACTGTTGAAATCAAGCAGCATAAAACATGGCGAAAAATAAATGCTAACTTGTATATTACTCATGCCAAGCTTATAAAGGCCACATGATCCAAAATCAGCAGATGGCACTAGCTGCTGTATGTAAATTATACTTAAGTTTGATCACGTGTCTTCCCAAAAGGTGAAATAAAACAAGTCGCCTATAAATCGAAATTTTGCACGGAAAAAGCTTAAATTATAAAATATTAAAACAAAGTAAGGTAAAACTGGAAAAAGGCGATAGAATCAAGCACATTTAGAGTTTTAACGTTACTGTCGAACTCTGGAAGAGAGCGAAATTTTAGGCACTGTGATAACCGGAAGAGGTACAAAACACTTTCTGTATAAAGGAATTCTCACGTCTAATTTTCCTCAGAAATAATAGCGCAAAATAGCTTTACCGAAATTACCGTACCTGTCTGTCCAATCTGAGAACGAAAACAATTCTTCAACGACGCAGACAAGAATATTATATTATTTGCAGGCTCTCCAACTGAACTCCACTAGCCAGTACAGCCGGCTTCGATGTCAAGCGACCGAGAAGGACTTGAGACTAGTTCCCAGTCTCTTAGCGCTTGCTGAGGGAAAATCAAAGTAAAAACTATGCATGGGGGTGGATACATTGTTTAAAAAATGAAGATGCCAGGTAACAGAATAAAATATTTATTTTCAGTTGAAATAATATACCTAAGTAAAATTCCGGCTGCCGTACATGTTCCTTTCAAACCCGCTTGGCTTAACACGACTTTATGTTGTGAAAATGTAATCTAGCCACAATATATATGATGGAGGGGGACTTAAGGGTTTACGGTATTGTGATATTGAGCTTTTTTTCAAGCGTTTTTTCGGTAATTTGGATTTTAATGTGCGGTATTGCGGTATCAGTCAGCCCTGCGGTATGCGGTTTTTCATCTTTCTGAACAACGGTATTCGGTAAAGAAGATCCTTCACGGAATTGCGGTATTGGGTACCCCCCCCCAAGTTCCCCTCTTCATGCTTACTCTGTTTATTATTAGTAATCGGAACATGACAGAATGGAGTTCAATTCACAATGGTAATTTACTCTTGTCTTTCTAAGATACCACAATTGAGGAGTTGCGTTCTATCTTTCTACCATAACTGCAATCGCCGTCTTGGTCGTAAAGGAAACAACCCAAAAGTTAATAAAAAAATAAACATTGTTCTAGAGCTTTGGTTTGAAGGAAATATCGTTACAGACTGGAAGAAAGCACCAAATTTGCCACAGATGTTTAGGGTAGGTAAAACAAATTTAGAAGGGATGCCAAATGATCCGATTATCCGTGGGGGGGCAAGACAAGCATTTCATTTTCAGCACCTTCTGTAAGCATGAAATCGAAATTTACTTGTTTTTTATTGACTAATATTCGTTTATGCCAGTACCAAAATAAAACATCTCTGGCGTGGTCTAGTTACGGCCAAACAGTAAGTTGTGATGACAAGTTCTTTCGGCGTAGAAAAGAGAAAAAAAACGACCATTGTTTTTCATCTGAAGAAGTAAACTGAAATTATGTTAGCAGTGCTTGAAAATCGTGGAAATCTCATACTGGCAAATTTGCCCCAAATGTACGTAAAAACTGTACAACATTTCAAAAACACCGGGCAGCACTTATTCAGCAGAGTCAGCTGAAGGCGAGCCCAAATCTCCGAGAAAGAAACTTTTGTTTGTTACATTTCGGTAACGGAAGAAATTTTTTTTTCCAAATGACTCAATTGCCGTTTAGTGAATACGAAGAAAAAAAGAATCGCGCGCGCTTCGTTCCAAATTCCATAAATGACGTATAAATGATTGTGACGCAAACAATAGAAGTTTCAAACTTTCTTACAAAGTAGCAAGATGGTTTTGGCTACTTTTTGGGTCGGCTACATTGCGGCTTATAAATTGTGGAAATTTTGATTCCATACGAGGGTGCCTACAGCAGTTAAAGTGATACCTCAACAAAGGTAGTTTTGTGTTTTTACTGTTTATTTCAGCTACAGAAAAGTGCGTTCGTGCTGGATTCTTCGTCAAACTTAAGCAGAATATGCGGGATATTTTAACCACCAACTGTAAATGATTGCTCTACTCAAATTCACATTTCACTCCTTTTTGTCATTGGCGAAAACGTGGCCTTAGATAATTTTTTATTGTTATATTTAGCTTTCTAAACACTTAAGGCCTTTTTTCTGTTAAATAGCTTTTTCCATTTCTAAGATGCACTTGGGAAACAATTGACATTTGTTGACTGTCGGTTGGCATGGTAACAAGAAACGACGTCACTGTTCATAATTTGAACGAGCTGGCCAAAATGCGTGTTTCGCACTTAATGTTTGCAGGCGTTTTATTTTGCGGGTGGACAATTTTTTTGGTATTTTTTTCTGTCTGGTTTTCTCTTTAGGAACTAATTTGCACGATTCTTAGCTGTTGCATTTAAAATTATTTTGTTTATTGGAGTCAAGATATAGAGAAACCAACATCCAAAAATAAATAGCCACGGTTGTCTTCAAATGTTGGATTAAATCTGCTCGGTGGTTTTTCTTTATTTAAGGAGACCATTTTCTGCTGTTTCTGCGATCGTGAACGAAAGCTCAAAATCGAAAAAATATGGAAACCGTAAAAATTTAATGCCACACGGTATAAGATAAAAGCAATATGTAAATAATGAGCATTTTAAAGAATAAGATAACATCAAAAAGGATTTCTGCTAAAAATAGCAGCCAAGATGAAATCTGTTATCGCAAAAGAAACAATATATACTAATACAAAAAAATGAATGAAATAAAAAAAATAGCTTGCCACAAAGTTCTTCTTACTGCACTTTGACATTTCTTTTTTCGATGGCGCTCCAATCGCTAATAGAAAATTGCAATACTATTACGGAAGCTTATGACTACAGTAAAACTATTTATTTATTCATTTATTATTTTTTTATCTTTTCATTTACTATTTTAGGAGCAAGGAAAGTAAGCGGAATATACATCGAAAGACATATCAACCGCAACAAATGGTAATAAGAATTGATAAATTCATTAGTCTTGGTATTTTATAACTATTGAGACCTTTTACACTGATGGGAGCAAATTTTTGAACGGACAAATCTTGCAAGGAGGATCCGCCTTTCGTTTACACGGGAACAGCGAAACCATCCTAGTTTTTAAACTGCAAAGTGTTGCGATACACGTATGGCTAAGTAGTTAGCAGTATAAAGGATCCTGTTGCCAAATGAAGTTCACATAGCAATTTATCATGTTTATTTATTCAAGAAGAACTACTGATGATTATACAAATTTGTGTAAAACTGTGAAAGGTTTGAACTCAGGAGTCCTTTCAAAAGTAGCTTGAGATTGATCGCCCGGGTGAACGTAGTCCTGAATAGGACTGTTGTTGTTGACAGTGACTGACGTTTTGACAACCTGTGCGGTAGTCATCTTCAGAGTCAAAGTGAGTTGTATCACGTCAGTTGATGGTATTATACTCTGGTTATCGACCTGATTGGTCAATTACGTTGCGATGTTATTGGTCGTCTGTCAGTTAAGCCGTGAAGTTGTTGGCTATGAAGACTCGTAATGTAATTGGTGCGTTTCGATCCGTTTATTGTCACAGTTAAAAAACAGTCGCCATTGTTAGTCAAATTGTCAGTTGTCCAGTCGTTCTCTCGTAGTTAGTTTTGCTTGATTTCGTCAATAAGTCCTTTGGACGGAGCCGGTAACTGTTGACTTTGATTTAGTGGCGTTTGTTCTAAGTTAGTAAACCAGCTCTCTAAAGTGAGTCGTTGATATTGAGTAGTCGGTAGAATATGTGTAATACATGTCGCAGAGTCCCAGTCGATTTGATGTTTCGTCTGTAAATGTTTTGTGTCTTACTATAAAAACAAAGAACAGTTTATTAAATATTTTTATCGGGTAAAAGGTTAAAGAAACCTTATTTTACGTTGGTGGCTCAATATATTCATCATCTGGCTAATGAATCTGAGGCAGACGGTGCGCTCGTTTTACCAGACTCCCCCTCCCCTAATCCTCCCGCCCCACTCCTCTCTGTTCATATATGTTGGTGCTCTACTGCACGAGTACTAAAAACTACCAAAACTATGAAAAAGAAACAAGTCGAAACAAGGAATTGAGGTCTGGGAATCGAGATGATCGGAACCTCTTGCACAGATCAACCAGTTTCAAAGGAAAACCGGCTGACTTTCTTAGTTTTCATCCTGCAAGGCTATTGGCTATTAAATTCACAGGCTCCTATCCAGGCATCTACAAAAAGTGATAATCAAGCCCGGGAGGTACTCCCGCGAATTTTGGATAGGGGTGTACCGGGAAGGTTCGTGAATCCTAACCCTATTCAAGGACTAAGAAAGCGAAAACTGATACCCTTTTTAAGGCCGAAAGCCGAAAAAAGACGCCCTATTCAAGGAAAAAACAAAATTGTTAATAACATGAAAAGGAAAACTATGTTTCTTCCCTGTAACATTGGATGTATAGCATCAAGCATAAAATACTAGAATAAGCCTAGTTTAAAAAAAGAATCTTCGTTTAGGTGGGCGTTTTCACACCCCAGTATTAGATAATACAATTAAGCTACCCTATCTAAGGACCACACCAGGGACACAGAAACAAAAGGGTCAAAAAAGATACCCTATCTAAGGACCGAGAACCTCAAAAACCACACCCTATTCAGCGGCACGTACCTATATTGCCCATATATGGGAGTACCCCCCTCCCGGGTAATCAAGTCAGTACTGACAGGCTAGCGCAAGCAACCAAGACTGTTTCTAAGACTTGCGCCGATGTGCGAACTGTCCAAGTTTCTTTGCCTGATGTTTTTAACTCAAAGAGCGCCGCTGCAGTTGGAAATGTTTCATCCGAGGCACAGATAATCAAGGACGTTTTTAAGGAAGTAGTTGATAAACGTGATTGCCCTTGAGGCTAATGTACCAGTAGCTTTTGAAAGCGTTGGAGAAACTTTGAGTGATATCCATCCAAAAGGTGACAAGCTAAACGTCACAATATTTATCACGAAACAATACAATATTACAATAGAAATTATTCAGTATTTAAGGCACTAAAATTATGTGATGTGTGATTGCCTCTTTTTCAGTTCTTTGGCTTTGGCCAACACGTATCTAGCTACAATTGTAGACAAGTTAGAGTTGAACACGTTTGTAACCGTTGTTTGTCGTCTTCTCCATATTCCAGCAACGCAGTGCAAATTGATCGCAAACATGTTTTAAACGCTGAAGCTAGGGATTTTATCCCTGTCTTTCCCTTAACTAACCGATTTGAAGCAGAAGATTTCAGCTGAGTGGAGCTTGAGTAATATTAATAATATTGCATTACTGTAGTTGCACACTTAAAAATCAGCATTTATGAGAACTAAAAAAGGAATTGCATAATATGAATGCTCTGGTCTTCTGAATTTTTTTGGCCTTTTCCTCGTCAATAGAAGGGCTTGGGAGAGATCATCTTGGGGGAAAAGATAGGGAAAAGGAGAAAGAGGAAGATCAAGAATCAGTAAGAAAGGGACATATCGGATGTTTTTGACATTTCATTGACAGCTGGATGATGGGCACTTGTTGGAGATCTTTTCCGCTGTGTGGTCAGAGCTGCGATTTCCAATACGATAAGCAGTTAGAGTAGTAGTAGCAGCTGTAGTAGGAGTTAAGTTTTGAGAAGAATTTCTGTCAGCATACATGAAACGTTATAATGTCATAGCCTATTGACGTGACTCAGTTATGGTGTCGTCCTAGCCCGTTTTTCGGTGCCTTTGGCTGTAAGAGGACTGTAAGAAAACTGAAACGTGTTGTTTACCGTTGCCTGCCGTCTATTTTCAGATTTCAGCATTGATAGTGATCACCAACATTCTTTAAACTCTGAAGTCACTGAAGCGAAGGAATTTATTCCTTCCTTTCAAGCAACTGGCGAATATAAAACAGAAAAAAATGGCAAACTGGAGCTTAGGTATCTAGATGCGTAAAGGTTCATAAAGCGGGTCTTGACGGTCAAGCTACGGTCAGCATTACGTCAGCTTTATCGAACAGTAAAGTTACCATTTCGTGCTGTGTTCTAATGAGCACTTAGAACGTTAATCATTCTTGAGTGCTTACTGAGGTATTGTATGGCATAGATGTTGTGGTCCTTTGAGAATTTTGTCAGAAATATATAAAAAGCTATGACGCCATAGCCTATTGACTTGGTATTTAGGCTGTTTTCTAGTGTGTGGATGGCGGAAGACAACCAAGACGACTATGCGGCTGACCTTCGTTATCCTCCCCCATAAGACAGCCTCCAAAATTCGAGTCAACTCCGCAAACCATTGAAAACCACGAGACCTTAACTCAATTCTAAAAGTTAACCCGATAAATAAGTAAGATAAGATAAGAACCTTTATTTAAGTGCCAAAGTATTTAGTCTAAAGGGACTAATTGGGGACACTAAATAAACTGATACTATTAAAATTAAAATGTCAAAGGGGATTATTTACAATAAAATCTACACCCTCAATCAAACTACAAAAAGGTATACGATTACAATACTATAATACTCAATAATATAAAAAATAGATTGTTGACTATTCACTGCAAAGTTTACAGCAGTTACTATTATTAGAAATATACTCTGAAATGTCCAATTTTCTAATTTTGTTCCTAAATCTGGCTAAGCTAGAAGTCTCTCGTAGATCTTTGTTTAGTTTAGACCACAAGTACGGGGACCTAAGTATCTGATCAAATGTTTTCCATAGCGAATGGTGCTGAAACGTGGTATGACAAAGTCATCATTTCGGAGTGAATGCGCGGAATCCTTACGAACGAATAAGTTACAAACGTTATTAGGCACGAGTCCGTACTTAACTGTATACATCAGTACTACGATGTCCTAAAGACGTCTGTTGTACAAACTGGGAGGTTAGCCCTCTGTAAGAGTTCTTCATACGTTTCCGAGTGAGATCTAAAAATGGCTCTCAATGCACGTTCTTGTAATCCTTCCACCTTCCTCAGGGGCACCCAACGAGAATATAGTTCAAAACCACTTGAACATAGCATTGTTAAACGTATTTTAGTATTAAATCGGTAGGTATAGGCATATTTTTATCCCCTAAAAATTTTTCATCTGTTCGGATTTCCTAGCTGAAAGTCTAATGATTCGAAAATTATAGGGATCAAAACTTACCTTTTCGAAAATTTCAGCCAGAAAAAAGGCTTCCGAAACTTGTAGGTGACCTTTTTAGGGTAAAAATCCGTTAAAAAATGGGCAATTATACCATTTTTTTAAATGTTCGAAAATCCCAGGAGAGGCAGGCAAGCAAGAAATTTTACAACAAATGTTCCGACAATTCTAGATCTCAAATCGTCTTCCGAACAGATATTTTCCGAAAATTGTCGTTGGGTGCCCCTGCTTCCTTTTGAGAGATCCACTTCCAAAGCCATAAGCCTCCAATTTCTTTATTGTCAGAGAGTGACTCAAACAGTCGAAGACCTTGCTCATAGCAGTAGATAGGACGTAAACGAGTTGTTTAGAGTCGACAGCCTGTTTCCAGTCCTCTATCAGTCCAAGCAAGGTCGTCTCACAGCTGTGTCTTTCTGTACGCTGTCATTTTCGAGTACAGGGTTTTATCATAGTGACATGTTATCTGATGACTCAGTAACTGCTCAAATATCTTGTTCACTGCAGGGGTGGATCTAGGGGGAGGGTGCAGGGGGTGCGCACCCCCCCCCCCGCTCCCTGAGATGACCTGCGGTTTTCTAATACAACTGGTATTCTGCAAAAAAAAACTATGTGGTTTATTGGTGTTTAAGTAGAGCAAGGGACGAGTGCACACCCTCCTAAAAAAAATCCTGGATCCGCCCCTGCACTGCTATAAGTGAAGTAACGGGGCGATAGTTTTTTAAATTGTCTGTCCTCCTTCTTAAAGACAGGAGTCCATTCAGCCATTTTCCACGACGCCGGCCATTCGCTCTTCTCTATACAATGATTATAAAGGTTTGTTAGCGATATTGCCGTTCCCTTAGCCACGCTCTTGAGAAGCTTCGGTGAGATCGAGAATCCCAACCACAAGATTTCTTTGGATTGATGTTTCCAAGAACCCGTTGCAGTTTATTTTGCGTGAGTAATTTAAAATCGAAATCGTTTTCTTCGTAGACGGTTAGACCTCTCGTATGCTTTTTACATTGTCATGCTCACTATGGTGGTCCTCAGTCAGATGGCTGACAGGACCTCCTCCAATATTTAAAGCAGCATTATTAAAGTATCTGGCTAGCATTTCTGTAGACTGCAAAACAGTCGGTTTTTTTTCTCAAAATCAGTAAAGAAATCGTCCAGGCCTTTTGTTTGACTGCTCGCGCGTACTTGAATACGCAAAAATACGGACTGTTTTGCAGTCTAGCATTTCTGCCACTTCATTTTGATTCTTTTGGACATTGTTTTCCTTAGTTTTTACTGATGTATTGTTGTAGATCCCTTGCCTTTGTTGCTAATGAAAGGATTGAAGGTATTGTAAAACTTATCTGGTCTGTCTTTATGTTCTTCCGTCTTATTGTACCAGGATGTATGCTCAACTGCTTCAAACTCGTCCAGGTCCTAATTACCCGAACGTAAACAAGTCTGTTCACCCTCTGTGTGTGCTTTGCAGCCTTGCAAGCCTAGACGTGCACAGAGGAGTCCTACAGGGTTTAATTTTATACCCTCTTCTCTTTTTACACGTGCCTCTGAGCATTTAAATTACGGCGAACCAATACAAGCAAATGTAATAGCTTTTTTATTGAGTATTAGCTTGTTTATTACTTTGCCTTAAAACGAAATAGGACTCTAGGCAAACTAGAACGTGGCGGTAACCATTAATATTGCCTGTTGTCTTTTTTATATTTCAGCGACGCCGGACACCATAAGTATCAGCATGATTTAAACCCTGAAGCCAAGGAATTCTTTCCTCGCTTTCTAGCAATAAATGAAAACAAAAGATTTTAGCAAACTGGAGCTTGGGTATATATCTTAATTTATTTCTATTGCCCACTTCGGACGTTAATCATAAGTTATGAGAACTAATTACGTTTTTGTATGGTAATGATAGTCTAGTCCTTCGAAGAGGAATGGGTCTTTCGAAGGTATTTAATTTTCATATGAAGGAAGATCATCATTAATTTTATCGAATAACGTGAGCGACTTCTCGTGCGCTGATTGGTCGAAAGCTGTGGTCGATGAGAGTACAATAGACTATGGGCGGAAATGACGCGATGGTGGCGCGATGTCATTTTTTTCTTTTTTTCGCGCGATTTTCCGAGAAACTTGAGCGGAAGTTACGTTAAAAACTGTTTATAAAAAGCAAATCGAAAACAGCGTCTCGTGGTTCCACTTGAGTTTTGAACATTTTGAGGTTATTTGTACCGTTGATAAATACCTTAGAAAATTGTTCTCGATTTGTTGACTCGACAACTGTTTAAACCATTATAAGAGGGTTTTTTGAGGCAGTAACGTTTTGATGATGCAGCTAACAATTCTTCCGCGTTCGACCCTATGCGGACGTGAGGCCTGTTTGCACACGGAAGTGGTTTGCGTCTGTAGTTTGTTGACCACGCTCCTAACAAAGCGACGGCAAGCGAATAACGTTTCCGTGGTGGTCACACTAAATGATAAAAGTCAAAACAATGTATTCCGGGAAAAGTTGTGACAATAACCACTAGTTTAGGTTACGCAAATGTGTTTGAAAGTGGTCTCAAGGTCTCAGTAGCACACTACCACACTACCCCCCACAATTACGGATAACACCCCCCAGCCCCCGATTGAAATATATAAGACACACAAGTCACCCGCCCTCAGGATCAGCGTGAGCTGACTTAATGTGCCTTGGGCACGGAAAATCTATATATAGACTGCGAGCAGTCCCTCAGAATGGTCACACGAGCAAGGAATTCAACTGAAGGGAGCGCAAAAAAAAAAAACAACGGTCTCCCTCTTGGCCATTTCGCTCTCTCCAGTCCTGCTGAGCTAAAGGAAATTATGTAGGGTTGAATGACATCTCTTTCCTAAGAGACAATTCAGTTTTCAAAGCCCTCAGATTTATATTTTAGAGGCCAGGTCTACAAGGAGAGAATATTTTTTTTTCTTTTTTATCTTGCATGTATGCCGGGGGTTTTGTCGTAGTAAATGCCCATTGGTCCACTACGCCGGAATCATCCTGAGCCACAGCGGAGAATTGATGGGTCGGGATTACTTTCGGAACGACTTCCTGTTTATTATTCCATGTACAGCCGCACGGTGTGTACTGGTTCAAGAGATGTAAAGGCAAAATATACTTAACTACAGCTAATCAGGATACAATAAGTTTTCATTGGTATTTGAGGCACAGCGAAGTCTAGAATTCAATTGATGCGGTTGAATTACATAAGCGTCTCGAAATTCGCACAGATGAACGATTTGTCACGCTGACTAGATCAACTATAGCCGATTGTCGGGAGAATCTTGTAGCAGTGATTGTATGTTTTTGTTTTCAACATAACGTCGAAGGGGTGCAAAATACATGGAAGGTTACCTGGATTTTAAAGAGTCTTCAAAGGTGAGAGGCTGATGCCAGAACTAAAATAACACCTTCTACACAGATTTGTAATTATCATCGGTTAAACCTGTGAAAAGTATCGCAGACGCGAGCACTGAACGCTAAATTACTTTCTATTTTTGATACTTGACTGTTTCTCAGATCTGAACGCAAAACAGCTCGTTACTTTGCTGCATACAACAGTCAGCAAACAGTTAATATTTTAGTTAGTGAACTCCGATACTGCGCGGGCGTTTAAACAAGTGTGTTTGATTTGAATAGCAGCCAATGATTACAAAGCAAGTTTCAACTCATTATAGTAGCCGGTTTATATTTAGAGTCATTTGCTTCGATGTTAACGAGAATTAGTAAAGGCTTGTGGTATTTATTCTATAAGGTCTTTGTGCATTTCATTTAAACTGACAATGTTATTTTATGAGGAAAAGACAGGAAATTCTCGCCAGCTTGAATCGAACAACACTTCAGGAAACACGCCAGTCATTTGGCGCTGTAACGTATCTGACAGCGGTCCTTCTTGCGAAATAAACCCGCGATAACTTTTTGCCAGAACCTTAGAACTATTGGCTTTATTTCATTTTTACTATTTTACCACAAACACGTTTCAGTTCGAAGTGCACGATATACCTCGTTCAGACGACGGAGAAGTGAATCTGATCGTTTGAGGTCGCAGCTTTGGCATATTTTAGGGTATCTAGCTAATACCGCAAAGCTGAGCTCCATGTGTCAGGTTGTTTCAGGTGCTAAGCCCTGCCAAATGACGTGACTATCTATTAAGATTTAAATACCTATTTTTTCCAAAAATCATGTGTCTTTTCAGGAACTTCAGCTGATGATACGAAAAAGAGCACATATACCTGACTATTTGAATTTGATTTTATATTGACCTCTCTGCACCCTCGAACATTTATTTTTGCGGTCACAGATCGATGTATTAGAACTCTGTTGCATATGTAATTTCATATGTTTGATTGTCGGTTCAGAGGCGAAAATAGGCGAACGTAGTTATGGATGCCTAGCTTTGAAAGGCAACTTCGGAACAAAGACAGAATTTGGACTGAAAGAAGAAAATGTTACAAAAGTTACGCCATTTGTTCAGTGAACCAAAAAATCCGATGCAAAAAAGGGCGAACTCAATTTATTATTACGTCATTGGTCCTCACATCCTCCCCCGCAAATGTGACATCGTAGACAGGGTTTTAGCGGAAGAAAAGAGCGAGCGACGCAAATTAAGTTGTAGGTCATCAGCACGAGTATATTTGTGCTGAGTAAATATCGTCGTAAACATCAAAATTTACGTGGGAATCGTTCACTAAGTACAAAAGACTTAAGCGAGGTAAGAGAACGTGATTTATCAGTTTGCTGTGTTCGGATTGTGCGCGCATACAGACGTGAAGTTCACTTCAATTGTGGATTACCGCGCGTCTTAGCTGGTAATGAATTTCGCTTATGCAGAGAGTTTCTTTATTGAATGCAATATACCAAGTGCGTCAAAATTCATTTTTCCCGTTTTCGCATGAGGTAATCACAAATAAGGTTAATTCCTACACTTGTAGGATGCATTAGAAGTGCGATGAATTTCGCGTGTTTCGTCGTCCAAATATCGTCCACGACTACTTCCTTTCATGCGGATGAAGGCAATCTATACAGCAACACGACTCGACTTCAGGTTTTAGGCGAAATTTCTGGCGAGCATTTGATTTTTTATTGGTCTTAAATAAAAAACCAGCGTTATTGGTTGTCGATAAAAGCTGCTCTTTTTTATATTTGGCACTGAGCGAGGTAGCGCGATCAGCTGCATCGCCGACCTTCCGTTGATTTTTAGTGGAAGTTTAATATCATTAGTTTTCTCTAAGTGTACCGCATCGAATTGCAAACCATTATCCTAATGCTGAAGTAACCTTAGAAGCTACGGCTAAATTATCTTCCTTTTGGAACTAAATTCCTTTAAAATAATGATTTCAATGCAATTAGCCGGACAGTCAACAAAGATAAGAAGGAGTGTGCGTTTGTCACGTTTGTGCACTTAACTTATTACGCTTCGACGACATTTGACTTCAGAAAGATAATTTGTGAGTAATTCAACGATTTGCTGTGTTCACATTAACACGTCAAGCTAATAATGCCAAAAACCTAAAATCGAGACAGCAAAGTTTATTTAAAGTTTATGAAATTGATGATTACAAAACAATTGAGCACACTTCGGTTCTTTGCACTGCTTTCAAAACATTTTGTGAACTCTGCATTTCAAGTACGTGTTTTTTTTAAGACAAAAAATGATTACTTCCTAGAAAGAAGGCAGAATCCGCCGATCTAAAATTTTTTGCAATTTACCATATTCACTCAAAATACTCTGATCAAGGAAAAAAATTAAAATAATAAGAATTCTCAACTCAACAGAAAGCTAGAGGAATACTGTAATTGTAATTTACATGCAAGATATAGGACAGATAATTGAGATAGTTGCTGACCTAAGAAAGCTCCATTCTGCTTCTCCCTTTTTGTTTTGTTTTGTTTTGTTTTTGGTCATTTCATTCCATTTAACCTTTTTTTAAGCTGGCTTCCACTAGGAACCAAAATAAACGAGAATAATATTCAGTCGCCAAAGCACTCCTCAGGCCGAGTATAAGATGCAAGAATTGGAGCCTGAAGTCCTATTCTCTAGACGTTCTGCTTTAATATTAATAGCGTGCATGAATCTGAGCTTTTAAAGAAAAAACAGTAGACTGTCAGAATCACAAGATAACGCCAAGAAATAATACAATGAATCAGATTTTTATTTGATCAGTCACATTGGTCGTGTTGCTTTCATTTATTAAAAAAATCAGGCAGGTTCCTGGATTTGGCACCTGATTAGATCTCTTAAGCCATATTTTTATACATTGTAGCTAACTTATATTAGAGCCTACAGTTCATTTTTTGAAGTCAGCGCAACCTACAGATTTGTAGATAACTACCTAATCTGTTTGGTGGGTGAATTATTTCCAAGAACAATGTCAATCAGTTCATTGCGATGGTGTGTTTGTCATTATTTCCTTCAAAACAGTGTATGATAAAGCATTTAATTAGATTCAGTTTTTGTGAATAATAATCAAGGCCTCGGTAAGTGTTATCAGCCCAGACTTGGCCTCACCTGAAGATGCTAGTGACACCCATGGCTGAAAGAATGGATGTTATGTACATATTTGTTTCTCAAAAAATATTGCTTGCCTTCTATGCCAACAGCACAGTTCATTTGTCAGTTAGAGACTCAGCCACTGCCTTTATATTTGTATATATTGTACTCACTCTCTGTGTTCTCTACAGTTAATTTTGGAAATCAGTGTAACCTACAGATTCTTTAGCTATCTGATGGCAGATAACTGACTAATCTGTGGGTTGTGTGCAATGCATGATTTTTTAAGAGCAGTCTCAATCTGTGCTCTGTGAGGGTTTTTTTGTCCTTATTTTCTTCAAAAATTTGTATAATAAAACAAGAATAAGTTATTAGAGTTGGTTTTTGTGACATCCAGAATATTCAAGTATTGGTAATTAGCATCAGCCTGAGCTTACTTACTTCTTACCTTTATTATTCTGGATATCACAACAACCTCAACCAATAACAATTTGTTTAATATCTTTGTGAGATAGTTGCTACACTAGCAAGGTTTGGTTTACTCCTTTCAGACTTAATAAATGTGTAGTGGCTAGAATAAAAATTTGAAACTTATTCTTTGTGTAAAATACTTACCTTACTTTTGCCAAAGCTGCTAAGGCCTTGATCCTGTGTAAAGTACAGAAAAACAATTATATTATTTTATTTTAAAAACTGCAATGCAAAAGTATTCCTGTTCAAAAAGGTTTCATCTCAGTGGTCGTGTCACATAACAGGATAAATTAGTCCACAGAATCAAAAGTTTCACATCTCTCATTTAAATAATTGACTGTGGAAATAAAACAGTCAAAAGTTAAGGCCTAAGTTTGCATTGTTAATGGCTAATGATAGCAATCGATCAGCACATATCCAAACAATGAACGATAAGTATAAAAGTACACACAGGTTTGTTCTGTTTTGTTACACACATGATGAACATTATAATACCACCCTGCAGGACATGTGGCCTAGCTCTCATTAATTACTATCATGAATCTTGGTTGTTGGCTCTTAGCACCTCTTATCAGATCAGCTACAGCTTTTATTTAATTTGTGTCTAATTACAGCTGTTTTGTTATTGGAAACCTGTGAACTATCCTCTGTTTCATTTATCTGTTAGAGATAAGAAAATCCCCTTTTGGCTAAGGTTTATTTTTCACAGTAGACACACAACTAATGCTAATTTCCAATGAGCTGCAGCTTTGGACCCAACTGAGCAAATTTTGTTATCTTCAAACACTTCCTGTTTGTTTTTGCTTTGATGAGTGGCAGATATGGTGGCCCACAACTGTCACGGCAAAACCAAAAACCTCATGGCTAAAACAAAATAGCAAAATAGCTTTAGGTTTGCCATGGGTATTTGCTTTTGCCGTGAGGTATTTGGTTTTTGCTGTGAAGTGTTTGGTTTTGCCGTGAGGTCTTTGGTTTTGCCGTGAGGTTTTTGGTTTTGTCGTGAGGTAGTTTGTTTTTGCCATGAGGCTTTTGGTTTTGCTGTGAGCTATTTTGTTTTTGCCGTGAGGTTTTTGGTTTTTGCCATGACAGTTGTGGGCCACCATACGCAGAGGTATGAGTCCTGCATGAATCATCTGTATGGTCACTTATAGTCTACAGAAATTTGTCTAAAACAAACCTTGCAGTGAGTTCCTTATGCCCAAATATCCAGTGCCCAATTTCCAATAATCACTGATAATTGCCAAGGCAAATTAACGTTAAGTACACGTGTATAATTAACTTCAATTTTATTATTGTAATCTTGAGAATGTTGTATATATCTCATACACATATTTGAAAAAAAAAAACAACAGCTAATGGTAATGTATGTTGCAACATCTGCCATTAAGGGCTCATTTATATATTGTAGAAGCATCTTCAACCAAGCTTTACAGGCTGTACATACATGTAGGCATTTCTCTTTTAAGTTGTCCAACTCCTGATCTTAAAAGCTCAACTCCAAATTATTAAGTGCTGTACGTGCAGTTTGTTCTACTTAATAATTAAGTTACACATAGCAGACCCAGTAGATTATCTTGTTTCTTATCTTTTTGTCCATTTTTAAAAGTTTGAATTATATTATAAGTTAAAAACAATTTTAACACCAAGAATGTTATGCATCTCACCTTTGGTTTATATTTGCCTCACGTGCAGTAAAGGCTTATTGCCATGGTGTCTATCCATTGGCAAAGACTAAGTTTAATCTCCTTTTGGCACCTCTCTGTATAATTTATTTAATAATCTTGTGTTTCAGCCATTATCTGACAACCTGGCGGTGGGCTGCAGTCCAGGCATTGTAGCGATGTAGAGATTAGTCTAAGACTATTTTGACAAACCTAACCCTGAATATATATATTTTTCTTTTTAGTGGGTGACTTATTGGGTTGTGATTCGTGGATCTCAGCTGGTTTTCTTTGCCAATGCGGACACTCATATTACAGAAAATGTAAGACAGTAATTAAACTGTGATTAAATTTTCTTGTAATTTTTCTTGTACTTTGTTCAGCTAATTCATGACTTTTAACATCTTTATGAGGCCAATTTTTAGCACACTGGATCCTTCTTTGTGGTAAATTTCATTCTGGATTTTTACCATTTATTGCAAATGTCTATAAAAATTTGATTAACTGTATTGTATCTATGACTATAAATTTAACACAAAAGTAATGAGGACAAACCATTGCTTTTGTTTGACACCAACATGTATGTTATGATGACAATGAGCACTTTTTCCTGGGGGGTGACTAAAAGCCACAACAAAGTTAATATTAAATTACCACAGTGTAACAATATTTTAAACTTCAGTTGAACCCGGCCTCTACATGTACAATGGCCACCTTTAGGGACAGAAGAAAGTGGAGGTTATAATGTGGTGGCTGTTGTAAAGAGGTTTTAAACAAGAGTCAATGAATGAATTATTTGTCTGCTGGGACAAACAAGTGGCCGTTATATAGAGGTAGCTGTTGTGCAGAGCTGACTGTTAGTGGAGGTTCGACTGTATCAAATTTAAAATTACAATTTCTGCACAATACTCATTTTCAGTGTAAGACGTCAGTGCAGATCTTTATCCCCAGGGAACTCTTTGCTTTGAATGTGAAAACCATTTTTTTCTCCTGTGATACTGAAAAATATAGACATAACTTAATTTCAAAATGTTTAACAAATAATATACCTCTGATTTTGAATAAATTGTTTCCCCCTATTTTTAGGCTAAAGGTCATATAGACCTCGGGCCAAAATCCAGTTTTGTGGATGGTAAACGCAAGGCAAAAGACAAGTTTGAGTTTGAAGTAAAGGCAGAACGTGGCAAGAAATATTTATTTAGGGTAAGGCATTCTTTGGAGATTTTCAAAACCCCTCCAGCTTCCCCTACCTGCCTCACCTCTTCACACTCTGTTATGCATAAGGCCCCCACAATTCTCAACCTGCTATCTTGAAAAGAGTGTCTGGTTTCAGAAATGATATTTTTTTTATGGGGATGGAACATTAACCCATGGGACAACACCCAACCTGGAGGGCCAGGCGTTGCAATTATTCTTCTGGTCTTTCAGTCAAAGCCTGCCCAGCACAGTTGAACCCACCAGGGACCAAGGTCCCATTTGGTTTAGCTTCCAGTGTCGTGTCATCAAGGCGCACAAACCTCCCCATCACATTAAGGTGCAACACTAAGGGAGCTAATCTTTCAAGGTGTGTACATGTATATTAGTTATAGTAAGTTTGGGGAAGCAGACTGACCAAGGAATGGCTAGCCTGTTTTACTTGCAATGCAGGCCCCCTTGATCAAGTCCCACTCAAAATTCATTTCTTGAGAATCCTGAGTTCAATGTTATCAATATGGTTTATTTCCCTGTAGTTGGAGTTTTAAATATAACATACTAGAGGTAATCATATTACCCATCCGCATTCGTCACTTACGGAAACAAAATTGAGTCGAAAGGAGTCCAGTTTCCCGGCCGTGATGCACCTGGTAGAATTAATAGGGGCGGCTAATTTGCAGTCACCTATGATAGCTCGAAAATTTCTGCCTTTGTGCTACAGGAACACTATATTAGGATGTGTTCTGATGAACGCAATAATTTGAGCCAGGAATTTCTAAGTGGGTGTCCATGTACATCTCGACTCTTAATTTTTTTCCTAAAAATCTGAGCATCCACAGGACACCAGGCTACATTACCCTTGCTCTTGGCCTTTTTGCCAGTTTCATCACAATGGTCGTTATAGAGCATTTTCATTCATGTAGCCAGCATCTATTGGAACAAAAAAAAGCATTTATGTAAGAAGAGAGTTCATCTCCCACAGGATTTGTTTGGAACACTAACATGGCCACCATTTCATTTCATTGGAGCACCAATATGGCCTCTATGACATCATGTGAAAATGCTAAATTTGCAAAAACTTTTCACTTAAGTGAAGCAAAAAATATCATTTGAAAGAGTCACGGCAGATGGCTCTAAATACACTTTTTGATAATTTCTTGTGCTAATGATAATGCCTTTGTTGCTTTGCAGACAACTACAGACCGCAGCCGTCTTCAGTGGGTACATACACTTCATCTTGCCGCTCAGGTAATAATTTTGTTTTTAAGTCTGTCAAGTTGTTTTGGATGACTTGAAATTCAACATTATGCTGACAGTATTTATCTGTAATAGTAAAACTACCGGTAATGCCCTATTTGGAGAGCAAGGGATGGTTCAGTACTCCGGTACTTGCCTCCCACCAATGAGGCCTGGGTTCCAATCCTGCCGTCAACAGCATATGTGGGTAGAGTTTGTGATTGGTTTCTCTCCTTTGCTCTGAGGGGTACCCCAGGTGGTGTTTCCCTCCCCTCAAAAAGCAACATTTCCAAATTCCAATTTGACCAGGAATCGGGTAGAAAAAGAACCACTGTGTAGATTACCTCTAAATCATTATTTACATTGTATTTAGTTATTTACTTTATTTATCATTTGTCTCAGAGGCTTGCCATCCAAAAATTAAGGCTGTGCGCTGCAAAAAATTGAAGGGAACCCAGGGCTCTGAACCTCTGAATTCCAGGTTGCCCAGGGTAGTACTTCTATTAAAAAGCTGAGATATCATAGTTCCCACCCAATAGCAAAGGGGTCACCGTGCACTGCTACACCTGTAGATCGAGAGCCCAACCTTGAAAAATACATTCATTGTATACATTCACTGGGTAAGGATTTACAAGTAATCAACTGGGGCTTAAAGATTTTTCTTCCTGATATTATGCAATTATTGAATTCGGTTTTTGATCATCTGAAGAATTATGGAGTTCTTGAAGGGTGTCATCTGCCTCGGCATCTTTATGGCCTCGGCAGATAACACCCTCCAAGATCTCCAAAATACTTCAGATGCTACAAAAACGGTTACGGAATCCAATGATTGTTTTATTTTTTGCTCAAAATAATTCCTAGTTTAAAATCAAGCTAAAACATGCTTACCTTCATCGATGTTAAGTTCATTTTTGATAGTACATGTTTGCCAGCAACTTTAGGAGATGAAGGGTTGTTTAGTTCTGCAAATATTCTTCTAATGGCAGATGTTGTCCATTGAGTTGTCTTCTTGCTGTTCTTGCTATGTTTAACTTTTTAGCCAATAGTTCGCCTATTTCTTACTTGTGAAAGGAGTATTATAAAATGCTCTGCCATTTTGTATCTTGGTTAACTGTTCAATAATCTGGCAATTTTGCTGCACGATTGACTTCATCAGTTCACATATTGCAAAATTCTTCCAAATTTGGCCAACAGTAACTGGTTATGATGAATATTATGCCTTGGATTTTAGCGAATCAGAAATGGCGAAATATTTTGAATGAATAATAAGCAATATTATCCCAAACTTGACCTGTATGGAGAAGCAGAAAGTGAGTTACATGATATGTACTCCCTATAAACAGCACAAGAATGTCTTGCATACATATGGTAGTTGTCAGGTTAGCCAGTTGTCATCAATTCCCTGGTTGCTATGGGTTGCCTTTTTTTCAATAAGTGTATTGTTTTGATTGCAGGGAAAACCCCCTCCACCACTGATTGTTGGTAATCTAGACTGTGGTGAATCAAAGACCTCACCTACATCAAGAAGTCCAACCGAGAACCAGTATACTGAAGGTTAACTGTTCTTCTGTTTTTTTTTTCCACACATATATGAGCAGCAATTTGTTTTATTTATTAATGTAAATTTTACTGGTTTGGCAATTACCATGATGTCTAAATTCCTTGCCTTCAGTAATTAAATCTAGTTGTACTATTCTCTTGGAATTCTCCCTTAAAATTATCAAATTTCCAAGTTTCCAAGTGAGCAGATAAAATATTATGCAGAGTACACTATTTTTCCTTGCATGCTTGGTTGAAAAGGCTGTCATTAAGGTTAGCATTGACAGATCTAGGGGAGTTGCTCAACCCCACCCTTCGCCCTTAAGGAGATCCACTGGGAAGGGGGGAAAATGGAAGAAAATAGGGAGAAAACTTGCCCCCTTAACACATTAAGACTTGGCTGAGTATTTAGACATTATATTAATGGTCACCTTTATTTTACAGTTCCCGAGTTTAACATACCTGTAATTGGTGTGACAGAGGAGGAAATGGCAAAGTCACTTTTGAAGAAACACAATTCATTTAGCAGCCATTGTAAAAAGCTCTTGGGTCGCAAGAAATCTGATGGCTTGAGTAAGAGCTTTAATGCTGCGGTAAGAGAGATTCTGTGCTAGCAGGTTTTCAAACAAGTGGGGGAGTGTTTCCACTGCTGTCCAGACACTGAAAGTGTGCTTATCCTTTACAGTCAAGTCTCGCCTTGAGAACACCCTGCTATAACAGACACCCAATACATAATACTAATAGCAGCTAAATCCCAGGCAAAAAATTTGCAACCACTTGACTGAAATATAAACTTCCGTTAATATGAACTCTCACCAAGGAGGACACTAAATCGGGTCCCTTCAGTGTCCATTTTAAAATGAGTTGACTTTAACCCTCCGGTCAAAATTTAATTCTCATTTGTTGCCCAAATTCATTGCCTATAGTGTCCGTTGTAAAGAGAGTTGACTGTAACCCCTCCGGTCATAATTTAAATTCTCATTTGTTGCCCAAATCCATTGCCTATACAAGTAGTATGGAGAAGTTGATAAAAAATCAAGCAAATTTATCTTGTGTGATTATCTCCTTAATTCTCATGAGTACTCTGCTGTAAACAGCATTGATATCACAAAGAAGAATTTGATGCTTGTCACTCTTAGGGCTTAAAGGGTTAAAGGAGTGTAACTAAGAAACATCAAAGGTCCCACTTCACCCTTGTGAAGCAGGGAAAGTGTCCACAACCAGTCATGGCAGGCTCACTGGAATGATACTTGTATGCAGCTACTAAAGGGATAAAGAATATTTTGATGATAAACACTGCTTATACAGGAACAGAAAATACCACACCACTGTACAGCACACTAAGCTGTGACCATTTTGGTTGCCAACAAATTTTTTGCCTAAAAAATTGTAGTGAAAGCCAGCAATTTGGTGACTTCTGTTTGGCAGTCCTGTGCAACTGGCAGTGGTGTAGTGAAATATGCCTTTGCATTGCAACACATAATTCATGCTCTGTTTTCTTTACGTGTAGTTTGCCAATCTTACTCCATCTGTCTGGGTATGAAGCTCTAAGATGTGGCGGCCACTTTGCTTGTGTCAAACCCTTACTTGGTCTGCTACATAGCTGTTCTTTTTGTTGTCACAAAACACTCCTGCATGATGACATAAAGAACGGCTGTGTAGCAGACTAACCCTTAGTATAATCTCACTACGTCCTTTCTTATTCTAATGACTAATCTCTAATAACTGACAACCATTTAACTATTATACATTGATATTAACATTATGTTGAGGTGTTTGACATTAGAGGAAACACTCTTTCTAGTATTTGGAGTTATAGCTTGAATTCTCAAATTAATAATATTTAACAATATTATTATAATCCATTTATTTAATTAGCTACCATGCATGTAACCCCTAGTAAACCATTAATTTTATAACTTTTGTTGTCAGGATTTAAGTCGTGAACCTGTAATGGAAGGTGCAGAAGCAGCCAAAGAAGAAGCTTTTTATGACATTGTTCCAGGCAACAAACCTCCGTAAGTTGATGTGGCTGTTAAAGGTCAAAATTAAATTCAGGTTAAAATTTTTTAACCTACATGAAGGTTGATTTTCTATTTCCTTTGTCTCCCAGCCCTAATTATTCATGAAGAATTGAATAATTGCGGCTAGGAGACAAAGCAAATTGAGAATTAACCTAGGTTAAAAGTTTTTAACCTGAATATAATTTTGACCTGTAACATAGCCATGACTGTAGCCGTAAAGACATTATGTGCTCAAATTAAGTGTACTATACATTCTTGTGTACATTATGCATTTCAGTATGTACAGTGAATTTAATATGAACTTACATTGTATCTCTCCCAATGATTTTTTTGTGCTACAGTTAATGTATTTTAGAAGAAAAAAAAACAAAGAAAAGTAAAATTAAAACAAAGGAAAGATTTGAACCAAACACAATACTTTTGTACATTGATGCTAAAATACTTTGAAATTGTTTTTATTATGAATCAGTTTGGCACCCAGTTCCTTTTTAAATTGTTCATCAGTACTAATGAATACTTGATCCTCTGCATCTAATAATTTCTACACCTAGAACTTTCACAGATTAAAAATCCAAAAATTAATGCAGTTGTAGAAGTAAAGGTATGGAATCACTGAGATGCTAGCATTGTATGGAGAGCTTCCAAAAACAGTTTGAAATCCAAGTGATAGGTTATAAGCTACACTGTATTACTGGTATTTAGAAAAAATGCCAGCTGTTAACTTTTGCACTTGCTGACTCTCTTTTGCAGCTGGTACTTTGGAAAAATTTCAAGAGTTGAAGCTGAGTCTATTCTTGAGAGCTGCCAACCGGGAAGATTCTTGGTGCGAGACAGTGAGACTGTAAATAAACCTGGAGCTTATACTCTCTCACTCAAGTGAGTGGCCATTTTGTATTTGATTTGCACATGTATGCTTTAAACTTATAGTTTTCAGACCACTTAATTTTTGCCATACCGTAAACTGCCCCTTATAAGCCCCCAGTTATAAACCCATGCATCTACCTGTAAACAAAAAATACATCCAATTATACCCCCCTCCCCCGATATCAGCCCCGCTTCCGATATGTATCGAAATGAATTTGATGTATCCTGATGTTTTAAAGCTTAATAATTAAAAACCAGTAAATGCAAGGCGTATTCTGATCTACACTGCTATTGCTTATTTCAAAGTGCTTTTTCTATTTTGGTCATAAGTGGGTATAAGACTCCCTAAGATTAGGGTTAGGAAACTGAGTTAATCAACTTTCTGGTCAGTTTGCCCAGTATAATGACTTGAATGGAACCTGATTCACTCAGTTTCCTAACCCAGGGTTCGCAAATACACCAAATTTGGCGTATTTTACGCGAAACTTGTTCAGATGACTCCACTGAGGTTACGGAGGGAGTCACTTCGACTCCAGAAATTTTCGGTAACAAACAGGGAGCCACTTCGACTCCAGAAATTTTCGGTAACAAACACAGTTTTGTCCTTACCTTTTTCGCAACAAATACAATTTACATTAATTGTAAACGTTGTAAACCTTAATTAAATCATCGAAATTAAAGAATTATACTGCACAACAAAACAAGAAGAGGGTAATGCACCTATCAATGTAAACCCCGTGGGGGAAATGGGCAAGGGGTGGGGATTTGACAAATTTTAAAATTTTTTGATCAAATTCCCCAGGGTGGGAAACGAAAGGTCAATCAAAAGTGTCAAAAAAGCCCCCACCCCAGGGGAAAAAATCTAAACAAACAATGCTATAATACTGTATAAAACGAATTAAAAGAACATTTCAAAAGTACGTCCTTACTAAACGTAAGCTCCGTTAAATTACTCGCTGTAATTAAGTATTTTCTCTCTCCACTAGCGTCTCTTATTTTGAACAACAAAATCACTCTAGGAAGATTGACCGTGCTATTATAATATTAATGAAATGTAAAATACTTTTAATATAACATCTGCTCAACTTGTCGGATCAGTGACCCGTAAAAAATCCTCTGACTTTCATGGTGGAATTCGATTTCAATTGAGTTTTACAATCAGATGGGAACTTGAAGATAAAACTTTCTCAAAATAGACATTATCTGTTTAGATGACAGTTTAAAGTATGGGATTATGGCGATTAAAACAAATGAAAACCTCACACCTTTCTCCAACAGCGTGACTTTCAGAAAGCCTCGAGGGTTGGATTTGGTAACCGCTTCTGAATTGATACCAGGCTTCTGTCAGTCAAAGTCAAATGTCCCGACCCTGGGGTCGCTTCGCACGATCAAAAGCCCAACATGGGGATAGTCTCTGGCATCAAATCTCCTCCCCTTGCCCGCACTCCCCCCTCACGGGATTTACATTGATAGGTGCATAAATTACGATCAAAGTTTACTCGATGACCGCCATCATTTGAGCTTTCCAAGTCAGCGGACCACGAGAGCCACTTCGTGTATCCCTCACGATAGTGTATACAGGCCAGGACCACGTGCTTGAAAGTCTGAAAATGGCTTTTTTCGCTGTGTTACTTGACTCCAAATATTCCAAAATGACTCCAACATTTGTGAAGCAGAAGTCACAGTGACTCCACTCATCAATAAAATTTGCAAACCCTAGGCCTGCTAACCCTAATCAATAAAGTTCAGAGTCGTTTGGTGGGTGGTCTTGGGGAGTCGTAAGGGTCTTTGTTTTGAAGACACCCGGTCATAAGCCCCCTTGGATGTAAGCCCCTCTGTTTATGAGCCCCACTAAAACCCTTCTACAAAGTGGTTCAAGTCCAGGGCTTAGTAGTGGCAGTTTATGGTATTCATCTGGGCTGAGTTGTTCAAAGCTGGGTTAAGATAACCCAGGGTTAGTGCGAGATTTGAATTCAGATTTGAAAGCTTAAAAAGCATTTCAGTTTTAATTCTTTTTGTCTATAAGTTGATGATTGGAAGCTCTTAAAATAACAGAGAAAATTATCCCGAGAAAAATGCTATTGAACGCGAGAAAAGGAAACCAGGGTTAAATTTAACCCTGGGTTAAGTGCTAATCAGCCTTTGAACAACTGGGCCCTCATCTTAAAGCAAAATTAATTTCATGTTATTTTATACCTGACTGTTAAACCTAATTATAGCAGGAAATTTTGAACTTACCAAGAATTTACTCTTTTGCTGTCTCTGCAGTTTTTACGTCAATGTTAACTGTTAATCTGGTCTTTCTTCCTGATGGTCTAGGCATCATGATAGATGTCGGCACCATAAAATAGAAACTTTGTATCCAGAGGGAAACCTTGTAATTAAAGGACATGAGGTAAGTGGAGAAACAGTAATAATATTTAATATCAACAGCCCTACAGTCATACGGTTGTAAAAAAAGACGGTGAAATGAGTATAAATGTAGTAATCTTGCTTCCTGGTACTAAACTCAGACTTGGATCACCTTATTTGCGCACCTACCAGACAATAAAACCCATTGTTATTCCCATAAGCAGTGTTCTCCCTAAATTTTAGCTCAGCAGGTAAGAGACCATTCTTGACTGGTTATGGCCCAGAGGGGAGGGGGGGTTTCGCGTTCATGAAGGCTTCTATTTTTGAGTATCCTGTCAACCAATTGACCGAAAAGTATTTTAAACACCTCAAAACAAAGAATTTTTTGAATAAAGGCTGCCTTTGCCACTAGGGTCAATTTAGTAACACAAGTCACAGAAGTTGCGAACTTTTCCTGTTGGTTGAGAAAGTTTAGAATAGGGATAGAAGCCCAGGAAAAAATTGTTAGCCTGCAGCACTTCTAGAGGCACCAGTCAACATTTAAATAAAGTAATCAGAGAGAATAGCTGTGTATACTCGTTGTTTTTTCGTATTTACTTCCTTTTCTTGTGAGCATCGGCTTGGATCACCATTTAAGTATTTTTTTTAAACAACTTATTTAATTTTAGTAACACTTCAAGCTGTTGCAGTTGGTACGAAATTTTTGCTTCAAGCATTAAATTTTACCTGTTACTGCCTGATAAGGAGAACACTGATAAGTAAAATGCATGATCTAGTCGTAGTTGTCTACTCACTCTCCTTGTTTTACTCATTTTTAAGTTTTACTTTTCAAAGGAAAAAACAAGTGCATATTATAATGAGCTAAAAGTTCAACTGTTGTGTACTTGTTTCATTTCAGGATAAGACTTTTCCAAATCTTGCAACATTAATGAAATATTTTGCAAAGAGCCAGGAAAAAGAAATCCACCTAACACCGGTAGTTTGCCAGGAACCAGAAGGTATGTTAAACAAATGTTTCGATACATCATTGTCGCAGTTGTGAATTCTTCATCGATTTAATTATCTGTATTTTCTCTTGCGTTATCAGCAGTATTCATACCATAAAAGTTTTTGAGCCTACAAACAAACATTCTCTAGAATGATCTTCATTCATTTCATTAAAGATCTCATAACCCTTTTTTTCTTGATGATTTACAGGGTGTAGTGATATTGTTAGGATAAAATAATATTGATATTGGTCATGCAGCCTTGGGACTGAAAGTGTTCTGCCCTGACACCAACCAACATTATTAATTCTCCTCATTGTTCTCTCCATTTATCTTAATATTATACTGCTAGAAAGCTGCTTACAGATTAGTATTCTCATGCCTGATTAGTAACATTTCAGATACACCACTGTATATTTCTGGTTTTCCTAGTTGTTTGAGTTTGACAGCAAATCAAAGAACGATTGGAACCACAACATACATAAATACTGACTTAAAGAGAAAAAATAGTGAAAAACAAAGGTTATTAAAACCCTGTGGATATATAATTTATGGCCAATATTGCCACCTTGCAGATCAAGCTACTGCCTCCCCAAGCACCAGTAGCCATCCAGATCCAGAAGCAAGTTATGAAATAATAGTGGATCAAGTTGACAGTGAGTACTTTTAAGTTCTAAAGAGCAGGTCCCACATTTACCCTTCATCATAATTATCATCAACTGATTCTTGTTCTGCTTGTTTATCTTCTGTAGTTTATATTATTTTCTGAGATTTACACAGGATACTTGCTTTTGGACTGCACCCCCTACCCACTATCACTCACTACCCCCCACCCCACCCCCCCTCCCCCATCGAATGCACTCCCCTAATTTGCAGTTATTACCAGTTCTGGGATTTACGCAGGACACTTGCTTTTGGACTAGTCAGTTTAGGCAAAGGAATATCTGAAATAACAATACCCATTGACTTTCAGAAAGTCCTTTGTACACTGTAGTTGGGCAGTTGGTTTTTTTTTTTTTATCAGTTTTTAACTGCATTATTCACTTGGGGCACCCATAATGCTCACTTACGCTTTACATGCTCACGTTAGAGTTACTGACAAAATTTTAACCCCATGTCACTGATACATTTAAAAATTGGCCGACTTGGTGTAAGTCTACAGTATCTAAAATGAAAAGTTTTCTCCATCTGCTGTATCCCTTTCATTAAAAAGTTGAAAAAAAAAATCATTCCCACCATTTTTCTGATAATTTGTTTCACTTTACAGAATACTCCTTCTCTAGTAATGCATCCTCATAACTTGTAAAATCCATGTAAATTTTGGCTTTGTCTCCATTAGGCCGCCCCCCTGTTCCTGGATGTGAAGGCAAACCACTCGCTGAGAGTAATGAAAACTTGCCTCGTAAGTAAAAACTACATAGTGTCTCTTTTCATAAGGATTACATGGCAACACTTATGAGAGAATCCAGCGATCTGCCTGAAAGTCGCTTGGGGATTTTTTCTAGTTACCCCTTCAATTATACTACTGTTTGACTTGTGGACTCCAGAAATATTGGAATTGGAGTTGTTTATAAATTCCAATGCTATTACAGCCAGGATGTACAACACAAAAAATGGAAAAGAATGTTGATATATCCAAGTGCCAGTAAACTTGCAGGGGTACTAAGTGATTTCTGTTCAACGGCTTGATTCTCTTTTCAGATTGCCTTATGTTTGCTTGTGATTAACACTTCGACTTAGGATTAAGGGTCACGTTAATGATATTAAGGACTTTTATATTATTGTTTTCTCATTAGTAAACTATTTCTTTAAAAATGCTGACTTTGTGGCTATACAGTGGTCTCCCAATAACTCTAACCCTCGATAACTCGAACCTCCCACTAACCTCGAAGTAGTTTTTGTTTCCCTTCAGATTATTCCTATATAATTTTACCCCCGATAACGCGAACCATGTTTTAAGCACGTGACAAGCTGAAAAAAAAAATGGTGTACCAATGTACAGAAATCCGAAGCACTGAATTTATTGCAAACCAACCATGTCAATTCTTTGTTGTTACTTTTTTTGTCACTCCACTTCAAATTCAGTGTCCATCCCTGTGAAGTGTGCATGATGCTTGCATTCCCTCCTCATCTTTTTGCTTATTTGCTTCCTGTTATTTGATTCGAACTCCCAATAACTCGAACTTTTTTCCATTTCCCTTCAAGGTTCAAGTTATCGGGAGTCAACTGTATTTTATTTTTATCAATTAACAATTTGTTCCGGTATTTGTTCATTCTCAGCTAGGAAACTCCCTCACGGATATGAAAATGTTCCTGATAAGCCAAGAGGTATGCTCAAACACATTTTAATAACAAGTACTGTGTACATGAGAACCATGTGAAAATTAAAGTGAAGTCAAGTGTGGAATGGCATTTGTCCCATATAATTATGCATTTAATAGTAACTATGACAAAATTCTCCATCCCATAATCTATTCCTTGCTGCTGTGTGGTGGCTTTCATGCCCCAATAACCCAGAGAGCTGAGATTTCTGAATAACTGACAACCTACTCCTCGGTTAAGTCAAAATTAACACTTACTTCTCACTTAGAGCAAAATTGTGCCTTTGGGGAGGGGTAGGTGGTCAGTTATCCAGAAACCTCAATTGATCTCAGATTAGTCTACTAGCAGATAATTAACTGATCTGTAGGTTGTAATGATTTTAAACAATAATTATTGGATGAGGTTTTTGTGATGTCCAGAAGAATCAAGGTCAAGGTAAGTGTTTTCAGCTGAGCCGAAGGCCGAGGCTGATAATACTTACCGAGACCTTGACTATTTAGGATATCACAAAAACCAAATCTAATAATGTTTTATTATACATTGTTTTGAAGAAAATAATGTCAAACGCACCGTCGCAAGGAACCTGTCAAGTGAATTAATATTGTTATTGGAAATCATGCATTGCGTGCACAACCTACAGATTAGTCAGTTATCTGCTAGTATATAACTAACTAATCTGTAGGTTGTGCTGATTTCCGAAATTAGCTGTAGGCTCTTAACCAATGAGAAGACAGATAGTGAGTACAATGTATAATTATCAAAGTTAACTGAAGGCTTTTAGCCAATGAGATAACAGATAGATGTATACAGTGTATAATAATGTTAATAATAGTGTGATTACTGACCGAATTGGACACCACTCAGTTCTGATCCTATTATTAATTAATGAGAAAATCATGGTTAAGTCTATGTAGAATTTAATTGCCATGGATAGTAACAGTTTTAGTGAAAGGTTTTTTTTAGAATTTTAAACATGAGGTCCAAGAAGGCAAAGTAGAAACCAGTCAGATCAATCCTCTCATTAAACCCCTTTGGATTGTTGATTTTCTCTTCTAGCAAAACCACCTTTGCTGAGTCGAAACACAGAACCAGTTCTTCCAATGCGTGGTTATGAAAACTTGCCTCCCAAAGGTTTGTTAATAATTTTAATGATAAAGTAACAAGTAGGTTTATCACTTACTATTGGCATTCAGGCCCCGTCCAAACGAATCTGTCTGTTTCAAAACGGATATTTTTAACCGTGGTTTGGCCTACTGTCCACAATTACCCCCTGAAAACTGTCAAAAAAGCACCTTTTCAAAAGCTCTCTCCATAGTGGAGATTTCTGTAAACGCCGTTTTGCTGCACTCGTGTAAATGGATGACAACGAAATTACGCCAGGCTGTAAAATACCAGTAAATGCGCATGCTCCCATCAAAGATGGTACCGTTTTTAGTCACGATCGCGTTTTCGTGTGCACGGGCAAAAACGATTCAAAAACGCAACGTGTGGACGCGGATTTTTTTGAAAAGGAGAAAAAAATCTCCGTTTTCAAACAAACTTGTGGACTTGGCCTCAATGTTATTTTGTTGCTTCCAAGTCGTGTTCAAAATGGACATTGACAAAATCTGGATTGGAACAGACTGAATGGGATTCACAACCCAGATCAGAACTCATGACCCAAACTCAATCCACAGGGTGGCAAAGGGGTTTTCCGTGACGCGTGATGGGACCGAAATTATCAGCGTGATGCGTGATCATGCCCAAATTAGCTGCGTGAGCCGTGATTGGGCATAGCAGCGTGATGCGTGAAATTGGTTTACCGCTGGTTTCACTGCCACCCTGCTGGTTGACAAGAATTCCTTTGGGCCCTCTCACATGACTACGAACCAAGACCACCCTTAGGGTTGATTTCCACTGTCGCCTCATTTTTCCGCGTGAACGCACGTAAAATTTACGTACGTAAATGAAATAGAGCCAATATATGAAAGGCCATGGGTAAACATAAAAGTTGAGCGAGGTTCAACTTTTACGTATACACGTGACCTTCTATACATTGTCTCTATTTTATTTATTTTATTTTAAGCACATTTCTAGATATTGCAATGCACTTGATTGCAAAAACAAGTGATTTCTAGAGTTAATTCCGCTTATTCCGGAAGACGTCTTTATGAGCAAGTCAATGAAAGATTGTTTGTAGAGGGAAAGTCAGAGTTGAAACTGGTGTAATGAGTCTGACGCTTTTGAATTCCGAAACTTTGATTGTAAACTCGTACTCATGTGAAATTTAATTTCTTCCTCCCGTTCTTTTTTTCATTCACAGTAGGCAACAGAAGTCCAGTTCTCCGTGAGCCAGACTCTTACGAAACTATGGAATCACGTGGTTAGTGAATTTGTTTCTGTCTGTAGTAAGCAGAGACCTTTAGATTCGAGGACAAGAACGACTAGGAACAGTACGAGATTTAACTTAAAGTTTTTTCGCGTATTCTAAAAAAATAGATACCCCGGAAAGCTTCATTGTACTTTTTTTTCATTAGAAAAGATAGCATTGTTATCTGTGTTGAAGGAGGTTAAGCCCACTCTCGATCGCAAAATGATAAAACTTCTAACATTTGATAACTCGCTAAATCCCGTTGTAGAATGACGACGGCTATCAGGTTTTCCCGCCAAAATGACGCTGGTTCACGCGCGCGCACTACTTGGTATTGAGGAAATTTCGTAGTCGTAGTCGTACTCGTCTTAGAATCTGAAGCTCTCTAATAAGTCCTTTGGGGCCGAAAGAGAACAATAGACCTTTTTACCGATACGGCGGCCATATTGAATTAATTCGATTTAAGGAGTATTATAGGATGCCCAGGGGGCATGAGCATATTTCATTTGTATTTTCGAACGCTTTTCGGGACATTTTTTCTTAAAGTTTTCTTAGAATAAGATTGTAATGGGAAAAAAGATCCTTGTGCCGTGTTTTGATGTAATAATGATCGCCTTTTTCCCGAGAAATATACAGTGAAAGACCATATTTCTAATACTCAACTAGAAAAAAGCGATCATTATTACATCAAAACACGGCACAAGGATCTTTTTCCCATTACAATTTTATTCTAAGAAAACTTAAAGAAAAAATGTCCCGAAAAGCGCTCGAAAATACAAACGAAATGAGCTCATGCCCCCGGGGCATCCTATAATACTCTTTAAATCTAATTAATTCAATATGGCCGCCGTATCGGTAAAAAGGTCTATTAGTTTGTCCCACGTATGTCCACCTTCCACAGCACCTAGTAACCATCACCCGGCACTGCAGACACAGGTAAGGCTTTGTCTTTGCCTGTGGCGGATCTTGCATAAGAGTACGGGGGGTTTTGCTTATCTTCGGAGAAAATGTAGACTGCGATTATTCCCTCATTTTCCTCAGCGATAGTTTATAAGCGAGCGATATGCTAACGCGCGTGAAAATCCCCACTCTCTAGGAAGGTCACACGCGGGTAGCAGTTTTAACGCGTTCGTGTATTTCGCTCGCTTTGTATCCCTGAGGAAAGTGAGGGACCACTTGTGGTTTAGAGAAAAAGTGCCCCGGAGGGCTTGCTCAAAAAGTTTTCAACATGAACCGTAACATCAACATTGTTTTCATCTTTGATTCTTGCCGAATTTCATAACCAGTAACAAACTTAACTTTGTGATGTTTAAGGTTGACGTTTAATTGATAGACCCCACCTTCTTAAAAATAAATCACTAGAACTGGTCCTTGTAGTTGTTTAGTTAAATCGTCCCACACACCTCCCAAAGACGGACTCACCCGGTGCTTGTACCATCGGAGTCCATCTCAGGGATGGTTGACTTTAAATCTAACATCAGTTATTGTGTTTCGCTTTAGAAACAAGAGATTCCTTTGAAGAGGCGCCCAAGCCTAGTTTGCCTCCAAGAAAACCGGCCAAAACCCCGCACGGGTACGAAAATCTCCCTGAGAAACCCGCAGTACCCTTGCCACCGAGAGGACCTGCTCCTGACGGCTATGTTAATCTTCCCGGAAAGGAAAAAAGATCTCTTAGTGAACCACCTCAGTTACCGCCAAGAGCTCAGCGACAAAGTCATCTTGGTTATGAAAATCTTCCTTCAGGAGGTAGAGGGGCACATCGCCCCGCTCCTGTTCCATACCAGAATATACCACCACAAGGTAAATAAGCTTGTGTACATTTACATCCATAACTTTGAAAGGATCCGATATCCAAACGGTGCCAATTGAACAGTAGTGATGCCGCACAACAGCACAACGACAATAACTTTTTTGTCATTCCTGATACCCAATGTTCACTATGTGTACTAAACAACTCAGATTCAATTTATTCTCTTCTACTGTATAAATAGATCATATGTCAGACTGATTCCCTGTAGGGGTAGGGACGCACTGTTGTCCGACGCTTGTAAGCGACTGTGCGCGTACCTTCAGGGTCCCCTACTGGTGGTTGACTGTACAACGAGCATTGGAGAACGAGCACAGGAAACGGGAAAAGAAAAATGTGAACTAATCCTTGCTCAAACCTTAGCCCCATTAGTCATTTCTTTGATCTTTCTCTGTTTTGTTCCCAATTTTTATTTTCCCATTCCCCATGCTCGTCGTCCGTTACCCGTTCGTCTTTTTAGTAATATCTACACTTTTTTTTCCTTGCTCTTCCTAAAGTTCTTAAATGATTAACAACACCCCAATGACATTATTTTTCTCAGGTTTTTGAGTCATTATTCAGTGGCTATGGTTGTCTAATGTAAGTCTTCTTTTTATTTTTGCTTTCTAGGGTATAATCATTCACAAGGCCAGCAGCCCAGACGACCCCCAGCACCTCCTATGACACGCGCCGCCACATTACCAGCGCATATCATAGAGAACACTTTAGGGAAAATGGACTTGAAAGAGAATCCATTTTAAGTCTATTACCTTAACCCAGCAATGATGTCATAATATAATGGAATTATTATAAACAGAGAGAAAAAGAAAAGAGATTCAACCAAGTTACAGCAGATGTATGTCGCTTATGTCATGACGTCACTTCAAAGGGAAAATATGACACCATGTCAGCTGTTTAGTCTGACAAGCTGAACTTGTAAACTTTGATAAATAATGATATCAGACCGTTAGAGTAAGATAGGAGGTATTCCATTTAAACGTTATACAGACTCAGTTTGATTTGATTTGCTACCACAGCCGGCACCAAGAAATGGGTCGCGCTTCTGATAAGGCGCTCAGTCTCGCAGTCAGTTATGCAACATTTTGAATCCACTTCTACGTTTTGAGACTATGGACGAAATCCTGTGCCTGACCATTCAAATGAAAGCGCTTCTCTAGTACTTACACATGGTACTTGTCGTGTTTCTACGTGTCTTCAAGAAAATTGGTCTTTTTCTTCAGTTTTGATTTGGAACACTGTTTGGAGAAAGGGTGAAACAGGACAAGTTTTTCTGTGTCACTTTTGATAACTAGGTCCTGTTACATATTTTACTGTAATAGACCTTTTCTTAGTTCCAATAGCTCTCATTTTAAAAAAGAGGCCGAGTGCAAAACCCGTCTTGTGAAAATGTGATTTATTTGCATGAGAATCAATAGCTTCGCACTTAGCCTCGCTTTGAAACAGAGGCTTGGAGGTTGAGACTGGGTCGGTGTTGTGTTGAAATGCATTATGGGACTGTTTTGGGGTACGAATTCTAGCCCAGTTGCGTAAGCAACGTGTCCCCAATCCCATTGTGCAATTCGACACAACATCGACCCAGACTCCTCCTGGTTTCACTGTAGTCTCAAAACACCTCGAGCAAAATCTTCGTCAGTGGCAATTTGCGTTATAAAAAGTGTCAGTGATAATCATTGCTGCCGACTCCTCTCAACGTTAAAACTGAAGCGCAATATTACTGATAAGTATTAAGGTTAATCCTGCGTCAGAATTTTTTATGGTAGGTTTTATTCTTGTTACTTCGTCGCGTATTTCGATATTTTCTCTATATCGGTATGACAAAAGGGTCATAAAAATTGATCTGTTAGACGCAAAAAAAAACGGCACTTAAATAGGTGAACTGATGTAAGCTTTATGTAGTGCCCAAATAACTAGCCACTAAGAGTGTCTGAGCCATATATTTTGGCTAAGTTAAAGACGGTTATGTATTGGAATTCGATGAATGCAGTTGTACAGAAATAAATTCCTAATACAGTAATGGAATTCTAGCTGTCGAGGTGTACACTTGTTGCTTTGTGCACGTTAGGCCCGGTTCTGACGCGGAAGTTTTCATGAGCCGAACCTAATTCGAATTAAGGCCGACCCAAACTATTTAGACCGCCTGAATTGATGCAGACGCCGATCTTAATTCCAGCCGAACTAAATTCAAAAGAGGAAAAATGCTTATTTTGGTCAAACTGCTTGCAAAATAGGTTATAATTTATGCATTAGGTTCGGTACATGAAAGTCGTTCCACAGTCTAAATTCCCGGCCGGGGTAGGCGTGAAGAACGGCTGAGCCGTTCTAAATTGAAATAGGCGTTCCTAATTGATTCAGACGCCAAACATTCAATGTATTAGGCTCGGCTCATGAAAAGATCGGCGTCTGAAACGGGCCTTAAATACCTACCATAAGCAGGAGTTCTTTACCGCAACTTCGAAGATTGCTTCGTAGAAACAAGTACATTCTTTCAACTCCCTTCTTGTTCTAAGATTTGTTTTCTTTTATTTGCTATTTTGCCCTACACCAAGTAGCTATGGTAGCATGCCCTAAAGTCCTTCAGTTGCGTGAATGATTCACTTAAACTCTACAGAGGACTAATAAGCAAGCCGGAGAGAATGATAATGGACAGAAAGGGAGTCTTAGGGCGTTTCCCGGGATATTTGAATTTTTCTGAAGTTATTTTTAGAAGTTGTAATTAAACGAAAGTCAAATTCCTGGGAAGTCGGTACGTTTTTATCGATTGTTTGAGATGTCATCAAGTCAACTGCCTCAAAGCAACCCTCTTTTTGGGCCAACACTGAATAAAGTTTGCCGACCTCTCCGGAAACCAACTTCCGATTAATTTCAAGCGTTTAATTTGTCTAAAAAACACTTTGGTGAAGGCAAGGCTTTCCCTCTTTCTGTCCCATTTTCCTTTCTTGGATTAAGTTAATTTCTCGTATAGAAATATGCAGTGCTTTATTCAGAGAGTCAGCCTCTTTAAACCAAAGCGTCAGTCTAAAGTAAACTCTTATCAGGGGATAAATTTTTATCGCTAAGCCAAACTGTGGTAATCTCCCTTACTGATTCTGAAAAAAGCTCCTCCGAATAAAAACCGCTCAAATTAAACTGAAACACAGAACGCCAAGGTAGATGTCTTTGGACTATAAACTGCTTGTTAGTACATGGATTGTTTTTTTCTCTAGGTGTTGCTGACACTATTTTCGGTTGGCTTTTGTGCTGTTATTTGTGATATGTTTGGTATTCCACTTTTACTGCAGATCACTTGCTGTCCTGTTTGAAGTCAATGTACCAAATATTAACTTCGATACTCTGAAAAATTTCTAACACAAATTTCTCTCTAGATATAGGCCCGGCCGCTATTGAAATGTAAATTTACTTCCCCTCAAAGAGGCCGCAATGGCCTTTGAAGAATAATATTACCGAAGCCTATTTTTTTGGAGGTTACGATTGTCAACGAGGAAGTGACTTCTTGGGGTCAAAGAGACAAAGTACAAAACAATTTCGTGAGATGTCAAAATGCCAAAGGCCAGTGCACTAGCTAATGTTTGACCGTGAATGAACCAAGAATGACCAAGAAAATCATTGTCCTGAAGATGGCCACTCCTTTCGCCCCGGAATCGCGTTTACCATTAGTACAAATCAGTTGCATTTACAGGAAAACGACCGCGAAGGCCTGAAACTGTTTGGAATATATTGGCCATCCGGAAAAACAGGACTACTTTTTCAGATGTTCCGTTGCTCATGGCAATTTTCCGTTTTCAAAAAGTCGTGTTCCATTTACTTTCCGACAGGTAAACAACCATGATCATGAGCATCGGCATCCCCGCGTAAGATTAAAAATATAAGGATTTGTATGGGGAAAAACCTGCCGTTCCAAAAAAAAACTACGAAAATGAAAGGAATTCAATTAAAAAGAAAAATTTTCCATTGGGAGCCGTTAAAAATATTCTCTCTCGGTATCTGGCCCCGAGGAAGGGACGAAGACCGTCGAGGTACGAGATTGCCATTCGGGGCTCGAAATTTTTGCAGGACTTTTAGGGATCGACGAGTTTTTGTATTTTGCAGGAACAATTTTTTGGAATGTCCAGTGACTGTCAGGAGCCGATTATGTACTTGTCACTGGAAGGGGTGGGGTTTTGTGGGGGCTTATACTTGCCCGAGAGGGGAAGTTTAAGCCTGAAGGCGCAGTTGGCGCTTAGTTGTATGTCCCAGAAGTCTCCCCGCCCCGGGATCGGGATGCTGGGGCGGTCATTGGCGACCTGTGATTGGGAATGACTGGTTTGTCTTGTTAGAGACATATTTTGTGAGACGTTCAGATTTGGGATCACAGCTCTTTCGTTTTTATTCAGAAAACTTCTTTGGGAAATTCAACAATTATTCAAGGGGACGAGACACGACAACAGGGCGCAGCTCGTAGAAGGAGAAAGAAGCTATTTTACCCCCGGAGCTGTTTACATGGACATTTAGAAGCCTGGATATGGTTATTCCATCCTAAACATTTTAAGATTGGTATTTCTTGCCATTTCAGAACATCAAACTTTCAAAATCTTTCAGGGGAGCAACCTTGTAATATGCCCCTTTAATCTGGAACGCACCCCTCTCCCCCCACCCCCCCACCATCTTAGAGAAAAGAGGGAGAGAAACGCGTCGGTGGACAGGCTAATAAAAAAGCAAGGAAAGAAAAAGTGGGAGAGTTTTAAAATCTAAAGCCCTACTGCAACATTAAAAGTAAAAAAAGAAAAATTTTAGTGGCAGCGGTGGGATTCGAACCCACGCCCCCGAAGAGACTGGTGCCTTAAACCAGCGCCTTAGACCACTCGGCCACGCTACCATCTGATACTAAGGGAGACGAAATTAAAATATTTTAAACTTCGGGAGGAATAAGCTGAAAATTTTTTAACCTTCTCCACATCAGCGATTTGAAACGAACAAAATTTGAACATTCTCGACTACGTTATTTTGCAGAAACTTCTCGGTCCAGTGTTAAGAAAGGACTTAGAAAGCATACTGAAGAAATGATGCATTGGAAGCAAATAAGCACGGTTATAAGCTTAATTTATGGCGCACGCCACTAATTACTCTGACCCCATCAAGCATGTTAAATCTTTCCCTTATTTAACAGGATTCTCCTGTGTTTAGATTAGAAGAGAACTTCATCAGTCCACTCATCAAAAAGTGAAAAAGAAAACACAAAAACAAGAATTTTAAACTGTGATTCATGATGGATCGAGCGAGTGATTATTCAACGACAGAAGAAGAAACGCGAGGTTTATTGTTGCTGTTAATATAAAAGAAATTCAACTGTTGCTGGAAAGTCATGATGAAGAACAGTTACAAAACCCAGAGAGTGAAGAAACCCTAATTTGCAGGCCTCACTCTCGAAGACGCACTATTCGTGTGATTTGACACTGTGAGATGTGTCACGCATTCTCTTTACCGATTGTCGCGTAACCGCACGTGAATCAGCTTGGTCAAACGACAGTGAATGGAACAAGCGTCGACAGATGGCCTATAAACCGAGGAACCTCGTACGGCAGACTCCAATATGTAATAAATTTGTGTTAAAATTTGTTTTTTTGTTGTTGTTGCTGTTATTTTTTGTCTTTTTGTTTAATTTTGTTCGGAGAGGGTGTGCTGCTGGGTATTCGGAATGCTGCATACTTAGCCTATACCAGACCTTTAACAGTTTGTTAGCCTGTATTCAGCCTCCCCCTTCCCTCCACCAGTTGTATACAGGCTAAGCTTCCTAGAAAATGATACCCTACCCTAGACCCAGTCTCTCCGATACATGGCTAGTCTGCCACACAGCCGTTTTTAGTGTCGTCACGCAACTGGAAGGAGCGTTGCGTGACGACACCAAAAACGGCACTAATACATAACATGGCAGAACCTCCCTCCAGGTTCTCGAGCTGCAAACAACTTCAGTAACAGCTGAGTCACGCACTTCTTAAAATTCAGAGCACGAAAAGAGAGCTCACTTGCTAAAGAGGCACAGAAGCAAGTTGGGTTAAATTGCTGAAAACATTTTGTTACAATAGTAGAGTATACAATAATCATCCAGTAATTGCTTCATTTTTTTTTTTTTGGAAATATCTAAATATTTCCATTTAGTGTTTGCTTTAATGTTTTTGAAACATTAAAATATATTAATATTTGAATAGTTTGTTAAAATATTTTTCTATAAATTGATCTGTCCATTGCTTCTATCAAGAAATCACCTTCAAAAATCGGAGAAAACTAATGCATTCATAATATCACAATAATTTATTATAATTCTTATTCACTTTATGACCATGTTTTCATATTTCTCAAGTGTGACATTGACATTGTAGATATTGTATGTCGCTGTAACGATCTGGCCTGCTCACTGTGGCTTCTTATTGGTACTTTTTATGAGTTCTTTGATGGAACTTTTGTTGTAACCTGCAAAAAAAAAAAATTAAAGTCGCTGCAAAATTAGCAAAGCCTCAGCCTTTTTGATATGAATAAATGTCACTACTGTAGCCGAATCGACTTTAATTGGCAGCTATCTTTCACATTTTTACGGAATTAAACTGTGCTTTGGGAATACTTCAACTGTCTGTCTAAATGCTATATCAGGAAGGCAAACAACCCATTTACTTCTTCAAATTCTTAGAGATTTCACAAGCCTTCTCTTTAGAATATAAAGAGCTGAAAGCAGGAGCTCCCACAGCTACTTCAGCTGTAAATGGCTTCTGGCTACTTTTTCCTTTCCTTAGCTGATGGTATGATGAGTGCCACCCCCAAAGCAATAAGGTTTTTGAGATGTTCTGTTTCTTGAAGAAAGGTGTCAAAACTTGAGGGCACCTAGGTCTGATTTTCTAAGAGGGGATTTGAGAAAGACTGAAGCATATCTGCTCTGAAAATAAGTACTGGTACTCGGTAGTCAGAGTGCAAGAACAACCCCCCCTCTCAAGCCCCCTACTAAGGTAATAAAGAACCAATGCATTGTCAACCAATAACTATTCAGCACCGATGATTTAGAATCACTTACCGTTTTTACTTCCAAGAAAGGTAATAAGCCACATTCACCCCTACAAAATAGAAATTATTTGGGAGGTGAGACACCAATTCACTGAATCATTGTTGTAGAGTTTTGTGCGGAAATTGACCATCAAAGGTAAAGGTTTGTTGAGATGAGTAGTTTGAAGATACTAATGTCCTCCCTAGTATTTTGTTTAAATAAAAGGTGCATTTATTATTTAAATGGACCTTCTATGGCCTCCTCTGTGTCTGCATCAACGAGGTTTGAGTGTACTTCAATACTTCAATAACAAATATTAGTAAATACTAGTAAATGTATGAAAAAAATTTGAGTTGCCAAGAGTCAGTGTATTACCTGCTTCCTCTCGACTAACCAACTGGCCAATACGTTACAATGACTTAAAACTTTGCATAATACTGTAATAATCAGGTGTTCTTATAAAACTTGACTTACCATTCTCTTCCATGCCCAGACATTTTAAAGCCTCCAAATGGTGCCTGAGGAGCTCCAGCATCATAGCAATTGACCCTAGAATAAATAATCATTAATATTAATCAAATTTGCAGTACTTGATGCACGCGAGTAAAGGATACTTACAAAATTTGTCAGTTGCATCTAAGCATTTACCGCGACAAAACAACATGAAATTTGACATCCGTTAAAGCAAACTGTCACACCAAAGGTAAGTTGTTTATATGTTTTCGATCAGTGCATTCTGCTCATATTTCATTTGTCTCAACTTTCAGGCATATTTCTTGATCAGAACCAGCACACTTGTCTCCAGAAATTATTCTTAACACCTAAAAATTCTGGCAAAGAGTATTTAGTTGGGTGAAAACAAATCAAGTCGACAACAGCCGCCTTATCCGAACTTCAAGTGTTTGGTGCCAAAACATGTCACGTTTGCGCCCAATTAGAACATGTTTTTTTCCTTGCATGTACACGCTTTGATGCAACCAACGGTATTATATACCTGCATCATTTTTATATTAACAACATATAACTTCCTCATCAAGCAAACCGTTTACATAGAAGATAACACATCTACACAATTTAAAGTTAGAATGGTCTAGTAATTACTGCTAAACTGGCATCGATAATGCCAGTGTAATGGACAAAGGAAACTCAGCAGTTCAAAGAATCTTATGGAATCTTGGCACACTGCAAGCATTAATTTATGAATGAGGTATTAACCCTAAGATGGTAGCTAAAATTCTCCATTCTTAAAATTTTGTTGGTATACATATTTATCATATTTTTAATACACTTTGAATTTTTTCATACATTTTCTCTGTATATACTTATTTATTATCATGTATTTTTGCATTTCTTGAAGACTTAAGACACGCTAGGAAGATAAAAGCTTACTGTTTTTAATACTCAAGCAGATAACACCTTTTTTACCATGAAAAGATACAAGACGTTTTTACTACATCTTATAAAAAAGTCCAAAATGCTGTACATGTATATTGAGCAGAGTTTAGACCATGAACATCATTAAATTGATTGGTAAAAGAAATGAAAGTAGCTTGTTACCACACTGTCCCAGCACGCAAACTGTGGGAAATGGTTGTTGCTTTGTCTACATCCTTGGTAAATACTCCAGCTGCCAGTCCATAAGTTGTGTTATTTGCCCTGTCAATAACCTCACTTATGTCACTGAATTTTATTATCTGCTGTACTGGGCCAAAAATCTGAAACCAAGAAAGAACAAGAACTGAGTTTGATCACTATTTGTTTCCAACAATAATATTTTTAATTTAAGGTAACCAGTGGAAGATCCATTATTCATTCTTCAAGTAAGTGAAAACCTATAATGATCTTCCAGATCCTGAAATAAGAGGAGAAGAAGACCACTGCATATTTTAGTGATAAGAATTAAACTCCATGGGCATCACGGAGTAAAATAAGAAATTTTAATCTACACTAAAACATCGCAAGGATTTTCTGTGCAAAAACTAGTTGCCACTGAATAAAATCTTGTCGCATCTTTATTGTTTGAGAAATAAACTTTTCAAATGGAAGGGTTTATGGCAGATTGAATACCTTAAGTGCCATCAACCGGCTGAAAAAACTGGCTACTTCTTGAAGTCTGAGCCATCTACTTTTGAGGGAAAAATTATGAGTAAAGTGAGGGAGTGAAAGCCTGAAACTGCCTACAGCACTTGATTGCCAAGCCACCTGATCTTACATCCTAGCTTTTTCTACTTTAAAACTTAGTGTCAAGAACCTGTGGTTAGAATTTAGCTTGCAGTGCATTGACTTCAGACAAAATCAAGGAGGTAAGTACCTCTTCCTTAGCAATTCTCATGTCATCTTTGACATCTGAGAAAACAGTGGGTTGTATGAAATATCCTTTGTCTCCATGACGACCACCACCACATTCCAGCTTTGCACCTTCTTTCTTTCCACTTTCAATCAACTCCAGAATTTTATCAAACTGTTCTTTATCCACCTTAAGGACAAAGAGAAATTTACATTTTAGTGACAAGTAAAGAATGTATTAGTTGAACACTGCCAGGAGAAAAATCCAAGGCTGTGTGCACAGCTTCACTAGAGAACTAAACTGAATAGTTTTTTCTTTTATAAAACTAATGAAAATGATTAGCTACTTTCTTAAATTGAATATTATTGGCTCTTTAGTGTTTTTCTTTTTTGCACAAAATATTGGAATAGCTGACAGTTAAACCATTAATAGGAAATGACAAAGTTCAGGTTTCCAGTACTAATCAAGATTTTTTAGTTTTCAGGTCGAAAATACAAATTAAATAAAGAGTTGATGATTTATCATTTGTTGAAAATTTTTTTTTACCTGAGGCCCTTGCTCAATTTCTTCATTAAATGGATCGCCGACTGTCCTTTTCTGAGCTCTGAGCACACTCCTCTTGACAAACTCATCATAAATGGTGTCCTGTACAAATGTACGGGTGCCTGCACTGCAGCACTGTCCTTGATTGAAAAACACAGCGGCATGGGAATACTCCACTGCATAGTCCAAATCACTGTCAGCAAACACTATGTTAGGGCTCTTTCCTCCCAGCTCCAGTGTCACACGCTTTAGATTGGATTTTGCAGCAGCAGCTTGTATTAATCTACCAACCTTAAATAGTTACAAACAATGAACAATTGTCATTGTAAATCTGTAATTTAATATTTGTTTACCCATGGAGCTCTTAGTAGTTCTTTAGAACTCACTGAAATGTGTCCATTTCTTCGAGATTGATTGGAATTTGCCAGTGTTGGTTTATAAGGAAAGGGGAAAACCCAAAAACTCGAAAAACACCTCTCATAGCAAGGGAGAGAACCTGACGCAACAAATGCAACCCACATTATGGCTGCAACCAGGGTTGTCATTAAGAGCCGGGGGCTGGGGATTTTTCCCGGCTACTAAGAGACTGGTCCCCGGCTACTTTTATTGGAAAATAGAAGAAAAATAGAACCAAAAGAAATCCCTAGCCGTTTGATTCCCTGCCTACTTGATGTATTTACCCAGCAACTTGAAATCTTAGTGACAACCCTGCGCAACGCAGGAAAATTATTGAAATCAGCATTGGACTGTTCATAGTGCCCTATATTGCTATAAGATTGTCACAATTCAGCAATTACTTTTTTAAAAGTACTTAGGGGGTGGAGCAAGGTGCATTTCTTTCCTCATTATGCTAAACACCCACAAAACCCACCCCCTCCCCACCTCCTGTCAGTACATCTGAAACTAAGGTGTTTTTTTAGGAGTTAAAAAAAATGAACATTAGAGATAAAAGTTAGCATTAAAAAACACTTTGACTGCCTGTAGGCAGTCAAAGTAATGCTAACTTTTATAGTTTAATCCAGTCAGAAAAATAAACATTAGGCAGTCAAAGTGTTTTTTAATGCTAACTTTTATAGTTTAATCCAGTCAGTTTTTTAAATAAAATACTAAGAAGCACCTCTGTTGAGCCAGTGAATGAGACTTTGTTGATGTCCATGTGTTCAGAAATGGCAGCACCTGCAGTGGGACCATAACCAGGGATGATATTCACCACACCAGGTGGAAAGCCAGCCTATAATATACAGAAAACAAGACGCTACGGAGCGTATACTTCGGCCTCGTGGTTGTGGAACTGATTAATAAATTGTAAATGCAGAGGAATAGTAAGAAATGAAATATGGTAAGAGTAAGGTGTTAATTTGTGAAGTTATGGGATTCGTCAGGATATTTTGAAAAGAGCAACATCTAAGAGGCCTACTTGCCAAAAACTAGCATTTCGGGACAATTATTCTCTGAGATATTAGCTCAGTTATGCTCTGATGACTCCATACAAATCCTTCTAAATTTGACTTGGGTCTAAACGTTTACACCTAAGTCAAATATGAGGTTACTGGCGGTGAATAACAAGCCTAACAAAACAAACAGTGAAAAAAGAATTCTCTATTTTTCTTAGTCATATCAGGCTTCAAAAACAACATAGCAGTCTCACGTGCTGATTAAAGATATGCAAAGTATGGGTAAGGAGTCAATTACGATGAGCATGGAATTGGCTGTTACAAGTTCGAATGTTTTGAGGATAATTATTCACTGACTATCAGCACGCAGGAATGTCGGATTAACACAAGGAAGTTTAATACCAAAGGAACATAGCCTTTTCAGAACTTTAAAACACAGCATCCGCCAACACAAACTTGACTTGAACTTAAGTACATCTAAACAGCCTCTACCAATAATAACAAACTCTCACTTGATATCTTACGGCTTCCGCCAACTTGTAAACACAGAACTTGAAAATCGACCTTTGTCACACTTGACTAAACACAGCAGTCCAGCTCGTGGGAAAAAAACTTAGGTCGTCAAAAGACCTCGCTTGGAACTTGTATACCGTTTGACATAAGGTTCTAGAAAATACTAAATGGGCGAATAGTAGTAGCCTTTCGACATATTTTATGATTTCAGTAACTGATACAAATCTGCTGACTCATGCTGAAATGTAAACATGCCCTAATTATTATTCATGAATAATCCAAAAAAGTAGAGAACGTTCGAGAAAGTCACGCAACGTATGAAAGCAATTTTACTACGTAACACTCAACAAAGACAAAATGTCTTTGTGCAGCATTTTGTAACTTTAAATTCATCATAAAGCAGTTCAAAACGAGGGCTCACTGGTGGAATGTTTTTCAACACTCGAAGAGAAATTTCGTGTCTCTGCGCGGCCACGTAATATCCTCTATTTATTCCTCGAGTGAATTAAACACTAAACTCAAAGTGATCTCAAGATATCACAAAGTAGTCCGGTTTCATTTCGTGAAATAGCCGAAACAAGAAGAAAAGTCGCAAACTTGCACGCCCAATCTTGTCCTGAAACTAGTGCATAATTTCATAACTATTTTTCATATCCCGAACTACCTTGGGTCGCAGTAGCGCAATAGGCTAATCCCTCAACTTAGAGTCTCCTCTGACCTGACAGGTCACACAGGTGAGGCGGTTCAAACCCCGGGAAAGCCAAAACAATAATTCTTTCTTCCTCAAAAAAGTTAAAGAATAAATCAAAGAAATCCAAGTTATCTCGAAATATCTCGAACTAATCTTGTCAAAAAATTGTAACTTTGATACATTCCTGAGCGTCGCGAATCCTTTACTTCGCGCTCCGCCGAAGTGATTATTCAAGTGACACAAAACAATATATGTATTGTAGTTTTACTTTTCGCCACAGTTGGACCTCGATTATCCGGACCTGTTCCCTGGTCCTGTTTTATTCATGAATATTAATAAGATATGATCTTGAAAAGTTGAAACGATTAAAAGTTCATTCATTCTTCTGAACGTGAGTTTAAAACACTGTTTTAATCTGTTTCGCTTTGAAAAAGTGCCACTGGCATGAGATCAACAATAATCCTGATGCATTCAGCTGAAATCTGATTGGGTTAGGTTGCTGGGGAATGTTATTACTGATTCCACATTGGTTAAGTAAACACAAGACCAATCGATCAAAAACTGAAATCACAGCCATGTCTATGCAATGAAAGCAGTCCGTTCTCTCGATAAAGGATAAGCAACTGAATAATTTCAGGTTTGGAGAACGGCGAAAGAGGAACAAATTTAGTACTCAAGCTTAAAATCAGCAAGCAGCAGACCTCACATACACGCAAAAACAAAGAGAAGATCCTGAAATTCACCAATAGCATCGGAATGAGCAAAGAACTGAAAATACATTATATACTTACAGTCCGTACATAAATTCAATTAAGAGCTTGAATTTTCACATTTAAATTTTGTTGTCTTTATTCCCTATGATTACATTTTTGTCTCAATGATTGATATTATCCGAACTCTTGATTATCCGGACTATTAACTCAAGTCCCAACGAGTCCAGATAATCGAGGTTCAACTATATATAATATGTACTTTAAACTGATTACCATCACTACCCACACTATACTGCCTGTGTAACACCAGAAAAGTCCTCTAAATACTTTGCAACATCATTATTGTATTTTTTAAAGAGCTCAAAACTAAGTGGACATTGTAAGTGGACTTTGTAAACGTCCACTTTCCATGTTCGGTTTGATTTGTGACCCTTGTCTTGTAAAGTGGTATGGATCTTGAGAAAGTGAATGTTAATAGACGTGCAGACAATAAAAAAGAACTTGTTGCGACCTTAGAAAAGGTAACTGCAACCCCTTAATAGAGGTGACCGCTCAATGTACAAGTCAGTTGTACTGTAATTAAGGGAAAAGATTTCCAGGACTTTGGTAAGTGACCGCTTAATAGAGGGTGTCCACCAAATTAATACAGGTTCACTCTTATTACAGGTTTGACTGCATGTCATCCATGAAACACTTAGAGGGAAATTTCATATCTAGGCAAGCCCATGGGTTATTTTCTATTTGTCCTTTCAAGAATTAAAAATATATATTGTTTGCAACAATCGATAATTGATTATTTATTATTATTTTTAAGTAGAGCAGCATAATATCAAATTACCTCTTTGAAAAGAGACCCAATGTAGAGGGCTGTTAGTGGGGTTTGCTCTGCTGGTTTAAGTATGACAACATTGCCGCAAGCCAGAGCTGGAGCAAGTTTCACGCAAGCTATGTTAAGAGGGAAGTTCCAGGCAGTGATAGCGCCTACAATACCAACAGGCTCATGTCTTGTGTACACAAAGTATGGACCATCTGCAAAATATAAGGCAGACAGTTCAGGAGTTTGATTTTTGAGTTTGATAATTTGATTAAATAGTGTTACACGTTTTTTTGCCTTTAATTTTTCTCTGGCCTGTTTGACTTAACTGTGTTCATTCTTGCATGATTTGAAAGATTCCCCTGCAGACGTTAGATGACAAAGTTGTCATTGAGTTTTTTACTGATGATCTCACAAGCCGTGCAAAGAAGGACATGGCTCCATATGGGCAGTTCAGGGGCAAATGGGTTAACAAGTGCCTAAGGAGCATCCCACACATTTGGTGGCCCAAAGAAATTTGAAATGAAAAATTTTGGAGACAGGCGGCGGCAGATAGAGGAGGAAGTAAAAGATCCACACTGAAGAGACCAGAAGGACCTGTGGCTAAAACAGCCCTGGAAAGGAACCGGCAGGGAATTAATGAATAAGAAAACCCAATGGAATTGGTCGGAACTTGAGAAGAGAGAACTGATACAATGCATGTATGTGTGGTGGGAGGCAAAAGTCACTGATCAAAATAGGTAGCTGCCCTGTGTGGACAGCAAAAATGATGATCATGAAAGGGTATGCAGATGTATGTCAGTAAAAATAGAATTTATCTACTTAAACAATTTCCACTGACCTGCAGATATTGTCTTCCCTGATATCTTATCAGCCCATCCAGCATAGTATCTGAAGCCCTTCACAGTCAAATCCATATCATCTACAGAATCTGCGAACAGTTTGCCACTGTCTAGTGTCTCCAGAGACTTGATGAAAAAAAGACTGAATTTAGAAGAATGTGATGTTTTCGTTCAGTAACATTTTTCATACATGTAATATGAAAAGTTAAGCAAGTCCCCGATTTCTACCTCTCTTTTACAACAGTGCCTGCGACTGTGCTTAGCATTACCGTATTAGGTATAACTTAATACTTACAGCTAGATAGTCCAAATCTCGCTCTACCAGGTCTGCAAGTTTGTAAAGCAATCGACCCCTTTCAGAAGCATCCATTGTTCTCCAAGGACTTCCAAGTTTAAAAGCTGAAGCAGCCGCCTGCACAGCCTTGTCAACATCAGCCTGGAACATAAAAAAAAAAATCACCCTCAGCAAGGCAGGTTAAAACCTTATGTCTAGGGTTCAACACGATTAGCCAATGAAAACCATTGAGAGCAAGGATTGACAAGAACCTTCTAGTTAAATACCGGTAACACTATTTGAGACACTTTTAAAAATCAGTCATACTTCCTAACGTTCCCATTTATTTAAGCAATAAAAAAACATTTTCCTAGTTTGCATAGCCTGATATAAATACGAGAGGGTGTTGGGAGAATTTGAGACAATTTTAATTGCAAACCCAAGACAAAGTCAGGGATTTGCATAACTATTCAGAATTCTACCAACCCCTTGAGTGTTTATATCAGGCTATGCACATGCAGTAAAACAGTTTTCTGTTGTTTTCATAACATAACTTTCCCAAATTTTGACCAGTCCTAAAGCACTGTAAACAAAGTTTTGTGTGCATAATTAGTTTTTGTCTTGCAAAAAAGATGCTTTCCAAAATACAGATTATTGACAATCAGTCTAGGTTATTTGACATTCAATGGACTCACTTTGTCACCCTCCGCCACATCACAGATCTTTTCCGCTGTTACTGGATTTATGGTAGCAAATGTCTTTCCACTAGCAGAGTCCACATATTCATTATTGATGAAAAGCTGTTTAAAAAAAGTATAAAGAAATGACAGGACAGTTTCACATAACTTCTAGTGAAGATAAATATGTGTAAGTCACAATTTTTAAAACTTTTACAAGTGTTATTTTCATGTGTAGCGATTGGTTTGGAGTAAACAAACAGTAGAGGGTACGGGTGATGCGTAATTAGGCTGAAATTTGGCGTGTGATGCGTGAAATTTTCCATCACACGAACCTGATCCGTGAAACCACTTATGGCTATGAAGCCTGATTTACCTTGAAAGATATGCGGGACTCGTGAATTATTTGTCCCATTTCATGAAATCAATAGTATAGGACAAATAGATTGAACGGTGCCATTGGTTGCATTCTTTGTATTATGTTTTTGTCCTGGTTAATAATTACCAAAAAACTAGAACCTAAAAGCCCCATGCAGTCAGGGTAATCTTTGACATATTTCAATATGACAACCGTTGAAGTCTGATCCATGATGACCGTGGTTTCAGTTCGTAGCTAAGGAATTTTAGTAACAACAACAACAACGGCAACGAGCATGTCAAAACAGCAATAGGTTTATTAAGCTTTCGACGTGAAAATGTCTAATTTCACAATTTATGGAAGGATGTAAACAAGCAACAACAAAATTTTCTTTCTCTTTCTAAACTTGAGTGTGGTCCCCAAGAATTCAACTCCTGGACCAGGGAAATTTGCCTTAACATAAGGCATTTTCAGAGAATTGGGTCATTCCAGAAAAAATCCACACCCCCCCGACGGATGGGGTCCTTTTTTAACCCCCCCTCTCACCTGGATTTCCTGAAGCACAAGACCCCCCCTCCCAACTGGATTTCCAAGGTGGAAGACCCCCCCTCCCGCCTGGATTTCCGGAAAAAATAAAAGGCCTAAATTTAATTTATTTTTAATGGAAAATACACGCAAACACGCCTAAATGTTTTTGTTTTAATTTCTAAAGCTTCAGCTTATATTAAACTACTTAATTCTATCGCGGAACTGAAAACGAAAAGGAGCAAAAAACAAAAATGCGAACGACACCTGAACGAGTGTTTACATAATTTCTTAGCTTATAAAATCACTCTTGCTGGGCTCTGGGTACGTGTAGAAATGTGTCAGGCGTTTGACGCTCTTGAGACAACAACGCTATGACGAGTTCCTTCAGGCCCGTTCTTTAGTATCTTTTTTCGCTTTCTGCTATAAAAGGACCTGTAAAGCAACTTAGATTATCATTTATGTCAGGTGAGAAATATATGAACAAAACATTTTGACTATTTTCAGGGTCTGAAAGCGCTTAAGTGTCATCGAACTAAACGTTTGATTTGTATCAACTATCGGTCGAAATGACCCCTGCAGAAGTCTTTTTTAAGGTCAACCCCCCCTCCCGCCTGGATTTCCGGAGTCTTCGACCCCCCCTCCCGCGAGAATTTCCAGAATCCCATCCGTCGGGGGGGTGTGGATTTTTTCTGGAACAACCCATTGGAATAAACATGACAAAGTCAGAAAAAACACTAATTCATTTTAAAAGTGACGTTTTTGCTGCCATCGCCGTTGTAGATGCTAAAACTCCCTTTTGCTTAACAACGGTAGAGGTTGATGACTAAATTCATGACTTGTGAAAATTGGTTTATCAAGCACATGATACATGAAATTTGTCAAAATTTGCACGTGAAACAGGACCATGACTTAGGGATTCATATTCCCAGTCATGCGGTCATCCTAGACGACTGCAATCTCATATGGATGATTCAGATAACTTCAAAAGTCGCCCTTCGGACGAGTGCTCAAGGTTTTGCTCAACCACAAAATCTTTTCAAAAATTTTTATATGATTTTATACATTTTCCCTGTGTTCTGATTACTTCTCATCCACTTAAAAGTTTTAGAATAATGGAGAATAACAAGCAGCTTTTTGTCTGCAGTGAAATCGTAAGTTTGGTGCAGTATTTTCAACGACACGATTGCAGGCTCAGTTTTCTGTAAAATACTGCAGTCAGAGGCCATTCGTAGAAAACATGACTGCACTCATCAAAATGTGGCGTTTTTTAGAAGGCATTTTGTCGCCTTCAGCGGAAAAAAAAGGTCAAGCAGAAGGTGGTACCTTATATGGATCAAGATGTGACATTTTTTTAGAAGATGTTTCACTGTCTTCTACGCAAAAAAAGGGATGCAGGAGCTGCTGCTTTATACAGGGAAAAACATTAGCACACCGTCTTGCCCTCATGGCGAACTGACAGACCATGATGTGGCTACTTGTAAAACATAAATATACTGTGTTTAGCCTATGCCTGTAGCCTGTTGTACTCAACAGTTTAGTTAAAACCCTTTCTTAGTAACTATAATGGCAATAAAATGCTAATCATAAATGTTCAAGCTGCGCACAATTTTTTCACCATTCCTTTATGTAATTCTGCACTTTTGTCCAAGCAACCCAAATTGTAACAGGGCAAGTATGCCATCAGGCTTACTTACCCGTCCACATGACGACTAGATGCGAAAAAATGAATACGAACCCCTGATGACTCCCCCTCTGATACCCTCACAATAGCCACAATTATTACACTTGAAAAGGTTTCATCAAATTTGCCCCAGGCTAGGGGTGTGGAATTTGCACGCACTTTTTTAATCCTGCACTATGATAGACCCTTCCGTGGTTTTTTCAACTCTTGACATCAACCAGTTAAGGAAAATCCGACGAAACCAATGTAAAGAGCACCTTAAAATTACTAAAATTTCCAAGTTTGAAAGTGATCCGTCGTAGGTGAGAGAAGATTTAGCTCCTCAAGGTTGCGAAAATTTACAGGCGTTTGTATGGGGGGCAAGTTTGTGCGCCCCAACCATACAAACGTCGGTAAATTTTCACGACTTTAAGGAGCTGTATTTTTTTTAAAATTTCCACGAACACCTTAAAACTTGGCAATCTTACTAATTTGACGGCGATCTTCGTAGCGGAGTTGAACGATTTTCCCTAACTTGTGTTTGTCATAAGTTGAAAAAACCGTGGAAAAGCCTATTGACAATCGCCCGAAAAATGCCCGGGGAAGGAAGATCGATGAGCCGAGAATGGGACTTGAAATTGACTGAGCATTACTTCATATTTCATCAATTATATTTTGACAGCAGGTTTTAAAAGGATATTTCTTCTTTTAACATACGAGAATGATACGATAATGGTTAAGTTCCAAAGGTCTTTGATCGTGATCTTCATTTGCAGGAACTTGAATCACGAAAGAACGCTGTGCATGGCCGTAGTTATTATTACTGTACAAAAACCCGGGGTAATTTAGCATGATAATGTCTTAACTTTAAATTTTTCTTGTAATGTACCTTTGTGAACTTGATTTCTGGATTCCTTGTCGCCTGATGAGGCATTTTTTAAACCATATGGACAGTGCTGCAGGACACTTCGGTGGGTAACTCGGCGGGTAATACACTGTGTAACGTTAATGAACTGTTTCCTTGTCTCCAGACCCTTCTCCGTTCGATTTTGGAGAAGGGACGACGATGATGACGACAACGATAACAACAACACGCATTTATAAACTCTGCTCCGCTCCGTAGAGAATGTAATGTTTGATATGCGTTCCGTTTTCCACAGAGCACAGGAAATTTAATCAATTACGACCAAAAAGTTTAGCTATCAAATTGTCATTCGCATTTTCTTGTTTGGGTAACAAGGGCGTGTACCCGGCAATGTACCCGGCGGGGGTACTCCCAACCTCGTCCCCAGGGCTTTTCCCTTAAAAAATGGGTGGGGCGGGAAAACATACATTACCTATACGGGTATGTGCCGCCCAAAGGGGTCGTGATTTTGAAGCTCCTGGTTTAGAACGGGGTATCCATTTCAGACGCGGTTTCTAGAACGGGGTATAATATTTCGAACGCACGAAAGCTCTCCACTTTTGTAAGTAGCCATTTGAAAGCATTCAAGGACAGATTGCTTTTAAAATACGGTTCAGTGCGTTAAGAAGCAAACCGTTGTACTCTTGTTGCACCCTAGAACGGAGTATAAAAAATTGGCCCATTTCTAGAACGGGGTGTTAGTTTTAGGGCGAATTCTAGAAAGGGGTATAAAAAATTGGCCTATTTCTAGAACGGGGTATCAATTTTAGGGGAAATTTTTTCTAGAACGGGGTGCCAATTTGGAGTCCCGGGCGGCACATACCCACCCAAAAAATACCCAAGTGCCCCCCCCTCCCCCCCCCCCGGGGGCGTGTATTAGGATAAAGTTTGGAGGTACCAAGAGAGGGCAAACGTCTGATTCAAGTTAAGAATTTCTCAAAATAGAAAATGACGCGGTAAAAAAAGCTCAAAAAAATTGTTATGGATAAACAATTGCGTGAAACTATCAATTTATGCGTAGAAATTATGAAAAGTAAACGACAAGTAAAGAGGAAACTTGGTCACGTGGCCGGGATACACGGCAACTATCGCGAATCTTCAGATTGTTTTGAATACCCTAGCCTGTGTAGCAGGTGCTTGGAAGTAGTGGGCAAAAGAAAAAACGGGCGCGCGAGAAGGAGACACGCGATGGGAGAGGGAGCGTGTCTCCCTCAAGCGCGCCCGTTCTCCCTTTCGCCCACCACTTCCAAGCACCTGCTACGCAAGCTATAAATATCCGAAAAAATCCCTACTGCCCTACTTAAATCAAGCTACCAAAAAAATACTTGCCAAGTTTTCCTACCAAAAATAATCCTGAAAACGAAAACTTCAAACCCCAAAAATCCTTCGATCATCCCTGTCATTTGAAATCGGAGTACCCTTGGCACTTCTTTCATGTTCTTTGCAAGCCATTAAAATTCCCAAGTAACAATAGTATTTATTTTCGCAAAATATTCGCTTAACGAAAAAGCTTTCGACAAATCTCGAGATAAAACCTACTTTTCGAGACGCTTTAGATATTTGAAGCCTGCCGCTTTTTTTGTGTCAATTGCATCCTCTTCGACTGAGAGCTCGAAAAGGAATTTTCTGGGCTCGGACGTGGATTGTATTTTTGGTGGTAACGGTCGCCCATATGAGAGTTAATTTTAGCGTGATTTAAGATGCGTTTATCGCAGTTGAACTCTGTGGTACGACCACAGCCAGTGTGTCGATCATGTGCTCGGGCACTGAACGAGAATGGCGTTAAGAAAATTTCCCATCATTTCTTTTTTCTGTCAGTTGTTTCATCCACTGCTGCGATTGTATAAAAGCGCTCGTACGTTTGCGATACAGTATTCCTTTTGCCGACTTATCTACAATCTAAACTTTATAGTGTGTGCGTGATAGAAATGATAGAATTGGTTATGAATTTTACTGCATTTGGTGGCTCCTAAAAGAGCCGTTTGTTTTGGCGGTAAACCCACAAAGTGAGTTTACTTGCTGCTGGTGTACTTGGTCACAGCTTTGGTTCCTTCACTGACAGCGTGTTTTGCCAGTTCACCGGGAAGAAGTAGCCTGATGGCGGTCTGGATCTCGCGAGAACTGATGGTTGATTTCTTGTTGTAGTGGGCAAGACGGGAAGCTTCGGTGGCAATGCGCTCGAAGATGTCGTTGACAAACGAGTTCATGATGCCCATGGCTTTGCTGGAGATACCAGTGTCAGGATGAACTTGCTTCAGCACCTTGTAGATGTAGATAGCATAGCTTTCCTTTCTCTTTCCCCTCCTCTTTTTCTTTCCATCAGATGGAGCCTTAGCCTTTCCAGCTCTCTTCTCGCCTTTCTTTCCTGCAACTTTGGGTGCCATCTCTTTTGATAAGAATGGATGAGAATAGACCGCACTTGCTGAATATTGTATTTATAACAAAACCAGCAGGGGATCAATTAACATACGGATCGAAATCTTTGAGTTTTCATTGGTTTCTTTACCTCAAGGTCAACAAGCTTCCTGCATACATCATCATATTTCATAAACTACCTAAAATTGTTTAGTGTGATTGGTGCGTTTTGATCCTATTCAAATTTTGCCGCGCGTATAAATTTTAAGGCTTGCGAGTAATAGTTTATTCACTCGTACGTTTACGTGCTGATCAAAAGTTTTACAAGCCATGTCTGGTCGCGGTAAAGGAAAGGCAAAGGGCACCAAGTCCAAGAGCCGATCATCCCGAGCAGGGCTTCAGTTCCCTGTTGGTCGAATCCACCGTCTTCTTCGCAAAGGCAACTATGCTGAGCGTGTTGGCGCTGGTGCTCCAGTCTACTTGGCTGCAGTACTCGAGTATTTGAGCGCTGAGATCCTCGAGTTGGCGGGCAACGCTGCTCGTGACAACAAGAAGACCAGAATCATTCCCCGTCACCTTCAGCTTGCAGTCCGCAACGACGAAGAGTTGAACAAACTACTCGCCGGCGTCACCATCGCACAAGGAGGTGTTCTGCCCAACATCCAGGCTGTTCTTCTGCCCAAGAAGACCGAGAAGAAGCCAAAAGCTTAAACAGATCCTTCTTCCCACGTCAAAAACAAACGGCTCTTTTAGGAGCCACCAAATATGATAAAAGTCACGATCAAAAGAGTCACTTTATTATTAGTATCTTTACAGTAAGCCCTCTCATGGGTGTTGGAATCCTCTTCTACTCACTTACCTAACGCTTTTGCATCGACAAGAAATTGATAAAAATTACAAAGAAAAAAACGTAATATAAGAAAAACTTACGAATTAAGTATACTTTTAACAATCCTACCTTTAAGCACGAAGGTTGTGCATATTTTTATATCGCTGGCAGCAAACAAAGCACTATTGATGCGAAGATAAACTACAAGCAAGCCACCAGACATGACCGGACTCGGAAATGCGACTTTTAAAATTAAACAAAATACTGTGAGAGGGGTATAAAGTAAGTAAACGAGCTCTGGTCAGGTGAAAATCAGCTATAAATCTTATCTTAAATGTTTTTCAGAAGAATAATTTATTACAAATCCACATTAATGCATGCCTCCAAATGCTAATTTTAAAAAAATTAGTTCACCGTTAAAACCGCGCGAATATTTTCAGTCCATTCCTCAAACAAACAGCTTTCCAAAGTGTGATATGTCACTAGTAGCTCATTTATATCCCAGTGCTTATGATCTCAGAAACTAGATATCAATAGAGCTTAAGCCACAGTTAGCCATCACCACTGCAAAACCGATTTCTATGTATTCTTCTACAATAAGTAGAAATTTATCTATTAGTACGAGTAAACTTTATTGGCAATGACTTTTAAAGATGTGGTGGCTCCTAAAAGAGCCGTTGGTTTTATAGTACGTCTAGCGTGAAGATCTATCCACCAAATCCGTACAGAGTACGTCCCTGGCGTTTGAGTGCGTACACCACATCCATGGCGGTCACAGTCTTGCGCTTGGCGTGCTCGGTGTAGGTCACAGCATCACGGATCACATTCTCAAGGAAAACTTTGAGAACACCACGAGTCTCTTCGTAGATCAGGCCAGAGATTCGCTTGACACCGCCACGGCGAGCAAGACGACGGATAGCTGGCTTGGTGATGCCTTGGATGTTGTCACGAAGGATCTTTCGGTGACGTTTGGCGCCTCCTTTTCCTAAACCTTTGCCTCCTTTGCCTCGACCAGACATGTTGTTAGTTGCGTACAAGACTGACTAATAAAGTGGCAAACGAATCTCACAGCATTTATACCGCAAAGAAGGACCTCACTGAATACAAGCTAGAAGAGATAATAAGAGGTGGTTCTCTATTGGTTAGTTCGGACAAAAGAGCCACGAGGTCAAGGTAATTATTACCTTACTTTTGCTTCGTAAGAGATGTGCGAACAGGTTAAAAGAGAAAATAATAGTCGGTATCACTCAAAAACCAGCCATAAACTCTTTGACTGCTTTAAATAGGACACTTTCGAATTATTTAGGGCCAAAACTTTGCATTTACAATTTCCATTAATCCAAAATACTGGTAAGTATCTAAGGATCGAAACACAGCATTACAGATAAATGACAATACTTTGCTAGTAGTCTTGATTGTCCAATGAAATCGCATAGTTTTTGACCAATCGGAAAGAAGCCCGCTAAGTATAAATATATTGTGTTCACATTTAATGCACATCATATCCGTTAATTTTCGGTTAGAATTGAAGATGGCACGTACAAAGCAAACTGCTCGTAAATCAACTGGTGGAAAAGCTCCACGAAAACAGCTCGCCACAAAGGCAGCTCGTAAGAGCGCGCCCGCCACTGGTGGAGTCAAGAAACCTCATCGTTACAGGCCTGGTACAGTCGCTCTTCGTGAGATCCGTCGTTACCAGAAATCGACCGAGCTGCTCATTCGCAAGCTGCCCTTCCAGCGTCTTGTGCGAGAAATCGCTCAAGACTTCAAGACCGATCTGCGTTTCCAGAGTTCTGCTGTCATGGCTCTTCAAGAAGCTAGCGAGGCTTACCTCGTTGGTCTCTTTGAAGACACTAACTTGTGCGCCATCCATGCCAAGCGTGTCACCATCATGCCCAAGGACATTCAGTTGGCCCGCCGAATCCGCGGAGAGCGAGCATAAGCGATTTGCTTGCACCACAAAACAAACGGCTCTTTTAGGAGCCACCACATCAATAAAAGCAATAACCGACAGTAAAAGATTTTGTGCTCAACCATACTTCGTATCTCTTTAAGAACAACCACACACACGAGGCGAGAATTCACATTGACTAGAGCTCTTTTCATTAATCTTCACATTCATGTGTTCTTGGTATTTAGTCACAAATTCAAAACGATACAGGAACTTCAGGCCTGAGACTGTCGGTCAAAGAAAAGGCTACACAGCGAAAGAGAGAACTCGTAACTGTACAACAACAACTTTTATTTTTATTTTCAAAGCTAATACAGGCTATAAGGCCGGAGAGTGAAATGGTGACCGGTCCGGTTTCGCTAACGTGTTAGGCTAAACGAAACCTAGTGTTTCTTATTTCAAACTAAAAACCCCCAAACATCACAGTAGATTACTCGAAATCCAGAGGAGAAAGAGTTCAGTAATCGGAGGTATTACATAAAAATTCGTGCATGACGTTAATTTTCTTAAGAAAGGGTCTTCCTTCTGCTGGCTTATTTCTGCCAAAGAGAAAATTTTGTTCAGCGCGAAACGACTTACGGACGTAAGCGAAACGAACGTAATCCACTCGGAGTCGTAAACAGATTTTTCCATTACACAAAGCTTTTCATTCTATTCCCTGAAGTGGGCACAACAACGAAAGAGAGAGAGAGAGATTTTCTTCACTCTTTGGGAGAAAACTTTGAAGCTAAGAGTTCAAGTTTTAAAGGACTGTAACACTGAGATTATATTAGCGCAGTGAGCATCCACTGACTTCGTGAAATACATTTGGCGCAATATCAGTTTCCAAATCACGCGCGCTCGACGCAACCTTTAATACCGGTCCTTAAATTCACGGGAGGAAAAACAGAAGAATCTTTAAAAACAGAATATTAAAGACACAATTTTGCATTAAAAGATTCAGCAAAGACTAAGGTAGAAGTTAAAGGATTTACAAGCCATCGGCATAAAAGAGCATTGACTTGGTGGGAGTACATTTTGGCGGAAAATGTATGCAAATTTCTACTGTCATTACTCGCGACGCCGCGCACTCTATCAAGTTACAAAGGTACTCGACAGAAAGAAAAAAAAAATTATAAGACAAAACTGTAAAAGACGCAAATTAGATTAAAAGTCAGGGAAAACTGTTGTATCACTAAACTGTATAAGCGACGTCGAAATTTGAGGAGATACATTTGGCGCAAAGTTTATGCAAATCACACTCCTATGACTTACTATGCTCGACACAACTTTTTCAGTTTACTTTTGATTTTTGCTTTGAGGTGTATAAAAAGACATTTTCATTTAGCTGATTTAATATCGCATAAGAAAGTAAGAAACACACGCCGATAAAACCCTTAACGGGCTGTTTACACCCAGGTCGAAGAGCGTTTGTGAAAATTTGGAAAATTGAGTTGGTGGGTGACATTTCGAAAGCTTTGGAAAGTTATCTCCGGCTCCTGTTAATGACAATGCCTTATTTGCCAGAAAATCACAAGTTCATATTTACCATCTTACTAGGAAAGGAAAAGAAAATGAGCTGTTCTTCATTTGGAACTGATTAAGTGACCGTTTCAGTTGATGTCATGATCTGCAGAGTACGGTCATCTCGATCTTGCCGTTAGAGTCCAAGGAGTTTGTCCTTGTTGTCTTGACAAAAGAGAATTTAAACCATACTAAATGAAGCAAATTGTAGAACTTAAGGACATATGGTTGAAGTACATGAGTTATATCATCTTCTAAATGTCTCTAAAGAGAAAGGAAGTAGCGAGTGCAAAAGATAAAGGACTTAAAAGATCAAATAGCTACAAGATTCTCTGGAGTTAAAGAATAAAAAGCTATACATCTCTTCCTTTAAATGCCTCAATTCGCAAATACTTCTGGCGATCAATTTTTTTGTAAATTGTATTTTAGTTTTTAAACTTTAAAATGAATAAAATACGGTGTTACATCACTTTATTCGACCACATTTTTGATTAACTAGCACAGAAGCATCGTTCGCCATGTTCGATCTCTGTCTTCTCAGTGGTCCGCATAGAACTCATATACATCACTGTGCGACCTTCGACTCTTCACTTCTTACGTTTCCGTGGGTATCGTACGAACTTCTTCGTTATGTCTGAAGCAAAGTCACCAGCTAAAAAGAAGCCAGCTGCGCCTAAAAAGCCAGCTGAGCATCCACCATACCTTGACATGATCAAGGCTGCCATTGTCGCTCTAAAAGAGAGAAATGGTTCTTCTCGCCAAGCCATCGAGAAGTACATCAAAGCCAACTACAAGGTTGGTGAGGTCGGCTCACACTTGAAGATGGCTCTCAAGAGAGGTGCTGCCAGTGGAAAGTTGTTACACACCAAAGGTGTTGGCGCATCTGGCTCCTTCAAGGTCGCCAAGGAGGAAAAGAAGGAGAAGAAACCAGCGAAGCCAAAGAAGCCCGCCGCCAAGAAGGTAGCAAAGAAACCAGCGGCTAAAAAACCGACAGCAAAGAAAGCAGCGGCTAAAAAGAAGCCAGCGAAGAAGACACCAAGTAAAAAACCCAAGAAATCCGCAGCGAAAAAGCCGGCAGCAAAGAAACCAGCGGCCAAGAAACCTGCGAAGAAGACACCCGCAAAGAAACCTGCCGCCAAAAAGTCCGCCAAGAAATCTGCCGCCAAAAAATCTCCAGCTAAGAAGAAGTAAAGCGCGACACTTCTTTTCAAACAAACGGCTCTTTTAGGAGCCACCACATTAGAAAAAGCAATAACCAATTATTTAATACTACCATGACTATGTGTCATCAACTATTAGTAATCGCGCGCAAAGCATTTGTTTCATAAGCCAGCCAGGCAATCTCTCAGGTTAACTCCTAACTGCGGTTCCTGCTGGAGCTCACAATATTTTCACTGGATTTTTATAATATCAGACCTATTTAAGGTTCCCCTTTTCACTAAGACCTGTTCTCACTTTTACAGAGATCATCGTGCGCGCGTGTGAAGATAAAACCGCGGGGAATCTTTTGACCTCTACTAAGCTTTTTGAGAAAAATCCACTTTTCAGCATAAAACAACCAAACCTGACCATTCAATGTAAAATCAGGTGAAAAGCGTGACGACCCTAAAAACGGCTGCGAAGGAGACTAGGGGGTGGCGTGGGCGCTGGCAAAATTCTCGGAAAAGGGCAAACTCTGCTTAAGATAAAAACAAAACGACAAACGGGGAGCTCGAGATGACGAGCATTGCTGCCAATTTACATCGGAGTTCTCCGGCCGCGCGGAGCGTGGACCTGAAAGGGGCTATGTCGCCCTATTTGCTACTGTTTTTTTTTTAAAACGGTAAAACTTGTTTTCGCATCAATTGAATCCAAAAATAATTGTCCAGTTTTGCTTTTGAAGACTATTTTTAAGCATTGAAACTTTTTCCTCTGGTCTGTTGAAAGCCATGGCAAGTATGGAAATGGATTGAAACTTAAAAAAGTGGGTGTACTTTTTCAAGTTTTATTTCCTGCAGGTTGTCAGATCTCAAGCAAACAGATCTAATCAGCTAAAAATATTGAGAACAAATAAACGAGAAGTCCAAAGACTACTGCGAAGCTGATAACAAAGTGTATTGAAAACTTTTTCAAAAGGTATTTCGGCTAGCCAGACCAGCCTTCTTCAGGTTTACAGACTGTGGATGTTACTAAATTTTTAATAGGAATTACAAAATTATATTGTAATTAAATATAGACTGATAGAGAATGTCATAATTATACAAATTTAATGTTGTGCAAAAATTGAAAATATATCTTTTGATCATTGCTTCCTGATGAAATTTGTTCGATGTCTTCTTGATATCTTTTTTAAACTGAACATCTTGTGTCTGGGTAAAACTACCAAATAAAATAAAAGGCAGTCCGTGACTGCATGTGGCTACAAAAAAAAACACAAAGTAACTGACTGTAAAACAGAGTTGGCCGAAAACAGCAATATGCCTATAACATAGCCTCTTGTAGACTTTCTCAATGTCCTTCACTTCTCATTTCTGGTTCTCTTTAACAGGCCCTGGTGCTCTTTTGCTTTCTTTTGGCACAGAAAAGAGAAAAATAATCTCCCTCTACGCTATGTGCTAGAGAAAAATAGTGGGCAAGTGTAAGCCTCTTGAACCAGCTGGACAAATAATAAACAACTTACTTACTTATTAAACAACTTACTCTGAAATGTCAAAAGAAAAATCTGCCACTCATCAAGCTTTAACTCATGAACCCCCTATTAGTTTCATTGGCTAATTTCATTCATGTAATTTGGGATTTGACAGAAAAGAAGAGAGATTTGGGACACGGGACTGGGCGGTTCAGTAAATGTTGTTTCAAAGAAGCATTGTAAAATTATTATGATGATAATAACTGTGGGATAAAGCAAAAAGTTTGATTGCAGAGACCGGATTGAAGAACTATTTGGGAACCTCAAAGAAAATGTTGTAGTTAATTTTTTATCTCAGGTAATTTTTGTTTTTCTTTTGTTTTTGGGTTTGGAAATCTATGCTAATGAAGTTGAAACAAAGGAAAAGTAGAAATTGTCTGAGATAAAAAACTAACTACAACATAAACGTAGTGGAGCCAGGAGCCCATGACCCAAGCAAGCATGCAACTTCCGTTTGGCACAAAGTTAGAATATTACAGTCACTAGCTCCCCCGCTTTATGGACACCCACTTATTAAGGACACCTCCTTATTATGGACAGTTTTCTTTGTCCCTGGGGAAAGTCCATACATTGTCTTTAAGTTCAACCCATTTAATACAGACACCTGTTAATAAGGACAACAGACACTTGTTTCTTGCCCAATGGACAGATTCTCAAACATACTCATAGACATAGCAAAGCTTCCATTTTTGCAAGAAAAACTGTTCTAAAATGTATCTAACAATAAACTGGTTCATTAAGACCGGGTGACGTGGCATGATAGTATGGGATTTCGGGGTGCAAAGAAAGTTAGTTTTATGGCTTGCCCGTCAGTGATGGGCTCAGACGATTTTTTTTTTGGCGCCAGAAAAAATCGCCTGATTGCCAAAAAAAAAACAAATCGCCTGATCGCAGGTTAGCTATATCTAACATGTACTAGCCCAAGAGTCATTTTAACCAGCCCAAAAAACTTTTGATGAGCAACAGTTCTTCTGATACAGTGGCGGATCTAGGGGAGAGCCCCAGGGGGCCTGCCCCCACCCTCCTTATTTTTAGATCAAACTGAAGCCCGAAGGGCCGAAAAAAAAATTTTTGAGACCGCTCCCCGCCCCCTTCCCCTTATCTGAAGGTCTGGATCTACCACTGTGAGAGGCAAGTTTACAACATGCTTCACTAGGCCAATAGCAAAATCCACTAGCCCTGGGCTTGTCAGACATGAGTTTCTTTGCACGCTGGAGTTGATCACTCAGCATTTATTGGGCTAGTTAGCTGGCTTACCATGCAATCCTGGACAAGGTATCTTCATGACTTGTAAACTAACAGCGTTCTCTGCTCTTCATCCTTCTCATATTTTAAAAATTGCAAGATACTGTTAATTAAAGAAATAAATAATGACTTTCTGATTTGAGGGACTATTCATTAATAGAGTAGGGCTATGTCATAATGAGTTATGAAACTTAGCTATCTTTATCAAAAAGCCGATGGGGCAATCTGGGGCAATCCATACCAGGAACTTCTTTCGAGCATGTCTTTGCACTATAATGTGCAACGACGATTTGCAATTGATACAACTACGAGGCCCACTCACCATGATTAAAGCTTTGAAGACTGTCCAAAATCCAGAATCTTAACGTGGCGGGACTGAAGAAAAAAGCTACGTTACCAAAAATGGCCGTCACTAGTCCTGTTCTTGAGAACGAGGTTGGTCAGGCTGATTTTAATTTTAAAACACAGGCATCCCAGACTCTCCGGGAGTTGCAGAATGCATAGAAAGGAAACAATCCGAAAATTCATTATTCTCCCTTCCTTATTGAAAGTACAACTCAAAATCTGTCGCAGTGAAAGTGATATGAATATAGGATGGACATGATTGAACGCTACTAGTAAAATAGATACAACTCAAGGAGACTAAAAAGCACAGTAAAAAACACAACACAACACATCGAGGGTTATCGAGTCCTCTAAAAAGGAGGACGAACTACTAGCCTTCCCTTTCAAGACCTTTCAAACGCCTGCCCAGCCTGCCACGCACAACCACCATAAATTTTGACGGCGTCAGGTGATGATGAAGATATTCTAAATTGGCGCCAAAAGTCGTTCTTAAAATAAACTGGCCCCAGTTGTTCTAGCCTGTAAACAGACGTTGTTTTATTTTTCTTTTCGTTCTTTTCAAAAAATCCCCTGCGGTTTATATTTTATCACCCGCCCTCGACGGACTTTGAAGAGAATAGAGAGTCTGTGAACAGGCTACAGTTGTTCATAAAAACACTATTGACATAAAAAGCGGAGCAAAAAGGCTCCTGTTGATAGCGCTATCCACACAAAGGGATGGATTCGCAATCAGGTGTCTGTGCGAACAGGCCATCTCCGAGTTCCAAAAACTATCACTTTCAAACCTGGACAAAATTTTAAAGATTTTAAAGGAAACCTTGATTACCATAAACTTCCGATTATTAAGTCCCCCCCTCAACATAATAGGACCATCTGCCCGTAAACAAAAAAAGACGTCCTGTTTTAAGCCCCCTCCCCGCCCCCGCCTCTAGCATGCATTGAAATAAATTCAACTTTTTACAACGTTTTGAAGCTTTAAAAGCGATCAAATAAAAGTATTTTGATCAGCACTATTATGTAGCTTGTTTTGAAACACTTTTTTTAGTCCGGTTGTAGGTAACCTCCCACGCAGGTGTTTTTAGGGGAGCTCGTCTTTCATCCCTCCCCAAAAAGTGGGGAGGGACGAAATATGGAGCTCCCCTAAAAACACCTGCTTGGGAGGCTAGGTTGTAGGAGAAGTTTTCTAGAAGAGGGAAAACAGGAGCACCCAGGGGAAAACTCCTTGAAGAAAGGACGGGAAACAACAAGAAACTCAATTCATAAGTAATTTTTTTTTTGGCTGATATTTTGGTTTACATCCCTTGATATAAAACTTTTGACCAAAAGGGTAGTCCTTTCGTATACCTTTCATAAGCAAATATAATCCCTCTCAAATAGACACCCACGCTCTAATAAGCATCCACCCCAAGGTTCATCATATCAAATGGAATAAGCGCTCCCCTCCCCTCCCCCTCACTTTCTTAAAAAGTAGGGCTACAAGGAAAACCTGTTTCTAAAGTGAAAGACTGTAGTACGCTTGATTATCAAGCACTTTTTTAACAAACGAAAGACATTGATATTGAATTTATGTTTACACGGCTGATGTTATATTTAAGATTTTAACCACAATAAAGTTGCACTTGGTTTATAAGGGGAAATTTAATAAGTGTTCCCCTCGATAAAGCGCCCTCCTTCCAGTAAGTGCTTGTCCTTTTAGCCGCAATTTTAAATAAGCTCCCGGGCGCTTATTCGAGGAAATATGGTAGACTGCTTGCTTTAAAAGATGTATATAGAGGTATTTTTTAAAGGGAATTTATTGGGTGCAATTTATGGATAGTGTATCATATTAGACTCCGAGTCACATAGTACATAGAGCGAACGTAGTGATCAGAAGCCCCGGGGGGGGGGAGACTCCCATATGAAAAGGGCGGGGATGCTCGTCTGAAATTTTGAATTAAACCCCTAAAGGAGATCAACTGGGGATGACCCAACCTTTTGTGACCCCTAAAAAAACTTTGATTACATAAATCGAGTAAATAAAACGAATTGAAAATATAATTTTTTTTATATTTCTTGGCTTGCAACCCTGAAAAAGACCTTTGCGGCAAAATATAATGGCGTTTTGCCTAGAACACCCTAAGTGACACCAAAGGCCGAAATTTACACCCCGACGAGACGACGAGCATCCCGCTTCTTTCACATGGGAGTGCCCCCCCCCCCCCCCAACCAGGGATCAGAACATGGGTCAACTAGTTGCTTTCAAGAGGTGTAAATAATAACAACAGAAAACAGGAGCCCATCAAATGGAGCCTCCATCTCCATTCATTTGATGAGCTCCTGCACAACGGCCGCCACCTCAAAAGGTGGTTGTGATCGCTAAAGATAGGTCTTCATATGAGGATTTGAGTGGGAAAATTTTGTGCGTTTTGGATGGGTTGTCGCTTATAGATCTAGATTAGCCTGCGGTGCAGGCGTTTTCTTTGAGCGCGCTATTTGCTCGCGAAAGCGCCATGTTAAAAATTCCCGAATAGAGGAGGAGATGGGGTGAGTCAAAGGGAGTGGGCCCCTCCCCGCTTTCCTTCTTTCGCCCTCGCACCGACCGTAAGGGTCACTGCACTATAGCCTGCGAAAACATCCGTTTCTCCTCTCTCTTCGCCGCCGGGGACGTTTCGCGAGGAGGAACGCGCGAAACGTTCCCATCAGCGAAGAGCGAGGAGAAACGGATGTTTTCGCAGGCTAGGGTCACTATTTCTACTCTCCCCAACCTTCCACTGTCATTTCAAAGATGGTAGCTACAACAATATTACGAACACGAACAAGGTTTCGCCCACCCAAAATACGCCTGCACTGCAGGCTAGATCTAGGTAAGGCCGCACACGGAGGTTTGACCCGTGCTTTAAATTGTTTATATTTAGCCCGCGATCATGCAAGCAGAGGTTTCTCTTGTTCGCGTGGCCTGACTGTCTGAGGCAGTGTACTGAATTGCGCACGCTCGCGCAAACTTTTTGAACTCTGGAAGTGGCTAGAGCGCGAAATCTCTACACCATTTTTTTTTAACAAGTTTCTTCGAAATGTAGAGTTGGTTATTGCTTTTTTTCATGTGGTGGCTCCTAAAAGAGCCGTTTGTTTGTAAAGAAGTGTCGCGCTTTACTTCTTCTTTGCTGGAGATTTTTTGGTGGCAGATTTCTTAGCGGACTTTTTGGCGGCAGGTTTCTTTGTGGGTGTCTTCTTCGCAGATTTCTTGGCCGCTGGTTTCTTTGCTGCCGGCTTTTTCGCTGCGGATTTCTTGGGTTTTTTACTTGGTGTCTTCTTCGCTGGCTTCTTTTTAGCCGCTGCTTTCTTTGCTGTCGGTTTTTTAGCCGCTGGTTTCTTTGCTACCTTCTTGGCGGCGGGCTTCTTTGGCTTCGCTGGTTTCTTCTCCTTCTTTTCCTCCTTGGCGACCTTGAAGGAGCCAGATGCGCCAACACCTTTGGTGTGTAACAACTTTCCACTCGCGGCACCTCTCTTGAGAGCCATCTTCAAGTGTGGGCCGACCTCACCAACCTTGTAGTTGGCTTTGATGTACTTCTCGATGGCTTGACGAGAAGAACCATTTCGCTCTTTTAGAGCGACAATGGCAGCCTTGATCATATCAAGGTATGGTGGATGCTCAGCTGGCTTTTTAGGCGCAGCTGGCTTCTTTTTAGCTGGTGACTTTGCTTGAGACATAACGAAGAAGTTTGTACGATACCTTCGGAAACGAAAGAACTGAAGAGTCGAAGGTCGCACTGTGATGTATATGAGTTCTTTGCGGACCACTGAGGACACAGACATCGAACATGGCGCACCATGCTTTTGTGCTAGTTTACTGAAGATGTCGTCGAATAAAGTGATGTAACACAGTAGGTTATTCCTTCTAAAGTTTAAAAACCGAGCGTCAATTTATCAAAAAATTGATTGGCAATAGTATTTGCGAATTGAGGCATTTGAAGGTAGAGATAAATAGCTTTTTATTCTTTAACTCCAGAAAATCTAATAGGTATTTGATCTTTTAAGTCCTTTATCTTTTGCAATCGCGACTTTCATTCTCTTTAAATTCATTTAGGAGATGATATAACTCCTGTACTTCAACCATATGTCATTACTTTGCAAAATTTGCTTCATTTAGTATGGTTTAAATTCTCTTTTGTCAAGACAACAAGGACAAACTCCTTGGCCTCCATTTCGAAGATCGAGACGACCGTACTCAGATGAACATCAAACAAACGGTCACTCTGCTTTTATGATTGCCATCAGTTCCGAATGAAGAACGGCACATTTTCTTTTCCGTTTTTTAGAGGATGTTAAATTTAAATTAGCTTTTGAGACAGTGGATTCAACAGTGGCTGAGTGAAACTTTCCAAAGCTGTCAGAGCTTCTTGAATGTCGCCCACCAACTTATTTCTCACAAACGCTCTTCGACCTGAAGGGTTTTCTTTGGTTATGTTTCTTTACTGCCTTTTCTTATGCGATGCTAAATCAGCTAAATGAAAATCTCTTTTAATACACCTCAAAGCAAAAATCAAAAGTTAACTGAAATAGTTTTGTTGAGCAAGAATCACCAGTGAGCGGTGTGTGATTTGCATAAACTCTGCGCTGTTATGTAGATAATAGAAACTGATAATGTACCTCCATAAATTTTAACTGCACTTAAAAATTATTTCAGCTTATATAACAGCTTTCCGTAACCTTTGCTTTCCATAACCTTTTATCCAAATTAAAATTTGTGTCTTTTACAACGTTGTTATATATATATGTATATATTTTTTCTTTCTGTCATGATTTTAATTGCTGAATTTGCATACATTTCGAGCCAAATGTCACTTCCCAGGAAGTCAATGTCCTTTTATACCGATAAAAGCCTTAAACTTCTACCTAAGTTTTTTTTCTAACTCTTTTCCCGTAAGTGTCTTTAATATCCTGGTCGAAGAGATTCTTTTCTTTTTTCTCTCATGACTGTCCTATTAGACCCTTAACTTCTCATTGTTCTCAGTTTAACTTGAACCCTTTAATAACTTTAAAGTTTCCTATTAAAAACTCAAAGATTTTTTTCGATTTAAGTGTAAAGAAAATTCAACACTCTTTCGTTGTGGTGGCCACTTTGTGGAATTATATATTAGAAAAATGAGGGGAAGCTTTGCGTAATAGCAAAAAAAAATACTGTTTCCTCGTGTGTGCTGTTAATGTTACGTAAAGAAATATGAAGCATGGTTGAGCACAAAATGTGTTGCTTTTGGTCATTGCTTTTATTGATGTGGTGGCTCCTAAAAGAGCCGTTTGTTTTGTAGTGCAAGGAATTTACTTATGCTCGCTCTCCGCGGATTCGGCGGGCCAACTGAATGTCCTTAGGCATGATGGTGACTCGCTTGGCATGGATGGCGCACAAGTTGGTGTCCTCAAAGAGACCAACGAGGTAAGCCTCGCTAGCTTCTTGAAGAGCCATGACAGCAGAGCTCTGGAAACGCAGATCGGTCTTGAAGTCTTGAGCGATTTCTCGCACAAGACGCTGGAAGGGCAGCTTGCGAATGAGCAGCTCGGTCGATTTCTGGTAACGACGGATCTCACGAAGAGCGACTGTACCAGGCCTGTAACGATGAGGTTTCTTGACTCCACCAGTGGCGGGCGCGCTCTTACGAGCTGCCTTTGTGGCGAGCTGTTTTCGTGGAGCTTTTCCACCAGTTGATTTACGTGCAGTTTGCTTTGTACGTGCCATCTTCAATACTAACCGAAAATTAACGGATATGATGTGCAATAAATGTGAACACAATATATTTATACTTAGCGGACTTCTTTCCGATTGGTCAAAAACTATGCGATTTCATTGGACAATCAAGACTATTAGCAAAGTATTGTCATTTATCTGTAATGCTGTGTTTCGATCCTTAGATACTCACCAGTATTTTGGATTAATGGAAATTGTAAATGCAAAGTTTTCGCCCTAAATAATTAGAAAGTATCATAGTAAAAGCAGTCAAAGAGTTTATGGCTGGTTTTTGACTGATACCGACTATTATTTTCTCTTTTAACCTGTTCGCAAATCTCTTACGAAGCAAAAGTAAGGTAATAATTACCTTGACCTCGTGGCTCTTTTGTCCGAACTAACTAATAGAGACCCTCCTCTTATTATCTCTTGTGTCTTGTTTTCAGTGAGGTCCTTCTTTGCGGTATAAATGCCGTGAGATTCGTTTGCCACTTTATTGGTCAATCTTCTACGCAGCTAACAACATGTCTGGTCGAGGTAAAGGAGGCAAAGGCCTAGGAAAAGGAGGCGCCAAGCGTCACCGAAAGATTCTTCGTGACAACATCCAAGGCATCACCAAGCCAGCTATCCGTCGTCTTGCTCGCCGTGGCGGTGTTAAGCGAATCTCTGGCCTGATCTACGAAGAGACTCGTGGTGTTCTCAAAGTTTTCCTTGAGAATGTGATCCGTGATGCTGTGACCTACACCGAACACGCCAAGCGCAAGACTGTGACCGCCATGGATGTGGTGTACGCACTCAAACGCCAGGGACGTACTCTGTACGGATTTGGCGGTTAAATCTTCACGCTGCACTCCCAAACCAACGGCTCTTTTAGGAGCCACCACATCTTTAAAAGTCATTGCCAATAAATTTTACTCGTACTAGTATTTAATGGTGTCACTATGAATTACCCTAGTACCTGAGAGTATAAATCGCATTGCACTCGGATAAAAATATGCTAACATATCAGAATGTATAAATTTGGAAAGCTGTTTGTTTGAGAAATATAGTAAAAGTATTCGCGCGATTTTAACGGTGAACTAATTTTTTTAAAATTTGCATTTGGAGGCCATTGATGAGGATTTGTTATAACTTATTATCACAATAACATTAATTACTGATTTTCACCTGACTAGAGCTCGTCCACTCTCCTTATACCCTTCTCACAGTATTTGTATAGGTAATAGCATGATTAGTAGTGATATTTGGCATAAATACCACGAGTGATATTTCAAAATTGTTATACGTAATTTCACTAGCCGTTAGGCGAGTGAAATTTGAGACAATTTTGAAATATCACGGGTGGTATTTATGCCAAATATCACGTACAAATCATGCTATTATTTGTTTATACTACTACCCGCAAAAGGTTTGTAATTTTCACATGTAGGTATTTCAAATTAAGTTGAAATACCACTGCTCTAAACCAATCAAATTACAGAAATTTCTCATGTAGTAGTATTAATAATGTTTTACATTTTAAAAAGTCGCGTTTCGATACTAGTCATGTCTGGTGGCTTGCTTGCAGTTTTAATTAGCTTATGAGTGTTTATCTTCGCACCTTGTTTGCCGCCAGCGATATAAAGATAGGATTGTTAAAAAAATACTTAATTCCTAAATTCATCTTATATTACTTTTTTTTCTTTGTAATTTTTACGAATATGTTTTCGACGCGAAAGCGTTAGGGAAGTGAGTAGAAGAGGATTCCAACACCCATGATACGGCCTACTGTACTGATACTAATAATAAAGTGACTCTGTTGATCATGACTTTTATGAAATCTGGTGGCTCCTAAAAGAGCCGTTTGTTTTTGACGTGGGAAGGATCTGTTTAAGCTTTTGGCTTCTTCTCGGTCTTCTTGGGCAGAAGAACAGCCTGGATGTTGGGCAGAACACCTCCTTGTGCGATGGTGACCCCGGCGAGCAGTTTGTTCAACTCTTCGTCGTTGCGGACTGCAAGCTGAAGGTGACGGGGAATGATTCTGGTCTTCTTGTTGTCACGAGCAGCGTTGCCCGCCAACTCGAGGATCTCAGCGCTCAAATACTCGAGTACTGCAGCCAAGTAGACTGGAGCACCAGCGCCAACACGCTCAGCATAGTTGCCTTTGCGAAGAAGACGGTGGATTCGACCAACAGGGAACTGAAGCCCTGCTCGGGATGATCGGCTCTTGGACTTGGTGCCCTTTGCCTTTCCTTTACCGCGACCTGACATGGTTGTAAAACTTATGTTTAGCACGAGAACGTACGAGTGAATAAACTGTTACTCGCAAGCCTTAAAATTTATACGCGCGGCAAAATTTGAATAGGATCGAAACGCACCAATCACACTAAACAATTTTAAGTAGTTTATGAAATATGATGATGTATGCAGGAAGCTTGTTGACCTTGAGGTAAAGAAACCAATGAAAACTCAAAGATTTCGATCCGTATGTTAATTGATCCCCTGCTGGTTTTGTTATAAATACAATATTCTGTAAGTGTACACCATTCACTTCCATTCTTATCAAGAGAGATGGCACCTAAAGTTGCAGGAAAGAAAGGCGAGAAAAGAGCTGGAAAGGCTAAGGCTCCATCTGATGGAAAGAAGAAGAGGAGGGGAAAGAGAAAGGAAAGCTATGCCATCTACATCTACAAGGTGTTGAAGCAAGTTCATCCTGACACTGGTATCTCCAGCAAAGCCATGGGCATCATGAACTCGTTTGTCAACGACATCTTCGAGCGCATTGCCACCGAAGCTTCCCGCCTTGCCCACTACAACAAGAAATCAACCATCAGTTCTCGCGAGATCCAGACCGCCATCCGGCTGCTTTTGCCCGGTGAACTGGCCAAACACGCTGTCAGTGAAGGAACCAAAGCTGTGACTAAGTACACCAGCAGCAAGTAAACTCACTTTGTGGGTTTACGGCCAAAACCAAACGGCTCTTTTAGGAGCCACCAAATGTTTAAAAGTCACGACCAATTTCAGTAACATTTATTTGTCCCATATTTTCAACCTTTTTAACGAGCATTTTTTGCCACCGGAAAGAAACCGCTGTTTCCCATAATTTTGTTTTTTTTGTTTACTTGCTACGCAGACTGGAGCCACACGCAGAACCACAAGTGAACGATCTCTTCTTGTAGGCGATCGAGCGCGACCCGTTAATTCTGGGAGCGGTGAGCTCTTTATTACAGGGTTAGATTACAGAATACCCTTCCACTTTGAAGCTGTATCCCTGAAACAGCTGAATACGCAGTAATCCCTTTTATGCGTTTTTCTACCTTCAGTGGCTTTAAGAACGACACATAGACGTATTGTATGTTTTTTGTACGGTGTTAAGTGCGAAGTAGATACGCGAATACAGTGAAACCTGTATTAAGCGGACACCCTCGGGGAATGCTGTAGTGTCCGCTTAATAAAGGGTGTCCGCCTAATACAGGTTTCGATAGATAACATCATATGAGATGTCAAATGCTATTCAAATGAATAGTGGATTGTTAAGAATACTCCTAGAGACTCTGACGATATACGTTTGCATTAATTTCTTTATCGAACTGGACCAATTGATCATAGTACCATAAACATAGATTAAAACTCAAATATGAAGAAATCAGATGAGTGAAACAAGATCTATACAAACAAAACGAAATAGAAAACAATACTGTACTGTGAAACTAACCAAATAAGTTCGTCAAGTCACGTTTTTTAATGTAAAAATCGAATAAGTTGTGGGTGGCAGTTCGAGGTACTCTTTCGCATTTTCGGTGTCTGGCGTGTTGGATGGTGGAATTTGATTACAAGTGTCCGTTTAATACAGGTTAGTAACAATAGAAATGACTATTTTAGGTACGTTTTAGGTGTCCGCGTCCGCCTAATAGAGGTGTCCGCTTAATAAAGAGAATAAGGAAAATAAATTTTGGGACTTCGGCCACTGTCCGCTTAATAGAGGGTGTCCGCTTAATACGGTGTCCGCTTAATACAGGTTTCACTGTACGCAGTGACTGTTAAGTCAAAGATATTCACTAAGTGGATACGTAGTGACATTAAGTGGATTCGTAGTGACTGACTGATCCACGTATCCACCTATTTTTAGGGGTTACAGTAAGTAAGTAATTTGTTTTACACGAAAACGCCTAAAGAGTTAACAAAAACTCATTCGAACGTGCACGTGTAGAAAAAAATTATAAAAACCTAAGTAAAATAAAAAACCATATATCATTCAGGAGCCAATATGGACTACTGCATATATAGTAAAATTCCGAAAATAATCCCCTGGAATTGTATTGTTCAAAGACCCTTTTTTAGGGGCTTATTTTTGGAGGGGAGTATATTCGGAAGGGCTTATCTACGGAGGGAAATTTGCCGGGAATTGTATTTTTCAAAGACCCTTTTTAGGGGCTTATTTTTGGAGGGCAGTATATTCGGAAGGGCTTATCTACGGAGGGAAATTTGCCTTTCAAAATCGATTGGGCTAGACTTATAGTTGGAAGTAAATTTACCGTTTTTGCTTTGTTTTCCTTAGTATTTGAGGGCACTTTTCCAAGTATAGGCCCCTGGGGGCTTATATTTGGAGGGGCGATTTAACGGAGGATTTTTTGCGTTACCGGTTTGGGCAGGAGCCCATCAAATTTGATGGACTCCTGGTTTGGGGGACTTATATTTGGAGGAGCTTATTTTCGGAATTTTACGGTATTACATAAAAACATGTCATTAAAAAAATCGTTAAAGAAGAGATTTGACATGAACATTCAGGAAAAGGTCACAAAACGAAGAAAATAGTAGCCTGCGTAGCAGGCGCTTGGAAGTAGTGGGCGAAAGAGAGAACGGGTGAGCGCGATGGAGACACCCTCTCCCCTCGCGCGTCTCCTTCTCGCGCGCCCGTTTTTTCTTGTGCCCACTACTTCCAAGCGCCTGCTGCGCAAGCTAAGAAAATAGAGTAGCCTGTTCCATCCAGGCTCCAAGATGGTCGAGTCCGCTGAATTGAGAAAGCCCAAACATGAAAAAAAAAAAAAAAAAAAAAAAAAAAAAAACGGAAGGAAACTGGGTAAAATTCCTTTTTCATGCTCCGCCAACTTTTAACGTGTCTTTGACTTTCGTGTTGTCTCCACTATCTGACAGCCTGGAACAGGCTAAAATAGATTAGAGAATGTAATAATGATTTTAAAAATAACCTAGCAACTCATGTAAGACAAAAACTAGTATTAAGGTTATCGGAGTTTCTAATTTATAGCGGTAGATTATTCCACAGCCTGCCAGCTGTATGAAGAGGATTTATGCATCCACTCAGTGGTAAAATGAAGCTATACCAAGTTACTTCCCTTTATAACATACATCCCTCAGAGCTTGAGACTTATTTGTAGTGTTATTAATTGAGAGAAAATTTTGTTCGAACCATGTAGACAACGTGGACAAGTTCAATTATTGACCATAAACTGTAGGACCTTGTAGAGTTAAAGACAAAGCATCAGCGTTTATATATCCGGTGGTGTCATCGGTATATAGTCTTAGTGCCATGTTCGGGACACTGTAGTTCACATCGTTTTTGTATATGTTAAATAATAATGGACCAAGCAGACATCCCTGGGGAACACCTGCTCTGAAACACTTCCATTCAGAACAAATACCGTCAATCTTTACTCCTCTGGCGAAGTTCCTTAAAATTGGTAGCAGTAGTTGAAAAACCGTAGGCTTTTAGTTTAGTCAACAAGAGGTTGTGATTGACACTATCAAATACTTTACTGAGATCAGGGGCACCCAACGAGGATATAGTTCAAAACCACTTAACATAGCATTGTTGAACGTATTTTAGTATTCAAACGGTAGATATAGGCATATTTTTATCCCCTAAAAACTTTTCATCTGTTCGGATTTCCTAGCTGAAAGTCTAGTGATCCGAAAATTATAGGGATAAAAACTTACCTTCTCGAAAATTTCAGCCAGGAAAAGGCTCCCGAATCTTCTAGGTGGCCTTTTTTAGGGTCAAAATCCGTTAAAAATGGGTAATTATACCACTTTGTAGATGTTCGAAAATCCGAGGAGAAGCAGGCAAGCAAGAAATTTTACAACAAATGTTCCGAAAATTCTAGATCTCAAATCGTCTTCCGAACAGATATTTTCCCGAAAATTGTCGTTGGGTGCCCCTGTGAGATGCACTGCAACAACATCAACCGAATCTTTAGTATCTAGGTTGGCACGCCGTAGAGCAGGCATGTGACCCTTAAGAAAACCAGAGACATACAGAGATATGTACAACTGTAAGTTAGTGCATGCAATAAATTCTCTTCGATTCTAAAACGTAGATGTGTCTGGATCTGCCCGAACCTCTTTTTCTCGAGAGAGACCCCTTGACCCTTGTGGTCCTATTCTCGTTATCGACCATTTCCCAGCGTAAGCTACCAGACAAGGTTCGGACACGTCTGCTTTTCGGGAAGAGAATTTATCGCACGCAATTTCTGCGTTACAGCCAGACTTTCCAGTCGACTGCGTGAGCGCCGGAGGCGCAAGGGACGTTCGGAAAGCGAGGGAAAACTAGCGACGCGTAAGTTATAGCAACAGTTGTCAGCATACGCGGGCTACCATGATCAGCAGTAAACGCTCAGAGTTGGGTATGTCACTTGAATTAGTCACGTGTTAACACATGGAGAGCTAGAGAGAGCACTTACGAGAGACAGCTAGGGCTCTGGGAATACCAAAAACAAACAGCATCCACCGCTAGGGCTCTGGGGAAGAGACTGCAACACCAAAACTGAAACAAAATCCACAATCTGGAAACAACAGTCAAAAGCCAACCCGTGAGATCGACTGAGAGCTGGTCAAAATCCTTGGCCAGGAGACGGTGGACTTAAAAAGAAAAATCAAGGAAGGCCATCCATATCAGTCTAGAAAATCTGAGACCTCTCAAAGACCAAAATTTATTTCTCGTACTATAGGAGGATCCCCGGGTTTCTCGGCACTCCCCTTATCACGCGATAGTTTTGGACTTGCACAGCATCGTCATGCATGCACCCCCGGGGGGAGGTACTTTAGGAATTTCTGGGTGGGGATGTGCCGCTGGGACCCTGGAACCCTTAACCTATACCAGAGCTAGTTCAGCTGAATTTTGCTACCCTATACTAGAGTAAACTCCCCAAATCCCCCTATCCTAGAGTAGCTGTTTCCCTTGTCTAGGTAAAATCTTCAACCAACTGATCAGTTTCCTGAAAAATGATACCCTATTCTAGACCCAAACGCGCTGATTTATATACCTTATCCTAGAGTAAACTACCTGAAAACCATACCCTTCTGAGTGGCACATACCTATAAAGCCCATATATGGCAGTGCCCCCCGGATGCACCCCTCTGGCATGCACCCACGTATTTACGTTCACATACTATATTTTTAAATCTGAGCATCACCTCTGAATAGTTTTCAGCCTACAGTATTTAGTATTTGTATTAAACCTGTGATTTCATAATGGTTGGAGATATTGTGTGTCTGGTATTCTACGAGTTCTGAGAACGCAATGTATGTGTAATCATCTACAAATCTCATTCCATCGTCTTTCAAGGGCTTTATGCACGCATACGAGCATGTACTAATGTCTACCAGAGATGTGGGTTGCATACACATCTGGACCGGGAAACATGTCATATCCGTGGTTTTACAGTAATCAATTACACTTTTTTGTTTCTCGGACCATTTGTTTTAATTCAACTCTCGTAGACATTAAATGCATATCCCACGCGCGTCAGGCAATGTGATACTAGTATTGCCTTAGATTTTGCCCAAGTTTTAAAGTAGAGTATTTTATAATCCGTCAGTGCAATGCCTGATATTGTCAATCGTCCCTGTCCTGGTGCTGTTTGTCTAACGCGATTTTTCAAGAACGGATGCCTTCAAGACCATTGCCGACAATCCGAATAGATTGACTTCCGCTTTTTTGTTCATAAGTTTTTCAGAAGAGCCATATGGCTCTTGCTTTCAACGAGTCTTTGAGTCTGTAAACGTAATAGCGATTTTCAGTCTTAAAGGCCTTATCGTTTAAAAAAAGTTCAGGAAAAATTCTTTTTAATTTTGAATGCATGGCTTTTATGAATTCGAAGATTGCCTTTTTTTACTATTTTTAAATAGTCAAAAAAACAGTCAAATACAAGTTACGGTCAGACATTCCAGTGCAATGCGCGCTCTCGGTCTTTTCTCTGAAGTTATACGGAAGTGCCGTTTTTATAGTTTTTAAAAGTCTGGTGTCAAAATAATGACCTCGTTTGTGACCTAGCCAACCTAAGTTAGACGATCTTTTTCCTCTGTTGATATCAAATAGAATCCCTACCGGAAGTTGCGTTAATCCCTTATTCCATATATGGAGGTGACCTTCTCGAGGCTCGAGCGATCAAGAGCTTCACTCGAAAAGTTTTATTGCCGAACAGCTCATATTATCAGGGGAAAATTTGCTGACTTTGTGCTTCAACAGACATGAAAGAAAGACAATTCATCGTAGTAACCTTGAAATGTCTATCTGGCTGGTGAACTGAAGGTTAAGTGCGATGAAAATGTCTTGTTTTGGGAGTAATACCGTTTGGTTTTGTCATGTTTTATTGCTTGACGAAAGTGAACATCCAGTGGAGATTCGAGTAAGTGAGCAAACTTTTTGAGTGGATCCCTAAAGTGTTCAACTTTCTTGTTTTAAGTTTACTGTTTACTTAGAGCCAGTGCTTGTTTTATCTATACGCTTCAATCGTGTTTCAAAGAACACGATTGAAGCGCGAACAAGGCCTTTCTTGATGAGAAAAAGCTAAAGTGGTTCGAGTAAGTGATTCCCAGAGCCGATATTTTTAGCAGATTATTGGAGGGCTTTATCTCATTTTTTATTGAGAGTCCGACTGTCTTTAAGTGGTGGAAACCTTAAGGTATTTCCCTCAGTGGAATTAAAAAAGAGCCAAGCTTTTATCAAGATCAGCATGCGTGCGGCCGTGTTGTTTAAGCTGTTCTTTATGAGTTATTTGTCAGCATGAACGAAGGATTTCATACTCGATAATGTTTACGTGGAGCTTAAACTTATACAAGGTACTTATCAACCTTTTGTCTTTTGTAGCGTCCACTATTCCATATAAAGTTCCGAAAAGGTCGAGTTTCCTTCGCTTGTGTTTCGGATATTTCGTTTATTATGGGCTTTGGAAGTTTAGCATGCAGAAAATTCCGTCCTGCGATAACATCTCGACTGTGTATCCATGCGGGATTACATGGCCTAATATATCACGTTTTTAATTTTTCAGTCTCAGCTTTTTGTTTGTTAGTAACTTGTATGTAATTTCATGAACATCTCCTCCCGTATTTTTAAGTGAAGAAAGTTATTCAATCGCATTCAAGCCATTTTTCAGCTTATAGAATTATTTGTTCTGTCGTATTCTTAAATTGATTTATATCGCTGGTATATAATAAAAGATCCTTTTGCTTTGATTCCTGAGAGGTGGTAACTGTCAATAGTATTTTTTTCCGGTGAAAACACTTTTAACTTTTTAAAACCAGATTTGTTGATATTTTTCAACCTCTCAAGAATTGCAATTTACAGCGGCGGTAAAGATCAAGAGATCATGAAATCAAGCGATGAACAATCACGCTAATTATCACCAGTTGATTTCTAATGACTCTCCAGTGAATGATTTAGAATAATACGGTCTTCTAGTTTGTGGTGAAAAGTCCTGCTGTTAATTTATACGAGTTGAAGTGTGGTTCAGGAGCATTTTCATTAGTTTAACATCCATTCCAGCTACTCAAGCTGAAGGCAATGTTGCCAGGATAGTAATTACACAAAAAAAAGCCGGCATGATAATTAGTGCTGTCTGTTTAAAAAAAGTTTTCTGCAGGTCAGCGTAATAAACAGGAAAGGGTTTCCCCTAATAACAAATAATTTGAAAACTGTGGTACTAACAACAACAAAAAAATCTTGAGTCCAAACTACTTTCAACAACCCTGTTTTGTGTTAAATGCCATATTTTTAAGATTGTTGACTGTTGACTCACAGTCAGATGGCCCTGTGCACAGGATATTATACTGGTTGCTTTCCGTAAATACAGTTATTTTTCATTGTTTTACTCTATTAAAAAGTATTGCTGTGTCATTGTGGTAGGTGACACAAAAGTTTATTTCATGAAATTTATTTAACAGCTCACCAGTAAGCCTAATCCAAATTAATGGGAATTTAAATTTGCAAAAATTCTTCCAAATGTTGACAAAGTCACATGGCAGCAAATGCCAATTGACAGTTTTAAAGATTAATGGATTAAAGGAGAGAAAACGTCCTCTTTGTATACCATGAGTCATGTGTGTTTTGTAGGACAGACTGTAAAAAGTAATTTTTTTAGTGCCTGCAGTATCTACAAATAGCAATTTATTTTTTGACATGAAGACCAAAGGATCATGTACTGACTTAACTGACAATTATGAGTACAATAGGATCTCAGGACCTTTGGGAGAATTTTTCATGGGTTCAGGGTGCAAAGGAGGTCATTTTTACAGCTTGCCATTTGGGCAAGTTGAAGCTAAAATTCACTAGCCCAAACAACATTTCAACTAGCCCCAAAAATGTTTTGATGAGCAGATTGATTTCACAGTTCTTCTGTAGTTTGAATTCCTCAAAAAACTCCACTTGCCCGTTTGCCAAGTTAATAACAGAATTAACGAGTCCAATAGCAAAATCTACCAGCCCCCGGTAGCCTGCGTGCAGACAATAACTAAACTCTGATTAGTACCGTCTGCGAAGCAGCGCAGAGATCCTTGTTCTGGATCCCCAATGGACTCAACGAATTACCGGAAGTGCGTTTGGAATTCCCCTTCAACCTGATTGGCGATCACGACAAACAAAACAAAGGCCTTTTTTAACTGGCCAATCGTGGCGCATACTCAAATCTGGGTACACAGCTGGAAGTCCAGAACAAGGATTTCCGCGCTGTTTCGCAGACGGAGTTAACCAGAGTTTAATTTCGTCTGTGCACAGGCTAGCCCCAGGCTATTGGACACTAATTTCTTTGCATGCTGGGGTTTGAGTATGCATTTTGTGTTTTTAAAAGCAATTTTAACTTACCATATTTATTCAATTTAAGCACCCAGCCTTGAATAAGCCCCTGCCTCAAGCAACTGCCCATCCTTTTTGCAGGAAAAGTTAATAACCACCCAGCCTCGAATAAGCGCCCACCCCTGACCACCCTCAATGAAGAAAAATGACCTTGCTGACAATGAGATTGAAATAGACTTAATTCTACAAAGAGTTATCCCTCAAGACCAAGTTTTCTAAATATTTCAAAGAAACTTTTGATTGGATTTTGTTGCAAAATGAAAAACTATTACTGAAAATTGCAAAAATCTGATACATGTACAGCTGCGAAATTAAGAGGCCCTCTTAGGGGGGTAAATATGTGCCCTTATTTTGAGGAGTAGACCATGTCCCTGTTGGTATTTAACCAATCTTTATGTCGTTTGTCACCATTACATCCCATCTTATGTATATGTTACAGGTCAAATTTGATTTTAGGTTAATTTCCTTTGTTTCATGAATAATTAGGGCTAGGAGACAAAGGAAATAAATTGAGAATCAACGTGGGTTAAATATATTTTAGCCTAAAATCAAATTTGACCTGTAACATACATGCACATTTGTTGCTAGTCGGAAATTTTACCCTAACATGGCCTCAATTAAGTGACCTGTCTGTACCTTAGGCTTAAGCTTTCCATGAGGGGGCATTTCTGTGCTTCAGGCTTGTTTTACTTAATAATAATTTAGTACTTTGGTGTCTGTTCATATTCTTTTTTACAGTCTAAGGAGGATAAAAATGTATCTTGCTACTTTAAACTATCCACCCAGGGAGACCGAATAAATAAAGAACTCTATCATATAAAAAAATATTATGTAGAACAGTTGTAGACATGTCTACTATTTTTGGTATCTTAAACTCCCTAACACATTGTTTTATCTCTTTAGAAAAAGACAAAAGGGGAAGAAGTCCTAGAGAAGGTGTTTAAACATCTTAATGTACTTGAAAAAGACTACTTTGGCTTGCGTTATATTGATCGGGATAGTCAGTCGGTATGATACTCTTAATTTATTGGTCTTTGTCAAGTGAAGATTAAATGAATGAAGGTTCTTTTAAAATGCCATTTTCCTTCCTTTTATATGTTACTATTTTTTTTTAAGAATTCACTCCTTGAATATTTTGGTCAATGAGAGAATTTTAGAAAATCCCTGTGTTCTTTTAGGATCCAAATTATTTTGCAGTAAGTTTGATCAAAAATCAACACCACCATTGACTGAAATTTTTCTGGTGCTTTGTCTTTTTGCCGAAGGGCATATTTTCAGGGCTTTGTTCACTCATGGGAAATTTATCTTGTCTTATCTTATCATGTGCTGTTTCCATATTTGTTTACATTAATTTGTTGCTTATTTATGCTCCGTTCTGATTGGCCAAAATCTGACAGCTCTGTTGATGGGTAGCCACAGGGGGCACTGGAGGCAGAATTCAAATTTTCAAAGGTGACTGCAAGCTCTCCCATCCTTTTTTGCCCTGCTGTAGGAGTGCCCTAGGAGAGCTTGCTCGCAGGCTAGCTGAAACGGGAAAGAACACATGTATGCCTTATAAAGTTTAAGCACAGTGTCACTGTCAGTAAAACTCCTAATTGTATGCAGGGTGACTATCTTTGGTTGAATTTTACTAATCAATAAGATAATAATGTTATCCATAGAAACTCCCAGCAACTTAAATCCAGTGATCAATGGGACAGATTTTGAAAACCATTACGTGGCTGCATAATTAGTGGTTAATTTTACGGTATAACTTCTCTGTGTTCAATCAGATTGAAAAATCTTTCATTTCAGACATTAGTTTTGAGCTTAAAAAAAGGAAAGCTGAGTTTAAAGAAATTTTTCCTACATGCCATGAATGCAGACATGAATGACCTGATGTTGACCAACGACTAAAAGATTCAATTTTCAAAGAATTAAATTATTAAGGGAATCTACATGTATAGGGGTATGCTTGGTGAGACTGGAACTGCTACTCATTTTCTTTAAATCTTTTTATTTTTTTAGCGATGGTTAGATCCCTTGAAGCCCGTGGTCAAGCAGTTAACAGGTTAGAGTCATGTAATTTTTATTAACTTTTGTTGGTCCAAACCCTCTCACTGCCAAAAGCGGCCAAAGTAAAATTCAACGGCAATTCCAAATGCCATTAAATTGTAAAATGGAGAAAAAGAAATAATACCACGTAAAAATACTAATGAAGGGGATGAATTTGAATGGTAACAACCAGAGATTTCATCTACAGACTCAAATGTTATAACCACTTCAAAAGGTAAGGTAAAAGGTAAAGGTGCACATGAGCCAAAGGCCCAAATGGCCAGAGCTTATCGTGGTTTTTTTAGCATGAATCAATCAATCAATTCAATCAATCAATCTATTTATTAACGTCAATACGTGGGATGGGGTTGCCTCGATCATCCGAGCGAGAGGCTCATGTATAACACGCATGACATTAAAAATACTAAGTCAATAAAGATACAATGCATTTGAATAAAAAATAATTTAAAAAGACCATGACTGTATGAAAACAAGTAACAATAATATATCCATGAATGCACAAAGCTACACCCACCCGAATCCCACTGAATTAATTAAAAACTAAAAACCGTAAGAAAAAGTTTAAAACCCTAAGGGGGAAAGAAAAAACAGATATAGTTAAATGCTAAGATATACATAAAAATTGCATTTACAACTGGCTGGTAAGATTGTAAGATTAAAGCATGCCTAGGAGTGTTGTTACTCCCCCCAGACAGGATGCTAGTCCATCGCAGGGTTATCCCCCAGCAGTATGTTGCCAGTACCCATTTATACACCTGGGTGAAGAGAGACAAAGTGGAGTAAAGTTCCTGGTCTAAGGAAACAATGCGATGGGCAAGGCTTGAACCTCAGACCTCCAGATCCAGAGTTCGAGGTGTTAATCAAACACATCTCCACATAAAGAATCCATCATAAATCTTTTGAGGGTGAAAGAGCTAATAAACAAAACAGGTTCAGAAGTGTTGTTATGACTTGTTGTTAGTTACTGGGATCCCATTTATTAAATCTGTTTCATTCTTATTTAAAACTCTTTTCTCTCTCCAGCTGGTCCTCCTTATTTACTGTATTTTTGTGTCAAGTTTTATGCAGCAGATCCTTGTAGACTACATGAGGAAGTTACCAGGTAAGTGACCTCCTTTTTAGGCTTTGTTCGCACTTAACCAGATAGCTTTTGCTGTCAGCTCGAAAAACATACCGGATAGCGCTTCTTTTCACACACAAGAAGGCTGGGTGATTTTGGTGCTAATTCTGTAACAGAGTGAAGCTGTATGGTGCCATTCTCTAAAGTGGAGAGTCACATATTGGGTAGGTGTTCATAATATACCAGTCAACTTTTTATCTGTTACTATCTGTTATAGGGTGAACATAGCTTCAGACTGCACATGCATTTATGGTGTATAAATATGTGAATGGAAAACATAGCATCTCAAGCTTTTTCCTTCTCTAAAACAGCTTTCGATCCACTTGAATTTATTGGGAAGTCAGACAATTTGTGACACTGTTCTTCTGTAATTTGAATTTTACTCCAAAAATTTCACTTGCCCATCAGGCAATGTAATTCACTAGCCTGGTCACAAAATCCACTAGTCCTGGGAAATCAGACTTGACTTTCTTTGCACCCTGTACATGCACTTTCTCAAGGCTTTGTGCCTATCCAATTAGGGTAATAGGGTTAAATTTGTATAATTAATAGGACTACATGCTGTCCAATTTGGAAATAATTGGATGAAAAAATTCTATGGACAGCCAAAATTGGAGGAGGCGATTGCGACTAGCAATTTGTGGTGGAGATGTGTCAACTCATTTTCTGAATCCCGACTGTAAACTCTATTTCAGATCAATCTCTGTAAGGCAAATGTAAGCAAGTACCCACCTGAATTTTTGGTTCAGTAAATGGCCTCTATCAATGATTAACGGAGCAAGCCGGGGGCGTATTCTTGGGAATTTTTTGTGGGGTGTGTTGTTCAGTTTGCCAAATCTTTACTCTAGATTTTATATCAGATCAGTGCGTCATTTGCCCCGATTAGATCGGGGCTTAGAAAGAAAAGGGTTAAGGCAAATTTAAGGGAGATTAGGGGAGGGGTGCATGAAAATAATGCTTATTGTTTCCTGCTTAGAATGGCTAACTTGCTTTCTCTTATTCATAATGGTGGAATTTGAAAAGGTACCGTTGAGCCTCGACTTTAAAATGGTACTCTCTTTACTTGTTATGAAAGTGTTCCAAAATGGTACAATGTTCAAATGAATTTATGTTTAACTCTCACATGAGATGCTATGTCATGCAATGGTCAGCGACAAGGTTATGTGGTACAGCACCCCCTCCCCCATAAAAAAGCGCCTTTGGCAGCCCAGTTAAAATTGTTTTTTGGTGATTCTCGTTAATTAAAGCTAGTGGTTGTAACATATGGCTTATTTATAATGCTGAATACTTTATTGTTTATTTAACTGTATTATTCTGATTTTTTTTAGGTATTTGTTCTTCTTACAAGTAAAAAAAGACATTTACCAGGGAAGGTACGTTTTCATCTCATAAAGTTATCTTACCTCTTTTATTGGTTGACTGCAAGCAGTCTCTTTTTTTCATTGCAAATTTTAATTATTACTGCACACAATAGTCAAGCACGCGAGCATCTTGTCCCAGTCCCTTATTGTATCAGTCATAACGTCGTTGTTAGCAATCGCTCTGGCTGAGATAAGAACTAGATGGATTTTAAGAGAATTAAAGGTGGGTTGCAAGGAGTCTATTTTATTGGATACTTACAATTAAATTTAAATGAATTTCAATATCTCAAGAGTTTTTGCATCCTTATCATGGCTTTTTGTTTATTTTTTAAGGCTACCTTGTGCAACAAACATCCTGGCCGAACTTTCAGCGTACAGTATTCAGTGTAAGTGGGATTATTTGGCAAAATGAAATGTAATCTTAATAACCATTATATGAATTACCCTTAATGTTTCATGAGCTCACTGTTGCTCAAATCATTTACAACACATTACAAAACCTCTATTATGACATTCGTTTGAGTTCCAGTTTGAATATAAATTTTGACTAAGTGTTAAAAAATTAAATGAATAATTTATTACCTGACAATGTATTTATCCTAAAAGTGCTAATTGACGAATGACATGAAACTTTTTAAATTGCTGGAGATAGGACCATGATTTTTATGTGCCCTTCCACACCTCACAGTGATCTAGCTGTTTGAAAAGCAAATGCATCATGGCTAGAAAAAAACTTGCATTCAAGATTGTCCTTTGGGCAAGTACCTCTCCCATTTTGCTTGCCCAGGGCCACCTCTTGCTAAGCTTTAATCCTTTAAATCCCTACAGTGACCAACATCAATTTTCTCCTAACAATATCCATACATTGTCAAGAGAAATGGTTGTGAGAATTAATAAAATGATCACCTGAGAAAAATGCTTTGATCTTTTATCAAAATCTCTCAACTAATCCTTAAAGTGTATATGACAGAAATTTTTTTATTTGCTTGATAGAATCTATACAGTGTTTTGATAAGGAAAGCAAAAAAATTTTTTCGATAGCGATTTTTCTTCCCCGTGTTTTAACCCGCTAAAAACGTGAAATTTTACTTCCGGTGAGCTACAAAACCGCGCTTGCGAAAACAGAAGACTGGGAATGATTATGACGTCATTTCAGGACATTCTATTTCGCGGCAGGTAAATTAGCTGGTCATTTTCTTATTTGTGTGGCAGTGTTTGGAGAATGTTTTTTGAGTTTCCCTGACCTTTTTCGATCAGAAACAGCAGAAATCAATAAAAAGTCGCTTAAGCTCGAATTTAATTGACTGTGAAAAAGAATAATGAGTTTTGAAAGCGATACGGAACAGTCAGACATGGAATCGATCGGGTCGCGCACTCACATCTGCGAGACATTCTGCGAGACAGAGCTAAGATCAGACGAAGACGAAGAAGATATGTACCATTCAGATCCAGAAGGACCGTATATAGATGAACATAGTGCAGACGAGGAATAGCTAACAGAGTACAACCGAGAACTAGAAGAAATTGAAAGGAGAAACCAGGAGTTACAAAACCGCTTTGACAGTATTGTCGAACCCGAGACTTGGTAAGTGTTCGCTCTATTTCTCACCTTTTAATTATTAGCCTGAAAAATCTTATCGTACTAAGATCATACCTTGCCGATAAAAGGATAAAAGTTGTACTCTTCAACTTAAATACTACGTTCCTTCTTTTTAATTTCAAAGGTGCCCATGTGGCAATTGTGCTTTGGATCGGCTGCAAAATCCATAATCATGGCTGTGTTCTAAGACAAATTGAAGGGAGCCCAGTGCCCTGAACCTGTGGAATCAAGGATGCCTAGCATAATATTATAATCTCTAAGATTTTCTTGTCGCCGTAGAGCAGAAGTTGTATGCTAGGGGGCACCATGTGCTGTTAGAACACAGCCCTATCTGAGGCTAGCTGAGCCTTCTGCCCCTCTCAAGTCACTTTTTTCTTTGGGAAAATCTTTTTTTTTTGGACATCTAGGGATTTTTATTGTCATCAATATTACTGTGATAATCGAGAAAATGATAAATATAGCCATTAAAGCAACATATTACATCTTTTGTTGTAGAAATAGGAACTGGGATAGCCCAGACTTAATACAATTTTGATTTATTATTTTGTTTTTTGGCTTTTGTTTTGTTTTTTTGTTTTTGTTTTGTTTTTTTGTTTTTGTCTTTTTTTTCTTTTTAATAATCTAATCTCAAGCAGCATTTGTAAATTGTCTATACGTAGCGAGATTTACAATTGTACATTCAAAAAAAACAAATAAAGTTCCCATTATTATTATTGTTATTGTTACATATTATTATCATTTTATCAGCAATCAAGGTGGACTAAATATATTTTTCCTATTTTGCTTGCAGTATCTGTTGTTCTTGCCCAAGAGGCAGCTGCAGCTACAGCACAGTCATCAAGTGGAGGAAGACCAAGGAATTGCACTGTTTGCAAAAGACCCATGAGAGGGCACAACCTTCTAGTTGATTGTCCAAGGAACCAGGCACGACAAAACAGTAGACAGTGATAGCAGACCTTTTTATTTTTTATTTTGAGGCAAAGTCAATAAGTTGCCTGGTAATTGCTTAAAACAAACCGGGAGAGATTTTCATCACCATTATTTCAAGTCACCCTCGCACTGTAGATAACTAAGATACAGATAGTTTCTGTGCAATCAGCTGATGTTTTGAGTCAATGTTAGTCCAAACTAGTATAAAATTTGTCAATGGACTCTGTTTTGCTATTTGCATTTTAAAATAATGATGGTCATAAAGGCAATATCTTTATTCATTATCTTCAAAACCAACAAATTCTTCATTCTCTTCTGAAAGTTCTGTTCTTATTGCATGGTAGGCACATGCTGGCAGTGGAATCCGCTTTCCCCCAAGAAAACCATGTACTAGTTGCATAAACTCTCTGTAGGCTACTCCACGAAGAAACCTGTGTAAAAGAATGAAGACATAAAAATAAATATTCAAGTCATGACCTCACCCCGTATTTCAACTCTGTGAGCCCAGTATTACCACATGACCAGTGGCAGATGCATTTCTATTCCAATCATGCCCTTCCTTTGTGTCTCTAAAATCCCCATTTCTTTTAACATCTTATGAACTGAACATTATCAAATCAACTGTCGAATATAGTTGAAAATAGGACCAGGGTTGAAGAGTAGAGCAGAGTAAGAAAAGATGAAAGTAGTCAGTAAAAGATGGGATCAAAATGCTTTATGTGGGGTTTGGTGTGGCTGGCAACCCCCCCTTCCCCCCTTCCACATACACACACACCCAAGCCCAGAGAAAAGTTTGATTTTAGGGGTTCTGCAAAGTACATTTTGCTTTATTCTTTATCATATGTTTTTTGTAATATAGTGATTCTACTCAACCGATTAAACAGGTAGTAGAATGGAACACGCTATCATGCATAATTCTATTGTCTTCTAAATTGTAGCTGTTTATTGTCTGTTTCATGGGTCAGGTAAAATCTCTCTATTATACAAAATAATGGGCAACAAAAACAATCGATTGATTATCTTTCTCTTAAAATGGTGTTTGAACAAATAACCACTGCTTCTGTTGCAACTGTCGGGCGCTTTTGCCGGCTAACGTTGCTTTTGGAAAACACAGTAAATTAGCAATTAGAGATAGCTCTGACAGAAAAAATTGGGCAAATCATTACTCACTTTTCTTCTGTATCAGTCTGACGATACTTTGTACCGTCTATCCTTTTGTATTTACTTTCGGCTGATCGGAAAGACCATCTGTTAAGGCAAACGACACTGAAACCTGGACGCAATGTAATACATTTGGGACTGATTTCCACCTCATTCAGAACGGCGGTACTACCAAGTGATTCGACGCACTTTTCGATTTCCTTGCAGCAGAGGCATTCCCCAGGATTTTGCAGCCGATCAAGAGCACAATTGCCACAAGAGCACCTTTGAAATTAAAAAGAAGGAACGTAGTATTTAAGTTGAAGAGTACAACTTTTATCCTTTTCTTTTATCGACAAGGTATGATCTTAGTACGATAAGATTTTTCAGGCTAATAATTAAAAGGTGAGAAATAGAGCGAACACTTACCAAGTCTCGGGTTCGACAATCCTGTCAAAGCGGTTTTGTAACTCCTGGTTTCTCCTTTCAATTTCTTCTAGTTCTCGGTTGTATTCTGTTTAGCCATTCCTCGTCTGCAATAGGTTCATCTTTATACGGTCCTTCTGGATCTGAATAGTACATATCTTCTTCATCTTCGTCTGATCCTAGCTCTGTCTCGCAGATGTGAGTGCGCGACCCGATCGATTCCACGTCTGACTGTTCCGTATCGCTTTCAAAACTCATTATTCTTTTTCACAGTCAATTAAATTCGAGCTTAAGCGACTTTTTATTGATTTCTGCTGTTTCTGATCGAAAAAGGTCAGGGAAACTCAAAAAACATTCTCAAAACACTGCCACACAAATAAGAAAATGACCAGCTAATTTACCTGCCGCGAAATAGAATGTCCTGAAATGACGTCATAATCATTCCCAGTCTTCTGTTTTCGCAAGCGCGGTTTTGTAGCTCATCGGAAGTAAAATTTCACGTTTTTAGCGGGTTAAAACACGGGGAAGAAAAATCGCTATCGAAAAATTTTTTTTGCTTTCCTTATCAAAACACTGTATAGATTCTATCAAGCAAATAAAAAAATTTCTGTCATATACACTTTAAGGAATGTAAGGAGTTCAGTCGGGAGAATTTGAATATGTATATTGGAGCTTAAAAGGGCAGTCAAACACTGTTAACTTGGACATGGATGGGCTGTAAAAAGTGTCCTTATTAAAGGGGGGTTTGGGGGTTTGGGTGTACTAAGCAGGTTGAATTTAGAGAAAATGAAAGGGCTTTCTTTCCTAAGGGACAAAGCTAACTGTCTGTAATAATGAGCTGTCCAAATTAAGCGGCTGTCTATAAAGCATGATTTGACAGTACAGTCAAATGTGTGTTTAACGGTCACCCTTGGGAAATGGCAAGGTGACCGTTATTTACAGGGTGACTGCTCTATATAAGGCCGTTATACACATGTGTGACTGTACTTGCCTAGCAAGAAAATGTACTTGTCCTGGACTAGTGAAGCCCTGAATATATACCTTACTTCTTACTTATTTGAAGTCCCTGAGTGTTGGTTTGGCCCTGGGTATCAAACCTGCAATCTTCTGCTCTGCAGTCCAGCTCTCTTCCATCTGAGCTATCCCTCCTGTGGTCTGAATAACAGAGAACTGAGGTGCTTTCAAGTATTCAAAGTCTTCTTTGTTTGATGTTATTTTTAGCTGAGCTTGGAGAATATGATCCTAGAGAGCACACAATGGGTTATGTATCTGAGTTTAGATTTATTCCCAACCAGGTATGAATAATAAATAATATTTATTGTCATGTTAGTAGTTAATTTTAAATTCTTTTACTGCCAGAAGAAGCCAAAGTCAAATTTTAACAAAATCTCTAAATTTGACTTGGTAAAATTCTGATAAACAATAAGTAGCTTGGGAAAGAAGTGCCCAAAGAGATTTAAGACCCTACCATTCAACCTGGGAGTGAAGTGGTTGCACTTAAGTAACTGAAACAGAGAAAATTTGGACTCCTACCACTGAATACAGTCATAGCACTCTGTCAGTTCTGTAGGTCATCAGTACTTCTTTATCTTTAGTTTTAGTTTAGTTCCTTAATTCTCTCTCACTTCTACTGATGGCCAAGATAAAAAGGGACAGTTCATTATTTATGGGGATGACTGGGTCAGAAAGAAAGCTCCTGAGTTTTGAGATTTTTTTTCCTCCAAAGTGATGGTGGTTATGCTTTTTCCTACCAAAAAGTGACCGGATTATGTTAAAGTGCTGGATAAACTTACGACTTAGCCAAGAAAAGTGAGAGTTCTTCAGAATAAACAAAACATTGAAAATAATTAAAATTTTACAGCGGTAGTCTCATACGTTGACATTGAAATGAAATTTTTATACCCGATTCGTTAATATTTCATGCTTGAATGTTTCTTACATGTGGGCCATAGGACGTATCAGCATGGAATTTCTGCAGTACCCTGGGAAAACAGCCGTATCTCCTTGCTTCTCTCTGCTGGAGATGTTTCATGAGGAGGAACGTCTGCGACTCAGCGATAGAAATTCCATACTGATGACGTAAAATCTGTCTGGAATCCAGTCATAAGCCCTGATTAGATGATGGAGTAGTTGCATTGTTTTGTCTATTGTTTTCAAATTGACAGGCAAAAGGCTATAAAGGTCAAATGGGACCCTGGAGAAACGTAAAATTGAACAAATTTGCATTTGGAACCCAATGACTACTGGAATTGTTATGTAAACATTGATTTATGTCATCAGTATGGAGTTTCTGTGGCTGAGTCACAAAGGTTCCTCCGCGCAAAACGTCCCCAGTGGCGAGGAGCAAAGAGAAAAGGCAGATTTGAAAGGCTCTTTCTGCAGTTGTTGGTCTGGTGTCATTTCGCACAGAAACTAGTGGTGGTGTAGCAAAATGTTGGCTGTTTTCTCATGCTAACTCTTGCGCTGACTTCTCTACAATGGCTATTTATCTAGACTGTCCCCACAGTGATGGTGAATTAATATTATGTTGATTGTCTCTTAGAGTGAAGAACTAGAGAAGAAGATTTTTCATCAACACAAGAAGCTTGGGTAAGCTTAGTTATATTGTAAGAAAATGCCTCTGAAACTCCTTCTTAATATTATTGATTAATATAAGAGGAAACAAAGGACAATCAGCCTGAAAAACAGCTTTTAATTTACATGGACTTCTTATGAATTTAAACAATGACAGTCGACTCCCGATAACTCGAACCCTTGCTAACTCGAACCTCGCGCTAACTCGAACCAAAATCGATTTCCCCTGGATTTCCGTCATACATTCAATGTAATTTTACCCTCAGTAACTCGAACCCTCGATAACTTGAACTTCCGCTAATTCGAACCAATTTTCGTTTCCCCTCAGGTCATTTTCTATATAATTTTACCCTCGATAACTTGAACCTTGTTTTGAGTCCTTAGAAAGTCGGGAAAAAAGCCGTCTACTGGCGTCCAAAACGTTGAATTTTGGATTTCCTATTGACGTGTTGTAGGAGTGTAGTTTACTAGTGGAGGCTGATGTTGATTGTCACAGGCTAACGTGAAGCAGCTTTTCTTCTCAAAACAGTAAAACGCATGCTCTATTTAGGCTATGTTTTGTTACGTTATGTTCTGATTTATAATCTAGAAGTATATTTTAATTTTTACTTGACATTTCTACAATTAGATGTGATTAAGATGTTCACTGTGCAGTAAAAACTGTTTTTTACCCTACTCTCGGCTATTTTCTTCGAACTCCCGATAACTCGAACTCCGGACAACTCGAACCTTTTTTCAATTTCCCTTGAAGGTTCGAGTTATCGGGAGTCGACTATATCTCTCTTCAGTACTTCTCTAAGTAAACATCAGAATTCACTAGCCTGATCACTAAATCCACTAGCCCTGAGATATTCTAGGGGGAGGGTGCAGGGGGTGCGAAAAAAAAAAATATGTGGTTTATTGGTGTTGAAGTAGAGCATGAGACGAGTGCACCCCCTCCTAAAAAAAATCCTGGATCCACCCCTGTGTACACAGTGTCATTTGCACGGTCTTGAAACTTGCTTCTTAACCAAAACTCCAATAAGCAGACACTGCTTACTTGACAAAAACCCCTTTGGATATTTATTAATCTTTTTGCTGAATGAGCCATTCCTGTAAGTGGTGGTTATCAACCATATTTTCTTTCTTAGGCCTATGGTTCCATCTGTGGCAGAGTTTATGTATCTTGATAAAGTCAAGTGGCTGGAAATGTATGGAGTTGACTTACATCCAGTCAAGGTTTGGTGCTTTTTTTACAATTCTAGAACACTTACTGAAATCCTCTATTAAGCCCCATGTGGGGCGTAAGGTGAGGTATGGGGGGTGGGGGAAGGGGCTTTGTAGAGATGGGGGGCTTATTTAATTTAGCAAAGACGATGGTATCAGTTCTCCCAAGAGCCCATCATGGTTCTCCATAAAGAACTGGAATGCAAAGTAGAAAAGCTAAAGTCAAGAAGTTGGAAGTCATGGAGCTGAGAATCAAAAACAAAACTGAACTTCCCGCTGGTGAATAAACCTTGACTGATTAATACAGTTTAACGTTTAATATTGAACATAAGTAATGGGGAGGGGACGGGGGGCTTAATAGAGGATTTACGGTAACTCATTCACACCTAAAATACCTGAAACTGCTTGACATTTGGCTGAACCACCATACTAAATAACTAATGAAGGAGTGTGTGGTAAAAATCTTTCAATAACTTCTAATAAACTAGTTGATTCTTCTTCCATATTTCCTGGTATTTTCGTGTGAAACAAAAGGAGAATTTCACATTACCTCGTGCCTGCTCTTGTGACAGTCATAAGTTTTAATGCTCTAAGATACTTTAACATACAACTTATGAAGTACAGATAAATCTTTCGAAACATGCCCAAATGCATACTGTAAACCGCCACTTATAAGCACCCCAGTTATGAGCCCTCCCCAGTTATGAGCCCATCTACCTGTAAACCAAAAAAATACTTTCGATTTTAAGTGCCCATGGATATAAGTCCCCCTCCAACCCCCTCCAAATGTATTGAAATGAATTTGAATTATTTTGACGTTTTGAAGCATAATAGACCTTATTTATGACGATTAATAGTCATGCAAAATTCACAGCTAGAGTTTTGACAAGATTAATTTAAGTCATTATTCTTTGCTGTGAGGACATGATGTACGGTCACTATTGGATCCAAAAAAGTGACAACCATCACTTCCACCCATACTTTGTCATTAAGATGAAAAGTTCTTCATTTTCTGAGTTCTATCTAATAAACAAACTCAACTGCGATTTCTTGTATTCGCAAATTTTATCACTTATTATAAGCCCCGAGCTTATAAGCATAGTTTACGGTATACGTTTTGGTAACGTTCTTTTACTGAGCGCCTTCTCTTTATTTTTGACAAGGGAGAAGATTTTGTGGAGTACTTTGTGGCCCTCAGACCTTCAGGGGTAGCAGTTTACAAAAACAAGACTCGTGTTGGATCTTACCTCTGGTAATTATGGGAACTCTTATCTTAAGTTATTACATCTATTTGAAGTATGTCATTCATGTAAAACCAGGAAGTTGTTTGGTGTACTTTTTCTTTCTGCATTTGAGAAACATTTGCGGATGTAAATGTACTTGCTAAATACTGTACCTGTATGTACATCACAAACAATCAATATATGTTAATATTTTTTTACGACTTTAGAACCTGTGGCTGAACTAAATCTATTTGTGAAGAAATTTCCATTCCTCTCCTAATGTGGTTGCCAATCAGTGTAAATGAATGGCTGCTCTGCAAAATGGTGCATGAGATATGTTTTGCCTTAAAATCCAAAATGCTCCAACAACATTCCAGCTCCCCATGGCCACTGCTTGCATTACTTGGACTCGAAAGAATCCCCTTTGTAACCAAAACAGCTGGTCAGAACTACAATTGAGTTCTTGTACTGCATTTTAAGTTGACTAGTCTTATCATAGTGTATTTTGAAAACATATATGTTCTATAGCATTATAAACCTATGAAGCTTTTTATTTAGAAACATAAAATTATGCTTTTATTATAGGAAATAATATTTAAACTGAAGGTGTGGTAAAAACTGATCAAAATCTGTTACTTTTATAGGTCAAAAATAGAAAGGGTTGATTTTAAAGGCAAGAAATTCTACCTGTCAGTGAAAGGAAAAGAGGTGTCAAACTTTTCTTTCTAGTTAATATCATAATTTACCTTGTACATGGACAGTATGTGGTGCTGTGGCAATTAAGGATTGTTTGTAAAAACAGACTGTGTACAACTTTGATTTCGCAAGACACCTTTTTTCAATGATGTGTCCTTAAATTGGGAAGCTCTAACATGAACTGCAGCACTCTTGTTTTAAACTTTGATGTTTACTGGCTTTCATGACCTTCATAACCAGTCTCCTCCATTATAATCATGCCTATAATTATTCATATATTCCATATTCATCCATTCATAAGAAAAAGGCAAGAATCAAGTCTTCTGAGATTATCACATGATAGACCTATATTTAGGGATTTGGACCAACAAACTACCAGTGAATAGGATCTTTGTCTGTTCCTTTATTCTCAGGGTTGCATTTTGGCTGAAAGTGTGGCAGCCTGTGGCTACTTATTTTTGCTTTCCAGGGCTGTGCTCTAGCAGACCCTGGTGCCCCTGGTGCCTAACTTTGCTCTTTGACAACTAGACAATCTTAGGTTTTTCATACAAATCAATGATATGCTTGCCACCTTAGATTTTACAGGTTCATAGCACTGCGCCCCCTTCAATTTTCCTCAGAGCATAGCCTTGCCTTTGTATGACATGGAAATCTTAGGTTTTGCTCCACAACTTAGTGTGTATTTCATTGGTTTTGATCATTTCGGCTCTCTATAATTTTTTCTGGGATACAACCTTGAATTTCTAGACTGTATTAATTGGCAAGTGTGACCCACTCATAACATTGTAACCTAAATGATCTGTTTTACATTTTCATAGGATAGGGAGTATACCTTTAAATTCTACCTTCCCACTAAAACTGCATGCAAGCATCTTTGGAAGTGCTGTCTGGAGCACCATATATTTTTTAGGTGAGGAGATGTATCCTTCAAGGGAGTATTATCTTTTTTTCTCATCAGGTGAAAGTAAAGGTCCTTATGTTACATTGGTAACTCATAACAGCACTTAAACTGACAATCCTAAGCCCGACGGTGTGCTCATTTTACACCTCCCTCCCCTCCATCAATGCTTTGTTTTATGGGTAGTTAAAGCTATTGAAAGCTCCGTGTAAGGAAAGAAGTCGAAACAAGGATTGTTGAGGTCACACTTGAGAATTGAACTCGAAAGCTCTAGCACAGAAGGCCGTCCACTTACTGAATTTGCTAGTCCTTGTCGATGCTGTAGCCCAAAAAAAGTATTAAACAGTATCTCTACTGATTATGAATTTAGAAAAGCAAGGTACTAAAACCTGTGATTTACATGTATTGCAGACTAGATAAATCAGCTGCTACACCCAATCGCAAAAACAGTGGTCTATTTCGCACAAGTTCATCGTACCGCTACAGGTAGTGTTACAGGGTAGTCTCTCCTGATTCTTAGAGGAAGTCTATTTGTATGGCAGTGATAATCATATTTTATCTGGAATACAGTCAAAGCTCTCCTTGCAGCACTGTCATAAGCGACCAGCTCTAGTTACAACCACCTTTGTGAAACCCCGTTTGAACTGACCCAAACTTTGTAATGAAAAGCTCTCGTAAGTGACTGTTCCCATGAACGATCACAACCACTTTTGGGATTAACTAACTGTACTTTTCCTTAGTTTGTTTTTAAGCCCTTGTAAGCGACTACTCAGGGTCTTATTCGTATAAATCAACACTTAAATAGCGTGGGTAGCAAGTAACTCCATGTGGTTTCAGAGCAAAGAAAGACCAAGGAATGATGAGAAATGGGATTTTTGGTTTTTGCTGTGCAAAAAATGGAATGGGAGCCAAATAATGAAAGAGAGGTAGGGGAAGGAAGGAAACAGCATTTCCCTCCTTTCTTCCCCACCCGCTTCCCACTCTTTTGCTGGCCCTATTTTTCATGTGGTCTTTGACTCTTGTTCCTTGTTCTTTGCTCCAAAACTGCAAGGAAATACTTGCTATGCAGGCTAACACTTTAATGAAACTGCACACTGCACTAGTGGCTCTAATACTTTAGATTTGGATGTATAGTTCAGTCATGTCTATATCACGAATAAAGACACTCATTAAACATTTTAGAGAAATTGAAATTTCTTTTGTTTATTTTTTATGAATTAGTAATGAGTTCTGAAGCTCTCGCAAGCAAGCACCCTCTGTAGTTTTATGCCCTGTTCATCACTTAAAACAAAAAACTTAAGACAAATTGAACAGCACAGGGGTGGTGAGGGAAAAAGCAACAGGGTCTGGTACCAAGAAACAGTGTTCTCACGATTTGTAAACTGGTCTCCTTACATGGTGGTCAGTCAGATAATTGCTGTACATCTCCCAGTCTTCAATTTTTCAGAATGAAAAGGCAATTGAAAAAATGATATCTAACTTTTTTTCCCCTTGCGTATCATATTTTTCCTTTGGTACTGAAATGTTATTGCAAGGTAAAGCCAAACACAAGCGGCGGTTACAATATACTGTAACCACATAGCGAATAATATGCAGTACAACAGCGTTCGCTGAGGTATTGATCGAGTTTTAATAAGGCGACACCATTTTTGCCAAGTGAGGATATCAGTAGACTATAAAAGTTACCATGCTGATCAAAAATTGCTAGAGAAAGTGTCAAATTTATCAAAACTAAGTCTTATTAATCTAACTTATAAATATAAGCTTGCATACCTGAATGAAAAAATTCACACCTCTCAACATTTCACTTTGTTTATCACAGACAGTTCAAAACCTGCAATTCAAAGTTTACATTCAATGATCCTTGTAAACAAAGCACAATGGCACTATTTCTAACGTTCTGCACCTTGACACAACCATGGTTTTGTAGCAAAACACTTTTTGATAGCTAAAACTCTTTGGCAGCTCTTATCAACCTTATGTCGCCTATCTCTGCGGTTTGCAAAACTAACAGAGAGTCCCAGCAACATTTCAAAAGTACTGCAGCAGAGGGTTTTTTTGAAATTTTACACCTTTGGATAATAATGTTGGATTGTGTTAGCGTTTTTCTTTCTTAAAGTGAGAGCTGTTAAACAAAACATTTGACTGTTAGAAATTCTTTTTTGCTTTAAACTGGGTTGATGTGATTTACCGGTATCTTGATGATTATTTTGCTTTTCTCAAAGTGGTAGAACTCAGAAGGAAGCTTTGGAAGAAGGGAAGAAGATCCAGAGACCTGACCCAGAAGTGAAAAGGTAATTGTTTTTAACAAATGTATAACATTTACAGACCGAAGGAATCTTCTGAAGCATGCCCCAAACCTGAGAGCAATTTTGTCGACTCACCCTCATTTAGTACCAGCAGAGGTTTTTCTTTAATTAGTTCAGTTTTATCTCTTGTTAAATACTTAAGAGCACTAAATTTAGAGTGCCCCTCAAGTAATGAATTAATATTGCTATAATATAAACTTGTGTATGCGAGAAAAATAATCCATGTAATTTGACTTGCAAATTTGGATGAAAGTTTTTTTCTTTGACTACCCTTTGGTAACCCATTTAAACAATAATAAATGTTAACGTTATTTTTTGTTCGAACACACATGCACCATTTGGAAACATTAACATCTTGCATATAGCTTACAGCAGCATTTTTTGTGAAAGGTTTGGAGTCAGTGAGTTTATTGTCTTGACCTCTTTAAACAGAAAATGTTTAGGCCTCATTTAACACTTAATGATAATGTGTTTCCTTAGAAAACCCAGTAAGCGGTATGAAAGAAGAACGTCCAGCGTTCAGTCTGTTGAAAAAGGTGAGCTGTTGTGCGTTATTGATAATAATAATGATGATGTGATGTGATGTGTGTGTTAAGAATATAACCTTGTTCTTGAGTGCAGTAAGTTGAGAGGGGCTATGTAGGTTGCTGTTTTAGGGCAAATGCCAATTCTGTGCTTAAGCCCTAATATCCACATGCAAATTCTCCAAACTGGTCTCTATACATTTCCATAAAGAATAAGATGAGAGAATTTGGTAGAAGATCAAAGCATCACTTGGTGATCAGTTTTTTAATTCTCATAACCCTTTCTCTTGATTCTGTACTGATATTGTTTGGAGAAAATTGATGTTGGTCACTTTGGGATTAAAAGGGTTAGGTCATCACTTAGTATCTTCACCCATAGAAAAAAAGCCTCTGTAGAGCTATGAAGATTTGGGTGATTTTTTGCAGGAAATACCGTTAAATCTTGAAAAAGTTATCCTTACCTTTTCAAGTTTCAATCAGTATGCCCATCCTTGCCATCTGTTGCAAAAGATGACAGGAAACAGTTTCTTTGTCTAAATATTGTCTTTACTAACCAAGCTGGACCATTATCTTTGGAATTCAGTTGATCCAAAGAGTAGTTTTAGCTTTTTAAAAAGATAGCAAATAGGCTGACGTGGCCCTTGTAAATGTTTTGAGGGGCTCTAAATAAAATATGTTCTGATGTTGACTTCTATAATTATAGTAGAGAGCACAGCGGGTTTGCTTTTGTTTCAGCTCTGAGTACTGTGACGGTTGGTACAGCAACAAGTGTGTCGCAAGTTCAAATAAAACGTTTCAGCCAGCAAGAGAATTCAACAGAAGTCATAACAGTTCCTGTGAATGGCAACAATGGCTCTGTGTAAGTCGTGACACTATTGCCATCTTATTTCAAACACGCATTTTCATTAACCTGCAAACATTCCCCAAATGTGAATGGTTTGAACCCAGGAGTCATTTCATAACTAGGTTGAGCATCCTGTTTTCACAGTTCTATTCAGGACTACGTTCACCCGGTAGGTCATGCTCAACCTGCTTATAATTCCCCAAATCATAACATAATATGACAAGATTACCATCTTTGATCCAAGGAGTAAGGATTATGTAAAAATGACATTATACCTGCTGATGATTTGCGGACATACAGCTCTATACAAATTACAATGAATGTTACACTTCAGGGGCAGTTGCATACTGCGCCTATTCAATACAGACAATGGAGTTAAAAAAAACTTTGAACAGAAGTCATTTTTCAGTATTACTTGATACCATTATCTAGGGGCAATTTAATAAAACTGTTACAAGGTTAGCCATTGTTTTCGAGTCTGAAAACAATATCCACACTTGTAAATTACACTTGTCAAAGTTTTAATAAATTCAGGTTTTTGAAGAACGTTTTTAGACCAAGGTTTTACAACAAGCTTAAGTCGGTTTTGGGTTAGGACCATTTTAGTGAGCCTTCAATGAAAAGTTAGGGCAAATCGAAGGTCTTTCACAACTGAATACTGGCCAGATCTCTGGCTGTTCCCTATTGAAAGCGCTGATCATTAGGCTAGAGAATGTGTAAAGGTGTGACTGGACCGTAGAGAAACAATAACAAAACCTACACCCCAGTGTACAGTACAATCCTAATTTATTGAACCCTTAGTTTCTCAAAAATTTGGGATAATTCAAACTAAAATTGACCTCCCTCCCCCAGTTAACAATGTTGTCTTACACCGGAGGTTTAAACTTGTGTATAAATAAAAGCAATTTTCCTTCCAGAAACTTGGAAAAATCAGGATTCAAATTGAGTTATGTTCACACTATACCGGATAGCCTTTTTGTGCCAACACGAAAATAAATACATATGAACCCGACACGAAAACCTATCCCATACGTGACTCTCCACTTTAGAGATTGGTGCGTCGGAGCTTCGCTCTTTTACGGAAATCGCGCCGATAGAGCAATTTTCAATTGAGTGTTGAAGGTAATCCAGGATTGAATTGGTTTTGCTTTACTGTGCTGTTTGATTGGTCTAGAAAACTCGCGCCACCCTCTCAGCCAATCAGATGTAAACTAAAACCAATCGCTCCTTGGTCACTCGCGTTTTCCCGCGCTACAGGCCGGTTACACGCGTTTACTTCGAGTTGTCATTGGCTCCCTCTTATAATTTCCTTTACTCTGATTGGCCGTTGTGATTACTTTGGTTTTGGTTTTCGACACTCATTGAAAAGCGCTCTATGACCGTTCTTGTGTGTGAACAGAAGCTATCCGGTATGGTTTTCATGCCGGCGCAAAAGCAATCCGGTATAGTATGAACACAGCCGTAGACTGTTAACAGTCGACCCGTAGGATTGTCGTAGGCGTGGTGTAAACATGTGTTGTTTGCCTCTTTCGCTCTCATGTAACATGCTTGCCTGCGCAACTATCCTGGGAGACAGCTAACAGTCTAGGATTCAACTTTTTTTCTCTAAGTACATAAGACGACTAGATGTTGTGCGTTCATATGTATTAAAGGAACAGTATCCCGTTACTGCGCGTGCACCAAACTTTGATTTTTGGACAGGATGTCGCGAAATCAAAAGATGCGAGGAGGGTAAGAAAACCTTGAAAAATCCGTTTGCATCGCGCTTGACCGGGTTCAATACGACACTAAAACTTCTCAGGATTACAGATCAATGATATATTGTTCCTGTTAAGTTTCGATTTGGGCAAAATCTGGATTTTTTGGCGTTACTTTTATTGCCGTTGGCCGAAGGACCAAAAGATTGGAAGCACTTTGATGCCGATTGAAGGCTTACTTCTTCTGCTAGCTTCTATACAAGCTCAGATAATTGTGAAAGGAATACGCAGAAATGAAACAGCAACAATAAAGACTGTAAGAAAGAAACCATTGAGACATTGATGTGACTGAGGAGATCTTGTGGAGGGGAGCTTCGTGAAGCAGAATGTTTTGCAACGAAGCGTTAGTAAACTTTCTTAAATGAATCTCCCTAACGGCCGACAACATCAAACAAACAGGCGTACATGTTTATAAAAACTAGTGCCATGAAGTCATAATATAATTTTTGACTAACCTTTCTGATGATTCATAGCGTTGAGATTGCATTTTTATTTATGTCTTTCAAACGTTTGAGGCTAGAACGCGAGCAAATCAGGCAGATATTACTAGACTTGGAACAACTGACCTCTGACACGAGTTTCAAATTAGAAAATATGTTTTTAAAGCGAGCGGAACGAGATTTTCGGGTCGCGAGGCGGCCCAGCTAGCGATAAAATCGCGATAAGTCTTCGAACCGCGAGCCAAATTTTTATATAAGACGAAAGACTTCTTTGAAAGTCTAAAATGTTACTTGAGAATATAAACAACAAATCTCTGTCGGCGGTGCGGTCCGGAAGGAAATCTTGTCGAGTCAATATGACAGTTCTATTGTCTTTTGAAGAAAAAACAGACGACGCTCGCGCGTGCGCATAATCGGGACACTGTCCCTTTAATGTTGTTGTCCGTTTTTAGAATTAAAACAGAAGGTGACCCAAGTTCAAAGGATGGTAACACTACTACGGATGGTCCTGCTCTCCCATGGGAACAATCAGCTCAGATGCAAGGGTAAGGCTGCAGAGTCGTTTGAAGTTTTTTTTTTCACTCAATCTACTTTAGTTTCCCAACAGTCAGTTTATTTTCACCCTTGCCCATCTCTTTAATAAATTACAGTGTGACTACTCAAACCGGGGCACTTAGAAGAAGATTATCCAATCATAACATTCTTTGAAAACAGAAGATTCTCAAGATTTTTTGCAAACGGTCCAATAACATTCATAAATTTGAGGGCTACTTCCTTAGAGGTCAGGAAAGTTCAAAGGGTTGTTAAAAAAGTTTTCAACAATTGCATAGTTTAACCTTGTATTTTATTGGTGTGTTTGCAAAAAAACCTTGAGAATCTTTTGTTTTCAAAAAACGTTGCGGTTGGATAATCTTCTTCCAAGTGTCCCAGTTCGAGTAGTCGCACTGTAATTTTGTCTAATGTATATTCCTTTAATCGGGAGAGAAACATTTTTATTGTCTGAGAGAGGAGAGTATTGCGTCTAATATGTAGCATTCTTTTAAATCACCAGTGGTTTGTACACACCAGCACCAGACTCTCCTCGGTCACTTAAAAGTTCAGGATCGGGAAGAGCGAAGAGATCACCCAAATTTCCAAGGTATTGTGCCACAGCCAGCCACGTAGCAACCCATAAAGGGAGGAGTCTTTTGTTCCCTTGTTCTCTATTGCAAGAGAGTTTCTAAATTGCCAAAAATGGTGTTGTTGTTTCCCGTGTATAGTTCTTTGAGTGAAAAATGTGTTAAGCTATTTGGATAGATAGTCGCTTATTTGTCTGTATTACATGACTTAGGTCTGCTTTTTTACTAGTGACAGAAGGCAGAAGGATTGTTGTATCATTT